GAGAATTTCAGATATATCATAGGGTGAGGTGCTTAGACACAAGTATGTGTGCTCCTTTGTTTTTTAGTTACCATACCTGACTCAGGGCTTAGTTAATTTAACCTCAGTTTCCTCATTGGTAAGATGAGGGAATGACAGCTAATGGGATTGTTTTGCAAAATAAATCATGCAGGCAAAAAAAACAAGGCATTCGCTAACTCACCCTACGTGATAGGTAAATAACAGAAATCCTTAGTGGTAAGGAGAACTTAGAAGTAGAGGAGAAACAAGATGAAAATGTACCAGTAATTCCTTCACTTAGTTCTTGAATTCTGGGGAGTGGAAACTCATCCTGGAGAGAAATGACCTTTGTCACAAGGAATCCACCAGCCTTAGATGAACTTACTATTGCAGGATGCTTTTTTAGTTTGAAATAGTTTTTAAAATTTACTTATTTTTATTGGAAAGGCAGATGAACAGAGAGAAGGAGAGACATTGAGGAAGATCTTCCATCTGCTGGTTATTCCCCAACTGGCTACAACGGCTAGAGCTGAGCCAATCCAAAGCCAGGAGCCAGGAACTTCTTCTGGGTCTCCCACATGGGTGCAGGATCCCAAGGCTTTGGGGCGTCCTCCACTGCTTTCCCAGGCCACAAGCATGGAACTGGACGGGAAGTGGAGCTGCTGGGATTAGAACCAGCACTGATATGGGATCCTGGGTGTCCAAGACAAGGACTTTAGCCACTAAGCTTCCATACCAGGCCCATGAAATAGTTTCTCTTAATATCCAGTTTAGATGATTGCTTTTTAAAAAAGAATTATTTGTTTTATTGCGAAGTTCAGATACACAGAGTAGGAGAGACAGAGAGAAATATCTTCCGTCCGATGATTCACTCCTCAAGCGACTGAAATGGCTGGTGTTGCACCAATCCAAAGCCAGGACCCACCTATGTGGGTCTCCCACATAGGTGCAGGGTCCCAAGGCCCTGGACCATCCTCCACTGCTTTCCCAGGCCACAAGCGGGGAGCTGGATGGGAAGTGGAGCCGCCAGGATTAGAACCAGTGCCCATATGGGAACTTGGTGTGTTCAAAGCAAGGACTTTAGCCTCTAGGCCACGGCACCAGGCCCTAGATTTTTTTTAAGTATTTATTATATTTTTATTTGAAAGGCAAAATACAGAGAGAAGGAGAGTCTGACAGAGAAATTTTCCATCTGCTGGTTCACTCCCCAAATAGTTGCAATTGCCAGAGCTGAGCCACTCTGAAGCCAGGAGCCAGGAGCTTTTTCCAGGTCTCCCACGTGGATGCAGAGGTCCAAGGACTTAAGCCATACTCTGCTGCTTTCCCAGGCCATGAGAGCAGGATGGAAAATGGAGCAGCTGGAACTCAAACCAGCACCCATATTAGATGCCTGTGCTGCAGATGGAGGCTTAGTGTACCAGGCGACACCGACCCTATATTACTTTTTTTTTTTTTATTTCTGTTTGCATTTTTTTCATCATTTGGTCCCTGTTATTATATGACATTATTGAAAGTGTTACCTACATACAACAGCTTAGCTGCTGTCTAAAAGTGCTTCCAAAACGGGACACTTCCCCTGCAAACTTAGTAGCTTCCCCAAAACTTAGTAGAACACAACAGGAAGTGATTAATCATTAATGAGAGCGAGACATCGCGTTCACACTAGGAAATCTATCTTTGAGGTGTTTGCGATGATCTGTGAAAGGAAAGACGGGGCGGGCACACGGCTATGGGCAAATCCCAGCGCTTCCCCCAAACCATCGGCTGGACGGCAGGTGGCTTTAATTAGGTCAGGTTCTCCATCGAAAAAATAATAGATGAGCTGGACGGTAATTCAGTGGAGCAGAGGGGAACAAAGCAGGAGCAAGCCACGGGACACGGATCCAGCTTGGCTTATTAAGGATCTTTGCCCAGATGAACATCTTTGCAAGTTCTGTCCAGGAGAAGGTGGCGCGGGATCCAGCCTTAACTTCCAAACACCGCCCCTGGGGGGTGGACCGAAAGAGGCCACGGAGCCAGCGGCGTCCGTCCGGCGCCTGCGTCCTGCGGCCCGAGCGGGGCCCCTCGCCGCCCCGGAAATCACGCGAGAGCTCCGCACGCTCAGCCCGCCCTCCACCTGAGAGAGTCGCGCGGCCGGCTGCTGGCGCTGAGGCCCCGGAAGCCAGGTGTGACCCCGCGCCGAGGGAGAGGACACCCGGGCAGGGTGACCCCCTGGCGTCCTCCCGGGCAGGGGGCTTCTGGGGGGGCTGTCTAGGACGCTACGGAAGGAGGAGGTCTTTAAAAGAGGCTGGGAGTTAGCCACTTGGAGCTAGTTAGAGTTGGACTCGTCCCTTGTGCCAGGCGCAGAGGGCACACGCACACATCACCGACCGAGTGGGCACGAAGCCTAACCCGCTCAGCGCTGCCGGGCTGGGCTGGAAAATGCTGGTGCTTCGGTGGTTTTCCTGGGAGCGATGGGCGCGACCCCTGGAGAAGGCGAAGCGCTGAGGAGGGCTCAGGTGGCTTCCCTTAATATCATGCCAGGCAAATGTGATTTACTGAGGTCCACCTCCCCCACCCCGGGAGGGCTGCATTGAGCCCCCCCTTTTCCTTTCAGATCTTGAACTTTTGTGTCTAATTTTAGATGCCAATTTTTATGATTAAGTTTCTTATATAAAAATATATATGTAAAGATTCATTTTTTTTATTTGAGAAAAAGCAGTTAAAGAGAGCAGGTAAGATGGAATCCACTGGCTTACTCCCCAGATGCCGCCGAGGCCAGGACTGGGCTGTGCTGGGGGAGGCAGGGATGAACTCAGGAACTCTAGCAAAATTCTGCCCAGGCAGGCACAGATTCCACTCAGGACATCTTTTGTTGCTCCCCTGCCCCCAACCCCTGGCACGTTAGTACGAGCTGAATCAGAGGTGGAGCACCTGGGGCCTGGAGTGATAGCCTAGTGGCTAAGTTCCTTACCTTGCACACAAGATGAGGACTCTAGCCACTAGGCTACCATGCTGGGGCCAAGTTCTTTATATATATTAATTAATATATATTAAATATTTATTATATTTTTATCACAAAGTTAGATATACAGAGAGGAGGAGAGACAGAGAGGAAGATCCTCCCTCCACTGATTCTCTCCCCAAGTGACTGCAACAGCCCATGCTGATCCGAAGTCAGGATCCAGGAACTTCTTTCTGGGTCTCCCACGCAGGTGCAGGGTCCCAAGGCTTTGGGCTGTCCTCGACTGCTTTCCCAGGCCACAGGCAGGGAGCTGGATGGGAAGCAGGGATGCCAGGATTAGAACCAGTGCCCATATGGCATCTTGGTGTGTTCAAGGCGGGAACTTTAGCTTCTAGGCCTCTGCACTGGGGCCAAGTTCTTTATATTTTTAAGGTGATGTATATTGTACTATCATGAGATATTGTGTAATCACCCTACATTATTTAAATATAATATTTGACATTTGGAAAAAACACTTTAAAGCCTTAGGACCCAGCACTCATTGGGAAACTGAGAGAAAGCTTCTGGCTCCTGGCATCAGAGCAGCCCAGCTCTGTCTGTTGCAGCCATTTGGAGAATGAACTTGAGGATGGGAGTCCTCTCTGTAACTCTACCTTTCCGATAAAAATGAATCAATATTTTTTGAAAAGTGGGGCCTAACGTGATAGCTTAACTGGCTAATCTTCTGCCTCCAGGTCCTGGATCCCATATGTGTATCAATTCCTGTCCTGGCTCTTTCACTTACTGTAGCTCTGTACTTATGGCCTGGGAGAAGAACAGAGGATGGCTCAAGTCCTTAGGATTTTGTACTTGCATGGGAGATCTGGAAGAAGCTCCTGGCTCCTGGCTTTGAATTGGCTCACCTTTGGCCATTGCTACCATTTGGGGGGTGACCCAATAGAAGGAAGATCTTTGCCTCTTCTCTGTAAATCTGCCTTTCCAATAAAAATAAATAGATCTAAAAAATAAATAAATAAATAAATCTTTTTTAAAATATGTACTTCTCGTATCAAAAAGCAGTTTTTGGAAAATCTGTAGTATGTATATTTTAAGGAAATAAAACATGCTATTGGATTTAATTGGAAAAAGGGAAAATATTAAACTTCCAAAAAATATGAAACTGCATATGGTATGACACTTTTGAAAATTTAGTCATCAAAGTTCTATTAATAACCACTTCAGGATGGTTTAGCCCCATTTAATTTGGAAAAAGAAAACTCTTTAATTTCTTAACATAATTTACTCGGTGATTCACCATGTAAATTTCATGGACTTGATGTGAGGAAGTGGGCTACAATGCAGCACCAATTTTAGAAATTTTTGCCTAAAAAAGTCTTCTTGAGCTTGAATCTAATGAAGTGTCTGGAGCTAACTGCCCGTCAGGGGCAAGGAGAAGAGACTGAAGCGCATGAGAGATGACAGCACGAGGAAGCAGGTGGAGGATGGCCACAGACAGGAATGAAGAAAGCAGTGATGTCAAATAAGGGAGGAGGGGCTCAGAACTTTAAGCAGGTGGGCCCTGAATTTTTTTTTTTTTAAGATTTATTTGTTTTTATTGAGAAGATAGATTTACTGAGAGAAGGACACACAGAAAAATCTGTCTGCTGGTTTACTCACCAAGTGGCTGTAGTGGTTGGAGCTGAGCTGATCCAAAGCCAGGAGTCTGGAGCCTCCTCCAGGTCTCCCACATGGGTGCAACTGCTTTCCCAGGCCACAAACAGTGTGCTATATGGGAAGTAGGGTCACCGGGATTAAACCAGAGTCCATATGGGATCCTGGGCATTCAAGGTGAGGACTTTAGCTGCTAGGGTACCATGCTGGACCCTATTAAATTTTTTTTTAAGTCATTATTACAGTCCTAGAGTGAGATCTTCATCTGCTGGTGCATTCCCCAAGTGGCCACAATAGCCGTGGTTGAGCCAGGCTGAAGCGGAGAGGGAGGAGCTTCCTCTGGGTCTCCCACGTGGGTGGCAGGACTCCAAGCACTTGGGCCATCTTCTGCTACTTTTCCCAGTCTATTTTTCAGGGAGCTGGATCAGAAGTGGAGCAACCGGGACACGAACCAACACTTGTACAAAATGCTGGCATCGTAGGTAGTAGGCAGCTCCAATGCTGCCCCAGGAATTTCAGTTTTAATAAATGAATAAAAGAACCTTTTAAAATTAGGTTATATTTCAATTAAGCAGGTAATTAGTGGTTTTATTTTGCCACCTAGATTAACTGGCTGGCTCCAGAGAAATAGATCATGTTGTTTTCTTTTAATCAAGCCCCAATAGGAAGCTTAATCATGCTACTGTGAAGATGAATGTGCTTGAATTCTGTGAGGCCCAAAACATTTGCCTCACTCAGCCTTCAATGCATTTGTTCTTATTAGCTGAGAATTCTCATTAGAGTCACTTCTGCCCTCCCCACTCCTCCCACCCCGCCGCCATGTATTAGCTTTAGGAGGCAAATTCTGATTAAAAAAAAAAAAATAGTGTATGTTTCTGGATCCTAAGTAGGAGTTTTTTCTCTTTGTTCTGGAATACAAATGGACTTCTTTGAATATTTTAAATCTTTTTTTGTGATTTAATGATTTTTCTATTGATAGAAGTTATTGCCTACAGAAATCTGTGAGACCACAAGGATGATCGTGCGGAGGGTGGTGTTGAACTCTCGACCTGGTAAGTATTTCTGATGAAAGAGCACCTGTGACTTTGATAATTACTAAGGCAAATGGGGAATTACAAGCTAATAGGATGTCCAAGTGATAAATTAAGGTTGTAAAGTACTAACATTAGTGAAGATATTAGAAGCTCTTGACATAATGGGCATTCAGTTTTACAGATACCTATGTCTTATTTTTTCTTTATAATATGTATCACTGATTTTTAAAGTTATTTGAAAATGTTTATTTTCCTTGAAAGTCAGATTTACAGAGAGAAGGAGAGACAAAGATTTTCTGTCTGCTGGTTCACTCCCCAAGTGGCCACAATGACTAGCTGAGCCCATCTGAAACCAGGAGCCAGGAGATTCTTCTGCGTGTCTCATGTGGGTGCAGGGTCCCAAGGCCTTGGGTCATCCTCTACTGCTTTCCCAGGCCACAAGTAGAGAGCTGGAAGGGAAGTGGGGCAGTCAGGAAATAAACCGGTGCCCATATGGGATCCTGATGGTTGTAAGGCAAGGATTTAGCCACTGGGCCATTGCACTGGGACCTATCACTAATTTAAAAAATTATTTATTTGAAGTGTAGTATTACAGAGAGAGAAGAAGAGACACAGATTTTCCACCCATTGGTTCGGTCCCTCCTGTGCTGCTGCCCTGCATAGCTACCATGGCTGGGGTTAGGCCAAGCTGAAGCCAGGAACCAGAGCTTCTTCTGGGTTTTCCACATGAGTACAGGGGCCTAAACACTGTACTAAACAATGGGCCATTGCCTGCTGCTTTCCCAAATGCATTAGCAGGAAGCAGGACGAGAAATGGAGCTTCTGGGACTCGAATGAGATGCTGGTGCTGCAGACCGCAGCTTAACTTACACGGCAGTGCTGGCCTCTGTCCTCGCTTCTTACTCCACCCATTTTCTTTCTTTTTTTTTTTTTTTTAAGATTTACTTATTATTTATTGGAAAGTCAGATTTACAGAGAAGGAGAGACAAAGACATTCTATCCGCTGGTTCACTGCCCAAGTGAATACAGTGGCTGGAGCTGATCTGAAGCCAGGAAGCAGGAACTTCTGCGTCTCTCACACAGGTTCAGGGTCCCAAGGCTTTGGGGTGTCCTCTACTGCCTTCCCAGGGCAGAAGCAGAGAGCTGGATGGGAAGTGGAGCAGCTGGGATCTGAACTGGTGCCCATATGGGATCCTGGCAAATGCAAGCTAAGGACTTTAGCCACTTGACTACTGCACTGGGCTTTTTTTTTCCCCCCTCTCTTCTCTCCTCTGCTGTCTATCTCTCTTTCTCTCCCTCTTTTTCTTTCTTTCTTTTTTTTTGTTATTATTTTCCTTGATGCAGTTTTGTAGATATAGGGATATAGGGATTCTTAGAACTCACTTTCCTGTTTTATAGGAAATGCACTGACTTATGTCAATGTTGAATTATAGAACTTTAGGTACGGGTGCTGGTGTTGTGGTACAGCAAGTTAAGCTACTGCCCGCAATGCCAGCATCTCAGATGAGCATCAGTTTGAGTCTTAGCTGCTCCACTTCTTGCTCCCTTTGAATGCTCCTAGGAAAGCAGCAGAAGATGGCCCAAGTGTTTGGACCCCTGTCACCCACATGGGAGTCCTGGATGAAACTCCTGACTCCTGTTCATCCCGGCCCAGCTTTGGCTGTTGAAGCAATTTAGAGAGTGAACCAGTAAATGGAAGATCTCTTTCTAAATGTCTTTCAAATGAACGAATGAATGTACTATGAAAGTAACCTGAAAGGACTGAGTAAACCACTAGATGGAAGCTCTCTCTCGAATTCTTTCAAACAAATGCCAAATTGAGGTGGAAGTATCCTGGGATTGAGGTTTGATTGAGCCCACTGTTGCTTTGGGCCATTGTCTACTGCTTTCCCAGGCCAATCGCAGGGAGCTGGATGGAAAGCTGAACAGCTAGGACAGGAACCTCAGCCCATATGGGATCCTGGTGCTTGCAAAGTGAGGATTTGTCTGTTGAGCCATCACACCATGTGGTGAAAGTGTCTTTTAAAAGAATAATGTCTGCATGAAAAGAAGTGTTTTTTTAATGTGTCTTTTGTTTAATATCTTAGGAATAAATGGTATTCCAGTGGCAGAGAATTTCCGAGTGGAAGAAGTCAGTTTACCAAATACTGTCAATGAAGGAGAAGTGAAAGTTAAAACTCTGTACCTTTCTGTAGATCCTTACATGGTAAGAATCAGGAAGTCTTGATGCAGAATAATTTTTATGTTATTGCATTTGAATGTTATTCTGATTGGTAAATATTTGTGCTGAACTTAATCTTTTTAAAATTTTTTTTGTTTATTTTTAATGTTGTTTACATAGTTGAGAGGGATGCATGCACATGTGGGCCTCCAATTAGGGTGGGGAGGGTTGAGGTGTGGAGGAAGGTGGGTGGGACAAATGTTTCAGTTCTTTTCTTTTTATTCTGCTGGTCTGCTGGTTGAGAGTGGGAGAGGGAACCCCTCCTTGCTATCAAACTACATCAGCACCCAGGGGTGGGAAATAGTCATTTGATGATGCCTTAGAGACCCTGATGTAGGGAAGAATGCTCCAAGGGTGTTACTTGAGTGATTTTTGTTGTTCTCAGACATTGTTGGCTTTGTTGCACCAGAGTTGAAAAAGTCATTCCCGGTTCTACTGGCTGACCAAGTCCACCTCAGTATGCATCCACAGACCCAGACACTTGGTGCAAAGGTTGGCCTGGAGTGTTATCTAAACTGTTGCGATTCCCATCCTCTGACAAGGCACTTGCTGTCCCTGCTGGCCTAGATGAGCTGGTTATTATGTCCCCTCTGTGCATCTAGACAAGCTGTCCACTTACAGGCATCAGCAACCAAGGAGGCCCAGTCCTGATACATGCTCTCCATGGTGGAACCAAATATCTTATCATTTTCTCTGTGTCTGGGATTTGAGTCTAGCAATCTAGTTGGGGATCCCCCCGCCGCAAGAAAGCTTGCCTGCGGTGACTTCAGGCTTGATTCTCATATGTGCTAGGTAGTGCAGGATCAGGTTCAGACTATTAACGTTCATCAGCCAAAGCACATACTGGTGAAAGCAGCTACCTGTTGAACTGACAGGTGCTGTGGCCTGGCCCAGCCCACCACAGACCCTGTCTTCAAGCACCAGCAGGTGCAGTCGCCTAGTCTTGGCAACTCCCAATAATCCTTGCCAGGCCCATTCCCAGCCCTGGTTTTTGCACATACCAGCATGTGCTGCAACCTAGCATGATCAGTGCTGTCTCTCATCTGGTTCTCATGCACACCCGTGGCTGCTGTAGATTAGCTCAGTGTGCCCTGCCCTCAAACCTGACCCATACATATGCTGAAGGATGCTGCCTCCTTGACCAGTCTGGCCTACCCCTTGCCCTGGCTGTCATGCTCACCAATGGGAGCTGCTACTCAGCAGGGGTGTGCCCATAGTTCCCCTTTGAGGCCTGCTTCCAGCCCTAGATCTTTTTTTTAAAGATTTATTTATTTTTATTGAATGGCATATATACAGAGAAGAGGAGAAGCCGAGAGAAAGATCTTCCATCCATTGATTCACTCCCCAGGCAGCCGCAACAGCTGTAGCTGAGCTGATCCGAAACTAGGAGCGGGGAGCTTCTTCCAGGTCTCCCACATGGGTGCAGAGTCCCAAGGTTTTGAATCATCCTCCATTGCTTTCCCAGGCCACAAGCAGGGAGCTGTATGGGAAGTGGAGCCACCGGGATTAGCCCAAATGGGATTCTGGCACATTCAAGGCGAGAAGTTTAGCTGCTGGGCTACCACACCAGTTATTATTAATATTATTATTATAAAAGAAGCTATATCAATATATGAGAAAGATTTACTAGGGGAATTGACTCACACTGGAATAGAGACTGAGATGTTCCACAATACCATGATAATACTCTGTGTATGCAGGGGCCCAAGGCTTAGGCCGTCTGCTGCTGCTTTCTCAGGCACATTAGCAGGGAGCCTGATTGAAAGTGCAGCAGCAGGGACTCAAACTGGCTACCCAGGACTGTTCTTTCATCATTAAATTGTCTTGGCACCCTTACTGAAAGTCAGTGAACCATACATATGAGGGTTGTTGACTCAACTCTCTTCCACTAATTCATGTGTTTATGCTAATACTTTCCTGCCTTGATTGCTGTAGCTTTTTGCCAAGTTTGAAAACTAGAATGTATGAGTTTTCCAACTTTGTTCTTCTTTCTCATGATTTGGCTATTCTAGGTTTCTTGGATTTCCATGTGAATTTTAGAATCAGATTGGCAATTTCTACACAGAAGCCAGCTGGAGTTTTAAAAGCAATTGCTTTGAATCTAGATCAACTGGGGGAATGTTGCCATATGTGATGGTTAATTTTCTATGTAAGATTGACTCTGCTATGGGATACCTAGGCATCTGGTCAAACCTTGTCTTTGAGGGTTTCTCTGGGAGAGCTTGGCACTGAAGAAATGGCCTGAGTAAAGCAGATATACCTCTCCCATGTGGGTGGGCTTCATCCAGGCCATTGAAAGCCTGAGGGGAACAAAAAAGTGGGGGGCAGTTGAAGTAACTGCCAGACTGGCTGAGCTGAGACTTCTGTTCTGAGACATCCAACTGCTAGTTCTCATGCCTTTAGACCTGGTCTGAGATCTGGCCTGTCAGCTCTCTGCTCTGAAGGCAATTGAGCCCATTGCTCTGGGCCCTAATTATTTTTCCTATAATCTAATCGCTGGGCTCCTGATAATGGAGCAGAGCTAGGAAGACACTATAAATGCCTCACCACAAGTAGAAGTGAAGGGCCAGGCACTGACAACACCAAGCCCTAACCCTACCTGAGTCTGCAAGTGGACCCCACATAGGACTTGGATCTGCAGCTTGGTGCAGTGGCTCAATGGGCTAATTGTTCCCCTTCAAGCACCAGGATCCCATATGGGTGCCAGTTCATGTCCTAGTAACTCTACTTCCAATCCAGCTCCCTACCTGGGAAAGATGGTCCAAAGCTTTGGGTCCCTACACCCAAACGGGATACTTGGAAGAAGCTCCTGGCTCCTGGCTTAGGATTGGCTCAACTCTGACTGTTGGAGCCACTAGGGGAGTGAACCAGCAGACAGAAGATCTCTCCCTCTCTCTCTTCTTCTCTCTGTATTTTTGCCTTTCCAACAATAAATAAGTTAAAATCAGTTAACTGTGAATGTGTGGTTTTATTTCTGGGCTTTCTAATCAGCTTCTTGGGTCTTGAGTCGACTTTATGCTGGTACTATGCTGTTGTGATTACTACAACCTAATTTTAGAAAATCCTTAAGTTTCTTTTTTACTTGTACTTCCTGTTAGTGAAAACTTTTTTTTTTTTAAGAATTAAAAAAATACGAAAGAGAGAAATTAAGATAAGTATATTTTAGTTGCCTAACTTGGCATTACTTGTGTTACACTTTTAATCACTTAGTAAATTAGTGACTGATTCAATATTATGTGATAAAATTGCCTTTATCTTTTTAAATTTTTTTTTTAGCGTTGTAGGATGAATGAAGACACTGGTTCTGACTATCTTACGCCTTGGCAGTTGTCTCGAGTGGTTGATGGTGGAGGTGTTGGGGTTATAGAAGAAAGCAAACACACGCATTTGACTCAAGGTGATTTTGTGACTTCTTTTTCCTGGCCCTGGCAAACCGAGGCTATTCTGGATGGAAATAGCCTTGAAAAGGTGATGTATATTGTAACAGTGTTCCTTTTTTCTTCGGTCTGATTTTCACTTTGTACATTTAGCATTCAGTTCTGCTTATCATCTGGGAAGAAGTAAAAATATAGTTCCTTTTTAGCTAGTTGCCAGAATGTGGAAAACTTTTGTTCCTTGTGCACTCCTGAGCTGTAACTGTCTGGAACAGCTATGAGGTTGCTAGAGAATGCTGTCACTTTGCAGATTTATTTCTCAAATTATATGTATGAAACTTGTGCTGTGGCATTAAAAATGTTTTATGTTGCTCTGAAGACAACGATGAAAGAAAAAGAGGTTTTAGACTAAGAACCAAAAGTTCCCTATAATTATGTGCTTTCAAAATATCCTGAGAAATGCCCGCATAAGAAATTCACTTGCTTTGTGCTTGAAATTCTATCTGCTGTCAGTTCGCTTTCTACCCGAAGGTTGATTCCTCTGAAATGACCCATATTATATATTTTGTTTTACATTTTCTTTGAATGCAGGGAGACAGCGACAGACACGGAAATCGTCCATCCACTGTTTTAAGTGATCTCCATAGCCAGAGCTAGTCCAGGCTGAAGCCAGGAGTCCAGAACTCAGTAGGGGTCTCCCCTGTAGGTGGCAGGGCCCGAGGGCCCGGGTCACCATCTTGCTGCCTCCAAGGGTGCACATTAGCGGGACACTAGATGGGAAGCAGGGGCAGGACTCAAGCATAGGCTCGCTGATACAAGAAGTGATGTCAGAAGCAGCATTTTTAACTTCTTACCAAACATGTAGTCCTTTTTATCTGTCTTCACCTACCAAAAGAAGTAATCTTCAGGCACTTCAGTTGAACTGCTGTGTCATTTAGGTAATTATTTCATATGCTTATCCCTCAGTCTTCTGATGTACAAAATAAAAAGAGTAACTCTTACATAGATGTAAGTGTTAGTGAGCTGGAACTGAGAGTTGGGAATTCAATCCAGGTCTCTCACAAGGGAGGTGGGACCCACTTAACCCGTTACTGCTATTTTCTAGGATCTGCACTAACAGGATGGTGAAGTCTGGAGCTGGAACCTGGTACTTGGAGAGGGGACACAGGCATCTTAAATGCTTTCCCCTCTAGGACCCAGCATGATGGCTGCAGTGATTAAATCCTCACCTCTTGTGAGCCGGATTCCATATGAGTGTCAGTTGTCCTGACTGTTCCACTTCCCATCCAGCTCTCTGCTTGTGGCCTGGGAAAGCAACAGAGGACGGCCCACAGCTTTAGGATCATGCATGCACATGGGAGACCCAGAGGAGGCTCCTGGTTTCACATGGGCTCAGTGTAAGCCATTGTGGCCATTTGGGGAGTGAGCAGCAGATGGAAGGTCTTTCTCTGTCTCTCCTCTCTGTAAATCTGCCTTTCCAATAAAAATAATAGATCTTCTACCTCTTGTAGTGTTTTTTCTTGTTAAGCATTTCATAAATTTTTATATATTTGGGGCATTACAAAAAAAGGATATTTAGTTTATTTTATGGGGAAATTATCTTCAAATGTTTATTTATTTGTTTTTAATATAAAGGGAAGTAATAGTCCTTTTTTTTCCTCTTTACAAGTAAATGACAGAGGGCCTGGCATGGTAGCGTACCAGCTAAATTCCTCACCTTGCTTGAGCTGGGATCCCATATAGGTACTGGTTCATATCCTGACTGCTCCATTTCCCATCCAGCTCCCTGCCTGGGAAAGCAGTTCAGGATGGCTAAAGCCTTGGGACCCTGCACCTGTGTGGGAGACCTGGAAGAAGCTCCTGGCTCCTGGCTTCAGATCAGCTCAGCTCTAGCCATTGTGGCCACTTAGGGAGTGAACCAGCAGATGGATCTTTCTGTCTCTCCATCTCCCTGTAAATCTGACTTTCCAATAAAAATAAATACAATCTTAAAAAAATAAATGACATAATTTTAACAAAACTGGGCCATAGTTTACTGTTCCAGTAACACTGTTAACTTGTTCATTAGACTGTTTGGGCTGCCATAACAAAATACCACAGGCTGGGCGGTTCAACAACAAAAGTATATTTTCTCACAGTGGCAAGAGGCTAGGAGTCCAAGATCAAGGAACTGGAAACTTTGAGTTCTGGTGAGGCCTCTTTATGTGGCTCAGAGAGCCTCTTCCCCAGTGTGTATGTAACTGGCCTTTGAGAGAGAGACAGACTTAGTCATGTTAAGAAAGGATTTCTGGAAAGCAGTTGAGGATGGCCCAAAGCCTTGGGACCCTCCACCCGTGTGGGATACCCGGAAGCAGCTCCCGGGCTCCTGGCTTCAGATTGGCTCAGCTGCAGCCATTGTGGCTGCTTGGGGAGTGATTCAGTGGATGGAAGATCTTCCTCTCTGTCTCTCCTCCTCCTCTCTGTATATCTGACTTTGTAATAAAAATAAATAAATCTTTTCTAAAAAAAGGATTTCTAGGGTTATTTTTGAATGCTTTGTGTTTTATTTTAGGTAGTCCCACCACTTGTAGATGGACACCTTTCCTATTTTCTTGGAGCGATTGGTATGCCTGGCTTAACTTCCTTGATTGGAATACAGGAAAAAGGTCATGTAACTCCTGGAGCTAACCAGACCATGGTTGTCAGTGGAGCTGCGGGGGCCTGTGGATCCCTGGCTGGGCAGGTGAGCCTGCTGGAACTAATTATTTTTTAAAGGAATCATAATTGAATCTCTGAACATATGTGTATAATTTAAACTAAAGTTTTATTTATAATTATTTCTTACGTTTCTGGTGGAAATACTGGTTTTATTACTTAGACTGTCTTAATTATGAAACAGTTTTTTTTTCCCCTCTCATTGTCTAATAGCCAAAAATAGATACAGTAAGTGATGATACAAGGCTCTCATCAATGTAAGGAAGAGAATCATATCGAATCTATCTAGAATTTCATGCATTACAACCAAATCTAAACTTTAAACAAATATTGTCAAATAAAACACTTTGTTGGCCCTTCATAGAATTTTATAAAGTACATTGTTTTATAAAGCATAACCCTTGTTGTGTGAAAATACTGAAAAAATATATTTTATCTTAGCTGTGATTTTAGTTCTTTGTGAGCCCAAAAAACACTGAATTGTAAGGTAACAATGTTTTGGATTTAACTATTTTTATGAAATGAGGTTTAAATTGTGAATGTATCAACTCTCAAACTAAGTCTACTTTCATTTGACTTTGTTTTGAAGGATGACGTAGTGTGCTCAGTGCTTTTGCTTGCAGATCACTTGTGACTAGAGGCAGTATGATAATGCACACGGTGATGAACTCTCTCACAGCCTGCAGGAATAGCTCGTACAGATTCATATTTTTACACTGAGATGTGATACTATACAGCCATTCCACTTTCAAAAATTTCTCCCTAGATCGGCCATTTGCTGGGCTGTTCCAGAGTGGTGGGAATCTGTGGAACAGACGAGAAATGCCTCTTCTTGACCTCAGAACTGGGCTTTGATGCTGCAGTCAATTACAAAAAAGGCAACGTGTCAGAACGACTCCTTGAGCTGTGCCCCGCTGGGGTGGACGTGTACTTCGACAACGTTGGTGGTGACGTCAGTGATGCAGTGATAAGTCAGGTTGCTTGCTGATTTTTTTTTTTCCAAACAGTTGTGATTATTGCATTGTATTTGTTTTAGAAAATTATAGGTTTACTGTGATAAATAACATGATGATCAGCATTATGTTGAAGTGAAACAAAAAGCTTACTGCTATTTCTTCCATTTTTATGCAGATTTGCATTATGAACTTTATTCTTAGTTCTTTGCTGGCAATATTATCTTTTTCATCTTAGTTGTATTTTTATAAAAGGTTTAGTTATGTCATAACAGAATAATTCTGTACCTGCTAGTGCCAGCATCCTATATGGGCACCAGTTTGTGTCCTCAATGCTACACTTCTGATCCAGCTTTCTGCTTATGGCTGAGGAAGGCAGCAACCACATGGGAGAGCAGGAGAAAGTGCCTGGCTCCTGGCTTTGGATGGGTCAGTTCTGGCCATTTGGGGAATGAATCAGCAGATAAAAGAGCGCTCTCACTGTCTTGTCCCTCCCTGTCAATCTGACTTTCAAAAAAATATTTTTTTTAAAATTTATTTGAAAGGAAGAATTAGAGATAGAGAAAGAATCCTCATCCATTGTTTCACTTTCCAAATGGCTGCAGTGGCCAGGGCCGGGTCAGGCTGAAGCCAGGAGCCAGGAGCTTCATCTGAGCCTCCCTTGTGGGTTCAAGGGCCCAAGCACTTGGGCCATTTGCTACTTTTCAGGTACATTATCAGGGAATTGGAGCAGAAATGGAGCAGTAGGACTCCAACCATTGTCCATATGAGTGCTGGCCCTGGAGGTGCCAGCTTTATCTGCCACGCCTCAGCACTGCCTCAGTTCAACTGCATTGTTGAAATTGTTCTCATCTCCAACTGACCATTGGCCAGTGCATAGTCAGGACTCCTGACTTTAGTAGGGAATGAACTTAAATACCAGCATAAACTACTGCTGCATGGTCCTTTTATACAATTGTTTGCAGTTGAGATTAATTAATCTAAATCCAAAGAAAGATGTTACTAAAAGTAGCAGGTACATGTAATTTAACACTTTTGCCCAAGCTGTGATTTGTCTTTATCCTCCTTATTTTTAGCTACTTAGAACTCTTGTATACAAAAGGATGGGTACCAAAGTTGATTGGCTGGAAATGATGGATTCACTGTAGGGGCTGAAAAGGCTTTTTCACTGAGGTAGCTATGAGATCAGCACATATAGGAAAGGGTGTACTCAGTCTGTCACAGGGTCTAATCATCCGTTTTCTCTGTGCAGATGAACCCTAACAGCCACATCATCTTGTGTGGGCAAATCTCTCAGTACAACAAGGATGTGCCCTACCCTCCCCCACTGCCTCCAGCAATTGAAGCGATCCTGAAGGAAAGAAACATCACAAGGTGTGTTCTCTCATTTGCATCTATTCTGAGGTTCAAGGTGGTTTCTGTATTACAGATGCATCAGAAATGCATTATTCTTCATTTACAGCTCTTCCTCATGAAATTAAACTTGGAAAAGAGACATTTTAAAAGTCAAGTTCAATGTTTAGGTTTTGGTTAACTAGTTCCCTGAAAGCTGAGACTTAATGAGTTCGACTGGCCTGGTTAGGTCCCATGAGAATGGGGAGAGAGTATGCCCAGAGAGGGAAAAAATATCACAGTGCTGTTACTAACTGGGGCTGTGGCTGTTGGCCTGGCAAAGACAACAGAAGCCTATGACACACCTGTCGCCATAATTAAAACCGAAAGTGTATCTGACCAGACACGGGATGATGAAATCCTAATATTTTAAGGGCTCAATGAGAATTATAGAATACTTTGAAGGTGAACTCTTTCCATCCTGTTTTCTGATCATTATCCTTTTTTTCTCCCGACTACAGAGAAAGATTTCTGGTGTTGAATTATAAAGATAAATTTCAGCCTGGCATTCTACAATTGAGTCAATGGTTTAAAGAAGGAAAGCTAAAGGTACAAACTGCTCGTGTTTTATCTCACGTAATTCTTCCTGCCACTTGAAATTACTTTTCCATTACTTGGATTTATTATAGCAAGCATACTAGTTTTCATTATAAAATTCCTATAGAAGTGCACTGAAGATTATTATTATTGTTGGAGAAACAGGAAAATAAGAAGAAGTAAGTTTCTATTTTCCTGGCTCACTCTCCAAATCCCTCATGCCACAGCCAGGTCTGAGCTGGGGTGAAGCTAGGAGCCGGAAAGTTGAGCCGGAAAGTCAAACCGGTTTTCTCATGTGGGTAGTTGGAATGCAACCTCTGGCGCCACCATGGCTGCTCCGGGATCAGCCTGAGCAGCAAGAAGATGCACTCTGATATGGGAAGCAGGCATTTCAAGCAGTCTCTGGTAGGTAACACACCCACACCCATATACTGTACATTACCTCTACCTCCCAGACAAGTGTAAGCTCCTAACTGAAAAGCCTTCGCTCACTATTCTCATTATCTGACAAAGTATTGAGCTGTACTTTCTGTAGATTATGTGAGGGTGCTTCAAAAAGCTTGTGGAAAAATGGAATGAAAAAAATGTTCAGGGACAGGTGTTTGGTCCAGCGGTGAAGACACCAGTTGAGACGCCTGCATCCTGAATGAGTGCCTGGGTTTGGCATCTGGCTCTGTTTCCAGCTTCCTGCTAATGTACATGCTGGGAATGTACATGCTGGTAATGTACATAGCTGTGATGGCTAACGTGACTAAATTCTTGCCACCCATGTGGGAGAGTTGATTGGAGTTCCTCAGCTTCCAGCTTCAGTAGGATGTTGTTGCAGGCATTTTTTTTTTTTTATCTGTTTCATTTATTTGAAAGGCAGAGTTACAGAGAGAAATAAACGAAGAGAGGTCTTCCATCCACTGGTTCATTCTCCAATGGCTGCAGTAGCCGGAGCTGGACCAGGCTGAAGCCAGGAGCCACAAGCTTCTTTCAGGTTCCCCATATGGGTATAGGGGCCCAATCTATATTTATGTGCTAATGTACTTTAAAAAATACTTATTTTTATTAGAAAGGCAGATACACAGAAAGAGAGACAGAAAGATCTTCCATCTGCTGGTTCGATCCCCAAGTGGCCACAATGGCCAGAGCTGAGCTGATATGGAGCGAGAATCAGGAGCTTCTTCTGGGTCTCCCATTCAGATGCAGAGTCCCAAACCATCTTCTACTGTTTTCCCAGGCCACAAGCAAGGGACTTGATGGGAAGTAGAGCAGCCGGGACACGAACCACCACCTATATGGGGTCCTGGTTCATGCAAGCCGAGGATTTAGCCACTAGGCTATCATTCCTGGTCCAGTACTTAAAAAAAAAAAAGAAAGAAAGAAAAAAAATTAGAGTTCTGTGCCATGGAGTGGCAGGCTAACCTTCATCTGCGGCACCCTAAGCCCACAGGAGGTCTGCTTCATGTTTTGGTAGCTCCACTTCTGATGTAGCTCTCTGTTTATGACCTGGAAAAGTAGTGGAGGATGGCACAAGTTCTTGGGCTCCTGCACCTACATGGGAGACCTGAAGAAAACTCCTGGCTCCTGGTGTCAGATAGGATTTACTTCTGGCCATTTGGGGAGTAACCCAGTGAATGGAATCTCTCTCTTTCTCTGTTGATCACTTTCTCTGCCTTTTAAATAAAAATGAATCTTTTATGAAGGGAGAATTATACATTGTGATTTGCTAGTAACTTTAGATCACTCAATGGAAAATAAGATTTTATTAAAAAAATTTAATTAATGGGAGACTTGTGCACCTATATGAAATAAATTTCTATCTTTACACAAAAGTGCCAGATAGTATTTTTTTTAAGATTCATTTTTATTTGAAAGGCTGATTTACAGAGAGAGGGGCGAGAGAGAGACACTTAAATATAGAAACATTAAAGTTTGAGAAAGAATATTAAATCTAGCTATTTTGATTAACAGATCAAAGAGACTGTGATAAATGGATTGGAAAACATGGGAGGTAAGGTTAATGAATATTTGCATACCCTTTTTTCTTTTAATGTTATCTCTCTAGTATGCTTTCTTAAACTATTTATCTATAATTATTCTGTGTAAAACCGCCCTACAAGTTTCCTTAAATCACTTGACTGAACTCCGTGAAAGTTTAGTGGTATTTTTTTAAAGGTTTATTTATTTTTATTACATAGTCAGATAAATAGAGAGAGGAAGAGAGACGGAGAGGAAGATCTTCCATCCAATGGTTCACTCCCCAAGCAGCCACAACGGCCAGAGCTGAGCTGATCCAAAGCCAGCAATCAGGAGCTCTTCCTGGTCTCCCATGGGGGTGCAGGATACCAAAGCTTTGGGCCATCCTGAACTGCCTTCCCAGGCCACAAGCAGGGAGCTGGATGGGAATTGGGGCTGCCAGGATTAGAACCAGCACCCAAATGGGATCCCGGCATGATCAAGGCGAGGACTTTAGCCACTAGGCCACCACTCCAGGCCCTGAAAGTTTAGTGGAATTTAGGAAGTGTTGTTGGACCAGTGTTGTAGCACATAGGGTAACTACATAGGCTTTTTAGTCTGGCCACTGTGTGTGCTCCCCTGCAGCTTCCTGCTAAGGTTCCTGGTTAGGCAGAGGAAGGTGAGATTTGCATATAATATTCAGACGTGGTATGCCAATCTCAGACATTTCTATTTGAAGAAAAAACAGTTCTTAAAAGATGTTAATTGGATTCATTTGTAACTTTGCCTGTCCTTTCTTTTTTTCATGACAACTTCCTTCTCTATGGAAATAAATGAAGAAATTATTTTAACATAGTTTGATGTGTCTGGCCTGCTGACAGACAAGATAGTGATACTTCTCTTTTTTCTGCCTAGTTGCGTTCCAGTCCATGATGACAGGAGGGAACATCGGAAAGCAGATAGTTTGCATTTCTGAAGAAATCTCTACATAATCTCCATGTGCATTCATCAAGGAAATAGATTTATTTCCATTTTACACAAACTTTTTAAAACTGCATTGAAAGCCTTCGAGTACAGATAGCTCTTGATTTCAGTGTGATCACAGGTAACTTTTTCTTAGTTGCAGAATTCTTTCCTATATCTTTAATGTTATATATATATATATACATATACACACACACACACTAGGTTGAAGGCAATGATATACTTTCTCTCTCTGACTGAACTTAATATACATGTTATTTTTATGATACACTAAAAATACTGGAAATTTGATACAACTGTTAGTGGGTCATACAGAATAGATTTCTAAAATGGAAAAACTTTTATTAGTTTGAAGTAGAATGCTTGAGAGGTTATGAGTATGCATTTGTTCCATTGGATGGTTCTTAAGTGGACTTGGGAGGGCCTTCCCGTGACGTCAGTAAAAAGGGACTCAAGGATGTGTGCCTTGGATAGGATGGGAGGGGCTCCGGGTGTGTGGGAGAGCAGAGATTTGGGGTCTGGAGTAAGGTGATGACTGAGCTTGATGAAGCTGATGGGGAAAGCCTGGATTTACTCTAGAGGATGATCTGTGTGTTCTCTGCCAGGTAATTTGCCATACAGACTAACAGCTCAATAGGTAAGATAAGAACATACATTTATAGCATGTGCAGATGGTCACCAAGTTGTGAAGATTTAGAGGGTAGAAAGAAACATTTGGAATTTTAGGTGATAAAAAAAAAGAGATGAAAACAACAAAAATTGTTTCAGAAATGACAGAAATGGGCAAAGGAACAAATGTCTGTAAACACGTCTTCGAGATGTACTAATATACTCCCAACTGTATCACTAACCATAATAAACTCTCCCAGAACAGTCAAATGTTTGTGTGAATGTTGTGGTTTACGGTTGGTGATTTACACAATACCAGTATAATTCTGTATGCAACATTTGTAATAAGTAGATTCCAACTGTGTTGGTAATCAGACTTGTCTGTTGGACCATTTAAACTCAGCTGGGAGCTCCATCTCGTCTCTGTATCATAACCTCCAGTCTCTCCAGAATGTTCCCTCTCAATAAACAACCCCTTGGTGCCCCAAACTTTGCTAATACAAGAGCAATTGGCAGGGTTATGGTGGTGGCCCTGAGGGTTAATCCTCTACTACACGTGAGGTCTCCATCAGGTAGTAGAGTCCTGGCTGCTTCTCCTCTGACCCAGCTCCCTGCAGCAGGTAGCTGGGTTCCTCACCTCAGCCCGATCCTCGCAGCCATCTGGGGAGTGAACCAGAGGATGCAAACTGCCTTCCCATCTCTGTGTGTTAAATTGTGCCTTTTTAAAAAAAGATTTATTTTATTTTTTATTGGAAAGTCAGATATACAGAGAAGAGGAAGAGACAGAAAGAGGAAGATCTTCCATCCATTGATTGATTCACTCCCCAAGTGAGCACAACAGCCAGAGCTGTGCTGATCCGAAGCCAGGAGCCAGGGACCTCTTCTAGGGTGCAGGGTCCCAAGGCTTTGGGCCATCCTCCATTGCTTTCCCAGGCCACAAACAGGATGGGAAGTGGGGCTGCGAGGACCAGAACCAACATCCACATGGGACCCCAGTGCGTGCAAGGTGAGGACTTTAGCTGCTAGGCTATCGTGCCGGGCCCATCAAAGCTTATTTTTAAGTGAGGGACAAAATATCTTTGAAATACATGAAATCTGTCCCCTTTATGTTAATAAATTCTTTAATTTAAAAAAGCTTTCATATAATTCCTCAGGCTTTTTAGTAAATTCCTTTTTAAAAATTAATTTATTATTGTTGGAAAGTCAGATCTATAGAGAGGAGAGAGGAAGATTTTCCATCTGCTGGTTCACTCCCCAAGTGGCCACAATAGCTGGAGCTGAGCCGATCCAAAGCCAGGAGCTTCTTCCCAGTCTCCCACGCAGGTGCCAAAAGGTTTTGGGCCATCCTCAACTGCTTTCTCACGCCGCGAGCAGGAAGCTGGATGGGAACAGCCTGGCCCCCATATGGGATCCCGGCGGACGCAAAGCGAGGACTTTAGCCACTAGGCTAATCACACTGGGCCCCCTGTTAATAAATTCTTTAAAAGTTTTTTTTTTGAAATTCCCCTTTTAGAGAACTCTTTTAGCTATTACTGTTTTTATCATGCCCAACCATTCTGCAGCGGTTTTGAAGTCATTCAAATTACTTCAAAAACCAGTCATTTGAATCAAACACATCAAGTCCAACAAGTGGTAGCATCTTAACTGTCGCATTCCTTCAGATGGGACATCCTAATACCACGGAACCGAGACTGTAGAAATTCAGAATCCCTTCTTAAATAAGTCGTGCCTGCGACTCACCTCGCCCCAGACGCAACTGCAGCAGCTTAATTCTGAACATCCCCATCTGAGGCGATGAAACTCTCAAGATCCTCTTTCACGGAGCTCTCTAACGCAGCTAATGTTTAGCCATCTCTCCTTTCTGCAATGCACCCACGGGAATTCCTCTAGCCCCGCGAGGGAAACAAGCGGGGAGGCCGCGACACTGGCCAGCACCCCGGGCGCCTCCAGGGTCCGATGCGGAGGCGACGTCCCGCAGCCTGGCGGTGCGCTGCAGCTCGCCTCCCTGCACCGGCCGGCCCCGGGGGAGGCGGCGGCAGCCACGGAGGGCCCTGAGGCGAGCCAGTGGGTGTGTGCGCGCGTGGGGAGGGGTAGGGGCGGCCAAACTTCCTGTCCCGCGCTCGAGCTGCTTCCGGCGGGAGCCGGAAGACGCTGTGTGTGGACGGGATTCGGGAGCGACTGACTGACGGCCGGTCGGCTGCCCGGGGACGGACCGGAGGTGAGCTCCGTGAGGGGGAGTCTTCCGTGCCGCCTGGACTGGGTGGTTCCCGGGAGGGAGAGGGCCGGGACTGGCTTCTTGCGAAGAGCTAGCACTGAGTTTGCCTTCGGATGGGGATGAGGAAAGCCGACCCCTTCGGGCACTCCTCTGGGGTCTGGCGGGCCCGGGATCGGCCAGTCTGCAGCCCCAAGGCCTCGCCTTTCCCCTCGCTGGGTTTTTGGGGGTGATGTTTGGGCTGCTTCTTATGGTTTTAGGGGCGGGGCTGAAGTCACTAGACTGTCCTGGGGAAAGCCGGGTCGTGGGAGACCCCGCTGTGGGCGTTCGGGCATGGCACCTGCAGCCAGGGCCTGCCCGCAGACCTTGGGGCCTTACCCTGATGTCTTTGTGTTGGGGCAAGGGGTCGCGCAGGGAGGTCCCTGCTCTGCGTCTAATCCCACAGCTCTCTGTCCTCGCCTTGAGTCTGCTTACTTTCCTGGGTCCCGAGGAGAGGCGGCGGCCACCCAGCCGCTGGGCCCCGGGTTCGCCTGTCAGTCCAGTACAAAGTGTGGACAGAGGGAGGTTTCTAGCCTGTATTTGTGGCGCCGGTTGAATTGATCCTCGGAAGTTAGTCACGGGAGGAGAATCCACTCTAGTTTATTAAACTTTGTCACACTTGTCAGCACTCTTTAAAAAAATGCATGTGAACACTGTATCTGCAAGTTACCTGTTAGGAAAGTTGGAACTTAAGAATTTGTTCTTATACTTTGACACAAAGGACAGTGGTAATATTTTTTGTAGATAACTCTTAAAAAAAAAAAGGTGAAATCACAGTTGGTGCAGAATAAGGGGAGCTAGCCTAACACTAGGTTTAGGTTCTAACTTAAGTTTTGTATCTAAGTATAGGTCTAATTTTTTGCGAGTTGATCTCCAACTTTGGATGAGTTTTTCTTTTTAAAGTCAAGCAGGCCAATTAGAAACTCGTTTTTATTAAGATTTATTTATTTTTATTGGAAAGCCAGGTAGGCAGAGAGGAAAGACATAGAGGAAGATCTTCTGTCCCCTGATTCATTCCCCAAGTGACCACAGTGGCCAGAGCTGAGCCGATTCTAGGCCAGGAGCCAGAAGCATCTTCCAGGTCTCCCACACGGGTGCAGGGTCCCAAGGCCTTGGCCCGTCCTTGACTGCTTTCCCAGGCCACAGGCAGGGAGGTGGATGGGAAGCAGGGTGGCCAGAACACAAAACAGTGCCCATATGGGACCCTGGCACATACAAGGCAAGGACTTTAGATGCTAGGCTACTGCACCAGGCCCTAGAAACCCATTTTTTGAAAAATTTATTTATTTTGATTACAAAGTCAGATATACAGAAAAGAGGAGAAACAGAGGAAGATCTTCCGTCCAATGATTAACTCCCCAAGTGAGCGCAACAGCCGGTGTTGTGCTGATCCAAAGCCAGGATCCAGGAACTTCTTCCCAGTCTCCCACACGGGTACAGGGTCCCAAGGCTTTGAGCTGTCCTCGGCTGCTTTCCCAGGCCAAAAGCAGGGAGCTGGATGGGAAGTGGAGCTGCTGGGATTAGAACCGGTGTCCATATGGGATCCCAGGCGTGTTAAAGGCAAGGGCTTTAGCTGCTAGGCCACTCTGCCGGGTCCTAGAAACCCATTTTAATAAGTTGGGAGACCTGAAGAAGGCATTCCAGTAGGAATTAAGTGTTCAGGACCAAGAATCACTGGGATTATTTATATGTAGAATGTTGAAGACCTAGAGTTTGCAGTGGAGTGGGAGGAGGAAGATTGGGCAACGATGGAAGGGATTACCCAAGAAGAACAGGTTTGGTGGGGCAGACAGTCATCTGGATTTTGGACTTGATTGAGTTTGAGATGCTGCTTATGTGCCTATATGTGGGGATGCCCATCTAGCAGTTAGAAGGTTTGGCATTCAGAAGTCAGGACTACAGAGGAAAATTGTAGTATTGTGAATTGCAGTGTTGTCTGCATTTGCGGTGTTACGCATTCATTATGCAAATATATACAGCCTGTGAGGAAGTTGGGGGAGCTCTTTTGTAAGTCCAGCCTTGAAACTGGGAAGTGACTGGTGACTGTACAGCTTTTCTTTCAGGGGTGATGAGAATGTGAGATGGATTGTGGTTACAGTTGCATTGAATCTAACAGTCAGTTAAAGTGTTCTCCTTAGATTGGTGACTTTTAGCTCAGTGAAACTTACTTTAAAATTGACATGCAATGGAGTTTTTGCAGTCTGTTAAATGGATATTGGAATTGGGAGTAGAAAAAAAATGTGGTTGTGAATTTACTTTTACACTGCTGGCTGGTGTGTGCATAGCAAACACTAGGTTCCAGGTGCAATGCACGTGGCGTACTGGACAGGCACTGAGAGCTGTGCGGGCGAGCTCTGCATCCCCGGCCTGCTGCAGCATGTGGCGCTGTCTTCTGTTCACAGAGTACGTATACTCCACCCTGAACTTGGGCATCAAAATTAAACCTCAGAATTATCCTAATACGTGTACCCAGTGGTTCCAGAGAGTAACTTCTGTTAATTTTAAAAGATTCTTACTAAAATAAAAGCACTAAAATTAAAAAAGAGGTCCTGAGCAGTAGAGAGAGTTTCTTACAGTCTGCAGCCCTGAAAGTTGGAGGAACCCTAAGTAAGGAGTAAGCAAATTTCTGCTGGTTCTCTAGGCTTACTGAGATGACTTGGAATGGGGAAAGAATGCTTAAGCCCTGAAATTCACAATAAAACCCAGAGAGAGAAATTAACCACACAATTCTGTATAGTCTGGGATTCGCCTCCCCCCATTTTATTTTCTTAATTTTTAAACACTTATTTAAAAGAGTAGAGGAAGAGAAATCTTCCCTAGGCTCAGTCAGTCTTTGCAGCAGTGAGAACTGAGCAAGGTCAAAGCCAAAGTCCAGGAGCTTTGTCTGGGTCTCCTACATGGATTTGGGGCTCAAATATCTGGACCATCCTCTTTTGTTTTTCCCAGGCCATTAGTGGTGGGCTGAATCAGAAGTGGAACAGCCGGGACATTACCTTGCACCCATACAGGATTCTGACAGTGGCTTTACTTGCTGTGCTGCAACATTGGCTCCAGGCTTGTCTTATTTTAAATATTTTTGGGGCCAGCATGGTGGCTCAATCCTCTGTCTGCAAGCTTCAGCATTCCATGTGGGTGCAGGTTCCTGTCCTGGCTGTTCCACTTCCCATCCAGCTCCCTGCCTGTGGACAGGGAAGGCAGCAGAGGGTGGCTGTACTTTTTTATTTGCTTGTTTGTTGTATGAAGTGCTTTTGTTTGCTTGCTACATTTTCCACTGTTCTTAATATTCTGTGTCTCTTTTTCACTCCTATTTTAGGCTCAATTGATTACCTGCCAAGAACAGCATAGCATTCCCTAAAGGAATATGAGCAAAACAGGGCAGCATCATTGACTGAATTAAATTTGAACTTGTCCCCTGAACAGCTACAACATTTGGAAATTGAATCAATGTTATCAGATGAGTTAGAATCCAAACCAGAGGTGAGACTTATTTGTATGCTTTATTGCTTTATTTGGAAGACTTACAGAGAGCTTCCATGTGCCACTTGACTCCCTCGGTGGCTGTAACGACTATTGCTAGGCCAGGCTGAAGCCAGGAGCTTCATTTGTGTCTCCACACACATGAGCGAAGCACTTCGGCCGTCTTCCACTGGCTTTCCAAGGCCTTTAGCTGGGAGCTAGATCAGAAATCGAGCATTCAGAACATGAACCAGTGCCAATATGAGATACCAGCCTGCATCAACTTGTTACATCACAGTGCCAGCGTCTATATTTTTTATCAGTTTTCTCAAAGATTTAAACATTTTATTATTAACTTCTATTATTTTTACAGAATCTTCTTATATCTCTAAATGCATAATAGTTCTATACTTAACTAATCTATATAAAATACAAAGCCCTTACATGTATCTCATGATGAGTACAGGCATATGCGCATATTGATTTTTCTCACTGTAATTTTAGTACATCTATATTGCATAGTGGAAAGGTCATAGGATTGGGAATCAGATTGCTTATGGTAACTAGTCATGTGACCTAGACTAGTACTACTTAATATCTTCAAGTTGATTTTTCATCTGTAAAATACCATGGTTTGATTTGAGAAATAAATAATCCAATACATGGAAATGTGCTTTGAAAATGTGACTCAGTACATTGCAGTTCATTTTTTAAACTAGCTATTATTGAAAATATTTTTGTTGTTTCTGTGTTGTGGAAGGTGACAGGTAATCATCTAAATCAGTCTTTCTTGAACAGAGAACTTGGTAAAATATCTTTAAATACCATGCTGTGGTTAATCTGGATTTCTTTGAACATGACTTGAATCAGTGGATCACCATGGTTTAATTACATCATCACCATTTGGTACATCCCGAGATTAAGTTCCATTCCTAACAATCTTTGTTCTTTGACATTATCTTTTGTTCCCCTCCCTCAGCTCCTGGTCCAGTTTGTTCAGAACACGTCCATCCCACTGGGACAGGGGCTAGTAGAATCTGAAGCTAAAGACATTACTTGTTTGTCCCTCCTTCCGGTGACTGAGGCCCCAGAATGCGGTCGGCTAATGTTACCAGGTAAAAATTGAGATCACCAAAGATAGGGTAAAGATGTCTCAAGAGGTTAACCGACTCCATGGTGCCGGTGGAATGGATAACTGACTGCTGGGAACTGAAAGCTGGGGGCTGAAGAAAAGCAGCTGTGGGATCTGTACGAGTGTCAGTAGTTTAAGCCAAGGAAGTAGATATGATCACCCATGAAGAATGAGAAAAAAGTGCCAAGGCAGGACTCTGTGGAAGTCATTGTTTAAGGTACTGGACAATTCAGGAGACCAGGGGAAGGACGGGAGGAGGAAAAGCAGAGTGGGGTTGTGGAATCGACAGGCAGCCAGTGTTTGAGAGGCTCCAGAGAGGCCAGGGTTGACCTGTCCCACAAGGTGGGGTAGGTGCAGAGGCTAGAGGGAGTTACCAGTGTAAATGAATAACTACTTCCTAAAAGCTCTTCTGCCCTGAGAAGAGAAAAGAAGAGGTGAGGTAACAGGAAGTTTAAGATATGAGATATTTGAGAGGTGTTATATGCTAAGTGGGGCGGAAGAAACAAGAGAGGAAAAGATAGTGCATAGTCGGTTAAGGGGGCTCCAGGAGAAGTAGGAGGGAGTAAAGTCTGAGAGCAGGAAGTGAGGTTAGCTTTAGATGGGAACAGGAATTCTGATTTGACTGTTAGCATGGGGACATTATTTTCACACATAATAAATTCCACATATTCTGATCCTTGTTTTAAAATATGAAATATCAGTGTTAATAGCCTGTTCGTACAGCTTTGTTTGTTATAAAATCTTTGGCTTAGTTTCCTCTACTCATCTTTGTTTTTTAAGGTTTATTTTTTATTATTATTTTTTTAAATATTTATTTTTATTACAAAGTCAGATATACAGAGAGGAGGAGAGACAGATAGGAATATCTTCTGTCCGATGATTCACTCCCCAGGTGACCGCAACAGCCTGTGCTGTGCCGATCCGAAGCCAGAACCAGGAACCTCCTCCAGGTCTCCCACACAGGTGCAGGTTCCCAAGGCTTTGGGCTGTCCTCGACTGTCCTCCCAGGCCACAAGCAGGGAGCTGGATGGGAAGTGGAGCTACTGGTATTAGAACTGGCACCCATATGGGATCCTGGCGTGTTCAGGGCGAGGACTTTAGCTACTAGGCCATGCTACCGGGCCCTGTCTTTTTTTTTTTTTTTTTTAAATAATCAGTTTTTAATGATTCAACAAGGGTTCTGACACGATGGCTTAGTGGCTAAATTCTTTCCTTAAATGCTCTGGGATCTCATATGGGAGCTGGTTCACGTCCTGGCTACTGCAATTCCCATCCAGCTGTCAGTTTGTAGTCCTCGTTTTGCAAGTGCTAGGATCACATATGGGCGCCAGTTCGTGTCCCAGTGGCCTGCTTCCCATCCAGCTCCCTGCCTGTTGCCTGGGAAAGCAGGTGAAGATGGTCCAAGACCTTGGAACCTTGCACCCACACAGGAGACCCAGAAGAGGCGCCTATCTTTGGATCAGCACAGCTGTGACCAATGTGGCTGCTTGGGGAGTGAATCAACAGGTGGAAGATCTTCCTCTTTCTCTTTCCTCTCTGTATATCTGACTTTCCAATTAAAAAATAAATGAATCTTTTTAAAAAGTTTTTTTTAAAAGATTTATTTGAATTACATAGTTAACAGAGAGAAAGATCTTCCATTCGCTAGATCACCCTCTAAAGGACTGATGGTCAGGGCTGAAATCAGGAGCTAGCTCCATCTGGGTCTCCTGTGTGGGGGGCAGGTGTCCAAGCACAGGGCCATCCTCTGCTACCTTCTCAGGGAGCTGGATTAAAAGTGGAGCAGCTGGGACTTGAACTGGCTTTCTTGTGGAATGCAGCGTCACTACTAGGAGGTGAAGCTGCTGTGCTACAGCATCGGCACCTTGGGCCCCTTGATTTATTTCTTTATATTCAGTATAAACCTAGAACCATAATGAAACATTGATCATTCTAAAAAAATTTTAAAGTTCCCCCAGACTGTGTTTTTGTCTTCCGTGATCATTACCAGTTTCATGTGTATTATGAAAGTTGAGAGGATTCTGACTCTGAAAAATAACTGAAAATTTAAATTCTGTGAGTTAATTTTCTTTGTATCACAGTGTTTTCCAGTGACAAAGTAGTGGTTTCTGGTCTCAAGAAGGACTAAGTTCTGTAATTATCCAAATGTGAGTTTTTATTATTGCTTACTGCCAAGGTCAGAGGTATCGTTTCCTCACATTCCAATTATCTGTGGAGCCTGAAGACACCACTGTTTTTCCCTGAAGCAAATTTGATACTTGTAAAATGAATGTGCTGTGTACTCAGGTTCAGGTGTTAGATGTGGAAGGATGTTACCAGAGTGGTAGAGTCTGTATCACAATGGTGAGTTGAAGGGTGCCGAAGGAAGCTGTGGTGTTTTCTCTTTCCTAGATGATACCCCAAATCACACCAGTTCCTCCAAAGAAGTCCCTTCCTCAGCTGTGCTAAGAAGCCTTCAGGTCAATGTGGGCCCCGACGGAGAGGAGACGAGGGCTCAGGCTGTGCAGAAATCCCCGGAGTTCCTGACCACTGCAGAGTCTCCCAGCCTGTTACAAGACCTACAGCCAAGCGACAGCACTTCTTTTATTCTCCTTAACCTAACAAGAGCAGGTATTTTTTTTTCTTATCATTTTCTAAATTCTGCTCATGTTTAAGGAAGCACCTGGGGGTAGGACCTGTTTAACTCAATCAGCTTGTAGGATTGCTGTGGTCTGGGTACCAACAAGTGTGTGGAGAAAGAGGAGGAACCCAGTAAGACTCAAACATTTGTTTTGAAAGTGGACTGGTGCCGTTTACTCAGGAGGGATAGACCTCAGAGGAGGAGGAGGAGGGTTAGTTTGCATTTGCGTCTACAGTGTTGTGATTTCAGAGGAGCATTTGGGCCAAGGTGTTCTTCAGAGAGTAAGAAATGGGAATCCAGAGTCCTTGAGAAGTATGGCATGAAACAAATAGTTTTGAGGCTTGTTAGCATTCACAAAATGTGTGAAACATTGACTATAGGTTTTTTTTTAAGATTACATATTTTATTGGAAAGGCAGATTTAAAGAGGGAGATACAGAATGATCTTCTGTCTGCTAACTCACTCCCCAAATGGCCACAACTGCCAAGCTGAGCTGATCTGATCTGAAGTGATCTGAAACCAGGAGCCAGGAGCTTTTGCCGGGTCTCCCACATGGACGCAGAGTCCCAAGGCTTTGGGCCATCCTCTTCTGCTTTCCCATGCCATAAACAGGTAGCTGGATCAGAAATAAAGCATACAGGACATGAACCGGTATCCAGATGGGATGTTGGCACTTGAACGTGGAGGATTAGTTGAGCCATCACGCTGACTATAGATTATTTGATTCAAGAGAAATACAAAACAAACAGAAAAGAATTAAGTCTGGGACCCTGAAAACCAACGTGTTATTGGGCAGCAGCAGAAGGAGCAGTTAAAAGGAGTTGAGGCTGGTAGGAGGTCAAGGAAGGAAAAAGTTTTAAGGAAGACACTGAATCACACCAAATATTTCAGGATGGTATAATGAGATGGAGTGTCTTGTAACCTTAGCAAGACAAATTGTTTTGGAGGTGATAGAAGTGGAGGCCAGGGTTAGAGACAGGGAAAGGTTGGGGGATGAGAAAGTGGATACACAAGTTAGAAAGTATACTTGACTTTGAAGCAACAAATGAGAAAGTGATAGCTAGAAAACCACTTGGAATTTTGTTTGTTTTTTGAGTAAATATGGAAGAGACTTGAATTAGAGTATATTTAAAGACTGAGGCAAAGCTGGCCAGTAGAGAGAAGTGGGTTCTAGATGGCAGAAAGGAGATAACGGAAGAATGTGGAGGTGCTCACTGAAGATTGGAATTGTGATGCTGTACGGGGTTGGGGTGGGGTGTTGATAGACTGGTAGCCAGGAAGGACAGCTCTGCCTGTGAAACTGGAGGTGGCAAAGGCAACAGCAAGCCTGCGGGCTGGGGGTGGAAAGGTGATAGTCTGCTCTGAGAACAGAAGCTGGACGAGAGAGGGAAGAGTTGCAGTAGCTGATTGAGGACTTTGATGTTTCTGAGTGAGGGCACATGGAATGTTCTTCCTGACCTTCACGGATCTTGTTTCTGCAGGCCTGGGCTCTTCTGCTGAGCACTTAGTGTTCGTACAGGACGAAGCAGAGGACTCGGGGAACGACTTCCTCTCCAGTGAAAGCTCTGACAGTAGCATTCCTTGGTTCCTCCGGGTGCAGGAGTTGGCCCATGATAGTCTGATCGCTGCCACCCGTGCACAACTTGCAAAGAATGCAAAATCCAGCAGCAATGGTGAGACCTCTATGGTATTTTCTTTTCTTTTCTAGTAGTATTCTGTGCAAAGAAATTTTGGTAATATAATGATTATATTTTGAGTTAGTATATTTCAAGTTACTCTTTTTTTTTTTTTAAGATTTATTTATTTTTATTGCAAAGGCAGATATATAGAGAAAGGAGAGACAGAGAGGAAGATCCTCCATCTGATGATTCACTCCCCAAGTGACTGCAAGTGGTGCTGAGCCAATCCGAAGCCAGGAGCTAGGAGCTCTTCCGGGTCTCCCATGCAGGTACAGGGTCCCAAGGCTTTGGGCTGTCCTCGACTGCTTTCCTAAGCCACAAGCAAGGAGCTGGATGAGAAGCGGGGCCACTGAGACATGAAACAGCACCTAAATGGGATCCCAGCGCATGCAAGGCAAGGATTTTAGCCACTAAGCTACCATGCTAGGCCCTAGAGCCCTCCCTTCTACACCATTTCCTGGACGTGCCCGCAAGAACTGGTCTGAGAGCCAATGAGAAGCTCCTGTTAGATAGGCAGAAGTGGGATGGGGTGGCATGGAGGACTGTTGCAGGGGGGTTAAGGTCCTGAAGGGCAAAGGTCAGGAGGGGGAGCTGCAGGTGGTGCTTTCCCTTCAAACATCTGGACTTCCTACCACCTCTACCCTGAAGGGTAGAGTAAGAGTGAAATTAGATGCAAGGAGTTTTTGGGCCCTCTGATTCTATCCAAGCCTCCCACCTCCCCCTTTCCTCTCCCCCAAGAAATAAAAAGAAATCCAGTGGAAACATAGACACACCCCCTAAAATTCAGTAAGCTGCTTGCTACACTTATCATTGAAGGAGGCGTGGATATCTTCCACCTTATGGTTCTCAAAAGTTACTTGGGCCCCCAGGGCCTTCAAATTTGGAGATGCAGGGAGCTTCCACCTTCTGGTAAATGGCAGTCCAGTCAGTTGTGACAAAGCACTTGATGTCACTGACCTTGTACTTGAGGTTCCCAAAGTGCTTGGTCCCTCGAGTGAGAGCTGAAGCAAGATGGGAACCGCCCCTTCCCAGAGACAATCTTCTCATAGATCTGAATGGGCTGGTCAGTGAAGAACAGGGAGCAGCCAACGGCCATCTCATTGGAAAATTATTTGACAAAGATCTATCCGCTGCGGCCACTTAGGGATGAACCAGCAAAGGAAGCTCTCTCTCTTCCCCCTTCAGATAAACCAGTCTTTAAAACAAAACAAAACAAAACAAAAAACAGATGGTGTTCCTTTTCTCTCATTTTAAGACATAGCTGAACAGCAATAGAAAAAATAATTCATAGTTTTACTGTGAACATATGAAGCTTTGTCTTTCTACTATATATATGTATATATATATTAGGAATAAGATTTTTATATCCACATTTCCCTCTCAGCAGCCATAGGTTGGGCAGGCCTTTGGCATAGTGGTCAAGATCCCATGTGAGACAACCGTGTCCTCCATCAGGGTGCCTGCGTTGGGTCCTGACTCCCCTCCTGATTCCAGCTTCCTGCTCATGTGCACCTGGGAGGCTGACAGCTCAGGGAATGCAGTCCTTCTCACCCCTGGGAGACCTGGCCCGAGAGTGCAGCTCCTGGGCCTGGCCTTCTTCAGTCCTGGCGATTTGGGGCATTTGGGAGTCAGTCGGTGGGTTGGAGAGCTTAGTATGTCTATCAAATTAATCACTCATTTTGCTTTTATAGATTTCAGAACTATTTTGGCTATTATATTTGTCAAAGAGGCCTGTGAAAGCATTGTAGTTGTTGGTGGCTGTCTGGAACGTGAGGAGGGGGATGTATAGCACTCTCATTTCTGATAAAAGTGGGTTCAGAGCTGGGCAAGATGAAATTAGATATCCTGTTAACAATCACCAGGTACACACTATTGGAGCTTTATTGCTTGAACTTAGTAAATGAGCAGGGCCCTTCCCTGGATTATGAACATGTGACTCATTTATAGGAGAAAATGTCCACCTTGGTTCTGGTGATGGGCAACCCAAAGACTCTGGACCTCTCCCTCCAGCGGAGAAGAAGCTGAAATGTACAGTTGCAGGCTGCGATCGGACATTCGTGTGGCCAGCTCACTACAAGTACCACCTCAAAACTCACCGGTGAGCAAATCCAAGCTCTAGTACCTGCGACTTGAGAACATGTCAGTGCTTACAGACGAATTTGTCCCTCAAACTGATACAGGAAAGTAGAGCCACAGCTAGCTGGCTTCTGGTTAAGGTGTTGCTTGTTCTTTCATAGGAAGACTTGCATTGTCTCACCTTATTCTTGATAAGTATTTAAGAAGACATTTGACATCTGAATGTCTTAGAGCAAGAGTTGTCAAATCTTATTATAAAGCATTATAATGAAGACTTTTAAAAATTTCTGCATGTAAGGCCTATGAGATCAGTATTTGGGCAGGGGGTTGTGAGTGGGATCTGTGGTTTAACAAGCTCTTCAGGTCATTCTTGTATCCAGATTTGAGATTTGCTGTCCGCCCTGAAAGTTGGTGAGGGAGCTTTGATTTGTCATTTGCAGCAGAGAGTATGCTTAGATACTGTTACTTACTGGACTACTTTTTCAGAAATGACCGCTCCTTCATCTGCCCTGCAGAAGGTTGTGGGAAAAGCTTCTATGTGCTGCAGAGGCTGAAGGTACACATGAGGACCCACAACGGGGAGAAGCCCTTCATGTGCCCCGAGCCGAGCTGTGGGAAGCAATTCACCACAGCCGGTAACCTGAAGAACCACCTGCGTATCCACACAGGTGTGTGCCATCCAGCATTCCCAGGGCCCAGGGATTTCTTATGTTTCCTGAGGAGAGGCTGAAGTGGGAACAGAGTGAAGATCCCAGGGTTAATGTGAGGGCTCTGAAGATCTCCTTTTCTCCAATGCTGCTTCCCACCCATTCAATAACATTTACTGTACTTTCTGTGTGCAAGAAATAGATAGTGTTTATTTTACATCTTGAAGCCAGATGTGTAGGAGTAAATGTGAGACCTCAGAGAAAAATGATGTGAGCAGATGTGAACTAGCTGATCAGTTTCCAGATCCATTGAATACTGCACAGTTGTTATGTTGGACAGTAACAGGTACCAAGTCACGCAGTTTCCGCCAGTGAGGTTCTAGGGACCAAAAGGGGAAGATGGGGAGAGGTAGGAAATACACACTGCAATCCCAGACTTTGAGAGTTTTGTTTTCTGGTTAGGAACTCACAGCATCAGAGGCAGAATGAGGAAGTGACTTGCTGTGGATCTCACAGCATGTTTCTATCAGAAGAGAAAAATAAAAATGTCTGTCAGATCAAGACTCTAGGGTGCTTTTGCAATGATTTTGTGATCCATTTGACACAGCATGCGTTAGTTTCCTGCCAAAGTTCTGTCACCAGACTCAGACGACTGCCTTAATATGTGTAACTACTGCCACCTTTCTTGACACTTTTTAAAAATCTTTATTTGGAAAGTCAGATATACAGAGAGGAAGATCTTCCATCCGCTGATTCACTCCGTAAGTGCCCAAAACAGCTAAAACTGTGCCGATCCAAAGCCGGGAGCCCAGAGTCTCTCCTGGGTCTCCCACATGGGTGCAGGGTCCCAAGGCTTTGGGCCGTCCTCGACTGCTTTCCCGGGCCACAAGCAGGGAGCTGGATGGGAGGCAGGGGCACTGGGATTAGAACTGGTGCCCATATGGCATCCTGATGTGTTTAAGGTGAGGACTTCAGCCAGTAAGAGAATAAAGGATTCACAGACTACAAAAAAAAGATTCATTGATTTTTTTATAAAAGTGTTGTGTATTTTTTTGTTTTTTATGGGTCCTGCATGATGACTCAACATGCTAATCCTCTACCTCAAAGCACCAAGATCCCATATGGGCACTGGTTCGTGTCCCTGTTCCCACTTCCCACCCAGTTCCCTGCTTGTGGCCTGGGAGAGCAGCAGAAGATGGTGCTCTGGCCATTGTGGCCATTTGGGGAGTTAACCTCAGTTTGCCTTGGGAACTCTGAGTTTCCATGCTTTGTTCACACTACATCTTGTACCTGAAATTCTTTTTCAATTTCGTCACTTTTTTTCTTTTTTTTAAGATTTATTTATTTTTATTACAAAGTCAGATACACAGAGAGGAGGAGAGACAGAGAGGAAGATCTTCCGTCCGAGGATTCATCCCCAAGTGACCACAACTGCCGGTGCTGCACCAGTCTGAGGCCAGGAGCCAGGAACCTCCTCCAGGTCTCCCACGCAGGTGCAGGGTCCCAAGGCTTTGGGCCGTCCTCGACTGCCCTCCCAGGCCACAAGCAGGGAGCTGGATGGGAAGTGGAGCTGTCGGGATTAGAACTGGCGCCCATATGGGCATTCAGGGTGAGGACTTTAGCCACTAGGCCACGCCGCCAGGCCCTACTTCTTTTCTTTTACATCTTTGTTAAGATCAGCTGACATTCCACTTCTTTCAAAAAATGATCACAGGGATGGGTACTTGGCCTAGCACTTGAGACACTGGTTCGGACAGCCATCTTTGTCCTGCATTGAAGTTTTAGGACTTGACACGTGACCGCAGCTCCTAACTGCATCGTCCTGCTGGTGCAGGCCTTGGAAGGAATGTTGATGATTCAAGTTAACTGTGTTCCTCCCAGCATGTAAGACACCTGCATTGAGATCTCAGCTCTGGGCTTTGGCCTAGCCTCGTGCTGTCCATTGTGGATGTTTGGGGAATGAATTCGTACATGAGAGGAATTTCTCCTTTAAATTTTGGTAGCATTCTTTGTATAGGAACTTAATGATATTTATAGGAGCCAGTGTTATGGTGTAGCATGTTAAGCTACTGCCTGTGACCTGGCATCCCATATCGGCCCCAGTTGATAGCTTGGGGTGCTGTTTCTGATCTAGTTTGCTGCTAGATTCATTCAGGCTCCTGTACCCACATGGGAGACCTGGATGAAGTTCCTGGCTGCTTGCTTGAACCTGACCCACCCCTGGCCATTACAGACATTTGAGGGGTAGATCAGTGGGTAGATCTTTCCCTTTCTCTCTGTCTTTCACTCTTGTTGCTAATTCTACTTTTTAGATAATACCTTAAGAAACTTTATAAATACATATGTCTCTCACACTAGCTTGTGACCTTGGAGGCCAGAGACCACCTCTTTGATTCTTTTCACTTTTGACTTTGAAGTATTAATGAGCTCATAGAAAGTTGTGAGAACAGTGCAGAGTGCTGTGTGTATCCTTCCCTTATCTTCCCCAAAACTTGGCATCTGAGGTATATAGTGCAATATTAAAATCAGTGAATTAACATGCCATTATTATCAACTAGTCTGTGGACCTCAGATATTTAAACTAATACAGAGTGTTATGAAATGGAAATTATAGATAAGCACAGAAAAATCAATATACTACTATGTAGATGTGGCTTTTGTTTAATTTTAAGATTTATTTATTTTTTTATTGGAAAGTCAGATATACAGAGAGGAGGAGACAGAGAGGAAGATCTTCCATCTGTTAATTCACTCCCCAAGTGGCTGCAATGGCTGGAGCTGTGCCGATCCGAAGCCAGGAGTTTGGAGCTTCTTCTGGGTTTCCCACACGGGTGCAGGATCCCAAGGCTTTGGGCTGTCCTTGACTGCTTCCCCGGCCACAAGCAGGGAGCTGGATGGGAAGTGGGGCTGCGGAACATAAACCGGTGCCCATATGGGATCCTGGCACATGGCAAGGCAAGAGCTTTAGCTGCTAGGCTATCATGCTAGGCACATATATGGTTATTCTAATGAAATTTTTACAGCCTTTTGTGTAATTCTCTGAAATATTTCATTTGCTTATTTTCTTAAATGGTATTATATTTTACTGTCTCCTCTTGCCTTTCTAATAAAAATAAATAAATCTAAAAAATAAGAAAGGGGCTACATATAACACCTACTTAACAACTTTTAAAAATGTTTAAAATTTTTTCATCTTATTTTTAACATTGTTTATGTTCTTGAGAGGGATGCCTAGTATGCCTCAGATTAGGGTGGCAGAGAGTTAAGCTGTGGAGGAAGGTGGGTAGAATAAATGTTTCCATTGCTTTTTTTACTCCTGTGTCCACAGTGGGGGAAAGGGAGGGAGCCACTCCTTGCCTCTTTGCTATCACACTACATCAGTTCCATTTGATGACACCTTAGAGACCCAAGCCTGCCCCAGCCCCAGTGTTTGTATGTGGCAGCATGTCTGCAGCCTAGCCCCACCCATCCTGCATCCTGTCCGGCTCTCCTGCACACCTGTGGGTGCTATGGATTATCTTAGCCGAACCCACACCCAGACCTGACCCACACATAGGCCGTCTTGTCCAACCTGGCCTGTCCCCAGCCCTGGCTTGAGAGGCAGCACTTGCTAGGTAGCCAGTTGAAATGAGATAGTATAAATTAAAAAAATCAGAATAAGTAAATCCCTAGAAACAGTGGAGTGGATGAGAACAGGGTGCTAAACAGTGCCTTCCTCCCAGGGCTGAATCTTACCTTGTTCTTTCTCTCTAGGGGAGAAGCCTTTCCTTTGTGAAGCCCAAGGATGCGGCCGTTCCTTTGCTGAGTATTCTAGCCTCCGAAAACACCTGGTGGTTCACTCAGGTAGTAGGATTTGTGCCCTTCCTAGATTTCTAGCAAAATAGAGACTGTAACAGGATAAAAGGGTGGGTGAATGGTATAAGGAAATGTGAGAAGAAACAAACTGCTCACCATGAAAGTAAATACAGCATCTCTTTGGCATGGCAGAGTCCAGTCAAGGCACTCAGTAATTGTATTCAGAGGTACTTACCATCAGTGGGGGAAAATCTGGGTACGATTTTCAACCAACTCATTAGAAGATTTTAGACCTTTTTCTGGTGATCACATTTGGTACAGTATTTTGAGAGTTGTGTCCAACAAGGATCCTGCTTTTTAGGAATGGACATTTGTATTCCCCAGTGGAGGATTTCAGGTCGTAATCAAGTAAAAAGGTAGAGGTTGATGGCAGCAGAGCCAGTGATATTACTACCTTTTAAGGAGACCTTAGTGACCCTGCTGTAATCACTGTGTTGGCAGAAACTATGTGTCTGGCAAAGAGAGTCACACACAGAGGAAGAGACAGAGCTCTTCCACCTGCTGGTTCATGGCCGGAATGATCCAAGATGGGCCAGACAGAAGCCAGGAGCTTCTTGCAGGTCTACCCCATAGGATTTGAGCCGTCTGCTGCTACTTTCCTAGATGCACTAAAGATTTGTTTCTTTGAAAGGTAGAGTTATAGAGAGAAGGCGAAACAGAGATCTTCCATCCTCTGGTTAACCCCCGAATGGCTGAAATAGCTAGGGTTGGGCCAGGTTGAAACTAAGAGCTTCATCCATGTCTGTCACATGGCTGAGGGGCCCGAGCACTTGGGCCATTTCCACTGCTTTCTCAGATATATTAGCAGTGAGATGGATTGATAGTGGAACAGCCAGGACTTGAACCAATGCGTTTATGGGATAGTAGCAGCTTAACTCACTACTCTACAACGAGACCCAGTTTGTTACCTTTTTTTTTTTTTTTTCAATTGGAAAGTCAGATCTACAGAAAGGAGAAAGATCTGCTGGTTCACTCCTCAAGTGGCTGTAACTGCCAGATCTGAGCCGATCTGAAGCCAAGAGCTAGGAGATTCTTCCTGGTCTCCCATGGATGCATGGACCCAAGGCTTTGGGCCATCCTCTGCTGCTTTCTCAGATCAAAAAAGGAAAGTGCAGCAGTTGGGATACAAACTGGCACCCATATGGGATCCTGGCACGTGCAAGGCGAGGACTTTAGCCACTTTACCACACTAGGCCTGTACTTTTTTTTATATATAGATTTATTTATTTTTATTACAAAGTCAAATATACAGAGAAGAGGAGAGATAGAGAGGAAGGTCTTCCGTCAGATGCTTCACTCCCCAAGTGACCTCAACGGCCAGTGCTGCGCCGATCCGAAGCCAGGAGCTAGGAACTTCCTCCAGGTCTCCCACGTGGGTGCAGAATCCCAAGGCTTTGGGCTGTCCTCGACTGCTTTCCCAGGCCACAAGCAGGGAGGTGGATGGGAAGTGGAGCCACCGGGTTTAGAACCTCTGCCCACATTGGATTTTGGTGTCGCTGGGCCTTGCTGTCCAGTTTTATTATTATTAATAATTGCGAATTTTTTCTCCACATTTATAAACTGGGAGACTTTCTTTTATAGTCATCATTCCAGTTTTTCTTAAGAGAACATTAGGGAAGCTGGTTAACCTGCTCCCTGGGATCAAGTCTCACCTTTTTTCCCATTCTTCTTCCTGCTAATGCTCCTGATAGGAGTAGGTGATGGCCCAAGTACTAGAGTTACTGCTGCCCATGTGGGAGACCCAGTTGAAGTTCCTGGTTCCTACCTTTGGCCTGGTCTGACTCCGGCTATTTTGAACATTTGGAGTGTGATCCAGCAGATGAAAGATCTTAGTTTCTCTCTGTTTCATTCTCCCTTTCAAAAAAAAAAAAATCACTGCATCTTTTTTGCAGAGTCAGAGGATGCAGCATTAGTAGCTCTGTGTTCACACGTGGAAATCCTTGTCTAGAATTGAACAACAGTTGTTTCTAGGATACTGTGGCCCAGCTTAGCCATTTCACTTACTTTTGCTTCCTGCTAATTCGGTGAATTTTTGATGCTTGCTCTGAAGCATGGCTGTCTGGCTAAGTGAAATGTAAGCTGAGCTTTAGGGCTTAGGGACATAGAGGATGGTTTAGAGCATTAAATTAGAATCACCAGTGTGAATATTGGAGACTCCAAAGAGTGGACCATGGAATAATGTAAGCCTGAGGGTGGCACACGCCCTCCAGGTCATGGAAGACTGAGCAGAGCAACCACAGCCATGTGTGATTGCTGTGATCCCCAAGCAGGGATGCCTTTGTGAAGGCAGCAGTGCAGTGAATCTGAAAGAGCAGAGTATGGCAAGCCCTCCTAGGGTGTGCGCCCTGGCTTCCCCACGTGCTGAAGGTTGAGGGGCTGGGGAAGGTGGGGAGTGGGAGAAGCGGTGGTCTCTTGGGTTTTGTCATATACTCTCTGGGCCTTTGTGTCCAGTCTTGAGTCCATTCTCTCCTGGTCAGAATGTCACCCTGTCTCTTACTTGCCTGTTTCAGGAGAGAAGCCTCATCAGTGCCAGGTCTGTGGGAAGACCTTCTCTCAGAGTGGGAGCCGGAATGTGCACATGAGAAGGCATCACCTGCAGCTGGGAGCGGCCGGGAGTCAAGAGCAGGAGCTGGCTGGTGAGGAGGGCTGTGAGCGGGGCAGGGCTTGGCCTGCTGGTAAACCGGAGGCTTCTTTCTGATTCTAGATTGGTAGAGAGAGCTGGTCTCATTTGATAGGCTGGTGGTTTCCGGACAAACTGTGCACTAGGTTCTTGCACAGCTCCTAACACATGTGTCTTTATTGTTTGTCCTCCCCTCCTAACAAAACCCAATAGATGACAATAGTTTGTAAAATCCTAAAGTCAGTTGTTTTAAAAGTTTCCTGGTAATTAGTCATGATCCACTGCAAGCATTTCTGTAGCAGAGTGAGTAAAGGTTTCTGTATAAGAGATTAAGCTTTTTCTGTTGTTGTTATAACTTAAACTTACAAGTCATGATTACTTTTTTGCCCTAGTGTAAATTTTGATAACTTTTAAAACTCGTATTCCTTTTCCTTGTCTTTAATTATTTGATTCCAAATACTCAAAAGGATCTACATGTCCCGTTTGACATACTGATCCTTCAGGCGGTGATCACAGGCAAGGATAAGGGGCTTACCCTTCCTCTTCTCCGTGTTTATTCTCTGTTCCTGAAAGCCGATGAGAAGGGAGGGCAGCCAAGATACAGGTTCACGTCTAGTACTTAAGGAGAAGGCCAGTTTCTTGTGAAGGCAGAGGAGGACCAGGCACAGCCTTGACTGCTGTATTCTCTCACATCCTGTTCTCTGTGCAGCTGAGCCACTCATGGGCAGTAGTTTGCTTGAAGAGGCTTCAGTCCCCAGTAAAAACCTGGTGTCTATGAATTCCCAGCCCAGCCTTGGTGGAGAGTCCTTGAACCTACCAAATACCAATTCTATCCTGGGAGTTGATGATGGTAAGATTTCCAGCTCTCCTTCATTTGGGGAAGATGGGCTGTGGCTTGGGGCCAAGAAAAGGGTGTCTCCAAAATGGAGGTTTTAATGCTGGTAGCTACGGAATGACTGAGTAGCATTTTGTTCTTACTCAGTGAATCTGTAAAAATAAAAAATCTTATTGAAAATGATGTGGCAAAAGAATAAAGAGAATTTTTTTTTTTGAAAGGGAAAAGCATCCATAATTCTTCCAGCATCACAGCCCAACTCTTTCTGTCTTTCCTATTGCAGTTCTGGAAGAACTTAATTTTTAGAACATTTAAACAGAACATAACCAGGTTTTGCAGAGGAGAGGTAAAGCAGTTTCTCCATATCTTCAAAAGCCAGATCTTCTGGAGAGAGAAAGGGCTTTCTAGGAAACAGTTGCTCCTCTCTGGTATAGAAATTTCATCCAAGGTACACAGGCCAGGCCCTCTTCTCTGACAGACTTAACAGGTGAGGTCAGCATGCATTTATTTAGTGCCTACTGTGTGCCTGGCACCATGGAAAAGACAAAAATTCATGTCTTTAAATCCAGTTGAAAAATCAAAGCTTACGCTTACATGAGAAATGACATTAAGTAAATAGAATGTAGTATATCAAGCAAACATTAAATTATGTGGCAAAGCTCTTAGAAGAGACTTGTAGTTGATTTGAAGTCCAAGCAGTACATCTGTGGGCTATTTCCAGATAATTCTCATGCTGATCCCATTGATTAACACTTACTAATAGTCCATGTTTAAGTTACTAAGGCAGTTCTGAATACAAGTCTGTGTGAGGATGCTACTAACAGCACTGCCTCTTCTGGTCCCAAAATAACCCTAGTGGATAACCAGCATGAGGTACAGAGACTGTGTGGAGCTGGTTTGTCAACCTTGACAGGAGTCCTAAGAGAGGAAGGGACACTGAATAGGAACGGGTTTTTCTTAAGTCCTTGACCTGCAGTGATTGGTCTGTGGTGTGCATGGTACATTGAGGGCTGGCTCTAGTCCCTGGAGTAGGCAGCTTTGACCTTGTTTTATACACAGCTGTAATCCTTATAACACTGCTAACACAATCTAAACTGATAGACTGAAAAATGGTCAGCTCCTATATCAAGATGTCTTGCCTTTTCTTCCCATCCTTAGCTAATTCTTGCCAAACTTGCTGATAATAATTACCAGACAGGAATTAACTTGGAAGAACTATGGAAATGCAGGAGGCTTATTAGAGTTCCTGATGAGAGGCTCGGTGGTCTAGGTGGGTGTGTCTGCGGATTCCCTTCATTCGCACGTTTGTTTTGCTGTCGTGTAGAGGTGCTTGCTGAAGGATCTCCACGTCCCCTGTCTTCAGTGCCTGATGTGACACATCACTTGGTAACCATGCAGCCTGGGAGGCAGTCGTATGAGGTTTCTGTCTTGACTGCAGTAAACCCACAGGAGGTAAAGCTGTCTTTTCGTCCTTGTTCTGTTTCTCTGGTGACTACTTGGAGAATGAAAATGAATCTGGTTCAGAGGATCTGAAACATTCTCCACTTTGGTTTCTGTAACCTTGACAACAGCATTGTCCTTTAAGCCAACCATGAGGCCCACTGCAAAGGAGCCGGGATGTCAGGTTCCTGTGAATTGGGAGATTGTTCTGTTGCAGCTGAAACATTCAGCCTTAACATTCTTTTACGCACAGTCCTTAATGAATGATACCCCATTCTTACTGTTCTCTGCCCCACTGTAGCATGAAGTTTTTTTTTTTTTTAAGATTTATTTATTTGAAAGGCAGATCTACATAGAGAAGGAGAGACAATTAGCTTCCATGTGCTTGTTCACTCCTCAAGTGACCACAATGGCCAGAGCTGAGCCGATCCAAAGCCTGGAGCCAGGAGCTTCTTCCAGCTCTCCCACGTTTATGCAGGGTCCCAAGGCGTTGGGCCATCCTCCACTACTTTTCCAGGCCATAAGCTGGGAGCTGGATGGGAAGTGGAGTAGCCAGGGTATGAACTGGAGCACATCTGGGATCCCGGCACTTGAAGAGGATTAGCCAGTTGAGCCATTTCCTTATGAAGATGTTTTTATAAAGAAAATAACATTCTGAAACAATGTGATGCCTAAGCATTAAAAAAAAGAAAAAGTGGTAAGAAAATCGTTAAAAATAAGGCTCAGTTCCTCCAGGGTCAAGTGTGTGGGGAGATAACTGGGCTTACAGGAATGTGTTCTTTTGCTTGTGGAGGAACAGTCACCATTAGCATCAAGGAAGCACATTAGCTAATTCTAAACACCTCCAGCTTTGTGGTCTTTCCCAGAAAACAACAGAAAAACCAACCAGAATGTTAGAATCTCAGAGTGCTTTACTGGTCTTATGGCAATGGATAACTTCATCACAACCTTATTTCATTTGTGTAAGCTTCAGCTAAAACCCGTGTAGCTTGGGCCTGTTCAGTATGATAGCGATAAAGCAGTGTGATCCATTCTTCCCCTCCCTTTTTTTTTTTTTTTTCATTATACTCTTTGCACCACCAGTAGGCTGTTCAGTCATTAAAATGACTGCATCTTGTGTTGAATATTCACAATTGTGTAATATCCCTGGGAGTCCCCAGGATTGCACGGCTCTGGGCTTGCACCTTCTTTGTATTCAGTGCTGAGCTGTGACCCGGTGTCTAAGCCTTGTTGTATTACATTGAGAATCTTCTGCTGTTGGTGTCATTGGTCATCAGACCAACCACTTCTGCCTCATCTGTGGGACTTTACTCTTTTTAGTCTTCATTTTTATGCTTTCAAGTTTTTATTAAAGTTTTTGAAGAGTGTGAGAATAATGTAATGAATCCATATATCTAGTACTCAGTTTCATTTACTTTATACTATTGTTTTATCTTTTTCCCCTTGCTTTTGTTGCTTTTACTGGAGTATTTTAAAGTAAATTGTAGACAGACATGTCATCTAAATCTTGCAATATATACCTGTTATAGAAAAATTAATGAGTTAGTTTAATTGAAAGGCAACAAGGCAGGCCTGGCTCTGTGTGATGGCTCGGTGAGTAAATCCTCGCTGATGGTAAACATTCAGCGAGCAAGCCAGAAGATGCAGGCTCTTTTTCTCTCTCAAATAGATCAATCAGATTTAATATAAAACAAACCTCATAACACCCCATTCCCTGCCACACAGCATTAAATGAAATCTGTGGTTTTTTGTTTAGCTTTGTTATTTTCCTTAAATTACCTATCACTAAATTCTATAAAATTACATAAGTCACCAAATAATTACAAGCACAATAGTTTATCTGTTTATATTTTTAAAAGCCCAGAATTTATTCTTTCCTTTAAAGCTTTATTGGGCCCAGCGCAGCAGCCCAGTGGCTGAAGTTCTCGCCTTGCACCCACCTGATCCCAAATGGGCACTAGTTGGTATCCCAGCTGTTCCACTTCCCATCCAGCTCCCTGGTTATGGCCTGGGGAAGCCATAAGCCCGTGGAAGTCCTTGATTCCTGTGAGCAGGTTCTCCTTCTCAGACAGCCAGAAGGGAAGGGCTCCTGTCTGAGCCTGCAGCCTGAGCTTTGGGCAACACTGACTTAGGGATTTCTGGGCTCAAAGTCACTCACTTTGTACAGCGAGTACCTGACTGTACAAACGGCAGTCTGGCTTTCAGACATGGTGTAGTTGATGACCGTGATTTCAACACCAGCCTCATGCACTGGCTGGTGTGCCAGCCCAGGGCCTTTGTCCACCTGGGTGAGACATGTCTCTGTTCGTGGCTTTTCCCTCGCGGTGCACTCCCCAGCCTCCACTCATCGTCCTTTTACCTAGTGTGGAGTCTCTCCTGAAAACCTACTCTAGGTTTGTTTTCAATCTCTTACAGTTACTAAGCCAAGGCGACTTAACTGACAGACAGACATGAACATGGGTGCCGACTCCTGGCGGACAGCTCTGATGGCAGAGTGCACACAGCGGGAACAGCCTGCCACAACCAGGGTGAATCCGTGAGGATCTACACCTGCCTTCACGTTCCCTGGCACTGAAGGTCGATGTGGGCGAGCTTCTCCTGTCTGCCATCGGATCCAGGCAAGGGGCCAGACAGAGGCTGGGGGCTGCCTGCCTGCCTGGCGCTGCAACTCTTCCTGCTGCAGAATGCTGGGCTCGGCATCTCCCCCCAATGCGTTTGGGTGTGCGTGGGCCGGGCCTTCTCGTGACGGCTGAGGGGAGGTTTGTTCTGAGCGTTCATCCCGCACTCAGCGCTGCTGTTCCCGGGGGTGAGCTTCGCCAGGAAGTTGAGCTTTCAAGATGCCTTGTTCCTTTAAAGGAGGGAGGGATGTCAACCTGTGGCTATTTCTCCCTCTGGCCACCTGAGTAAGAGACTCTGCCTCTGGGCTGCAAAAAATAAATTACTTGAATCTCCTCCTGGCCCAGGCTAAGGTACTATCTTGTCCTGTGCGCCTCTACCCGGTCTCTCTGCTTTCCTCATTCATGAACATTCAGAAGCATGTTGAAGATTTTGATTTTTTAAATTAAAAATCAATGATTCAGAGCTTCAGTTTTCCTTTTAAATAAACAAAACAGCCCAGTTAGTTATTTGACTCTTGTTTTGGATAAAATGTGTTTTCTTAGAGAGATTAAGAAAATCATGCCGTCTTTCCCTTTAAGGCAGAGCACCGGTTTACCCTTGAGATTCTGTGCAGGTAAAGCAATGGCAGAGCGTCAGGCAGCACGGCCCGACGTCAGGTGGCACGGCCCGGGCATCAGGCAGCTGACATCAGGCAGCACAGCCCGACATCAGGCAGCACAGCCCAAGCATCAGGCAGCATGGCCGGAGCATCAAGCGGCACAGCCCAACGTCAGGCGGCACGGCCTGAGCGTCTGTCTTTGTAACTGGGAGGCCAGAGTGCCCAAGCAGCACTCAGCCACCAGTAAGGGCAGGTGTGAGCCTAGAATGGCAGTAGAAATATACACAGGCATTTTTCCAGGAAGGCAGTTAGAAGGGTGCTTCTGTAAAAGGTAGACACCCTTACTCTTCCCCAGTCTACAGCTTCTTGATGAGAAGAGTAGTATTCCAAAAATCACTTGTTAGTAGAGAATCGTGGCTTGAGAGATTTTATTTGAAATGAAGCTCATGCTGACACGGACAGATGCCCACATAGGGGACATTCTCAAGGACTGTACAAGTATCTGTACAAGGAAGTAATTACAGTTCTTGATTAACATGCATAGATAATCATCTTGCACTATGTAGACAGAATTTGTGGCAATGACCTATATTCTTTAAATGCCAGATTTTGCTTCCTCTGGCCTTACTCTTAGTGTTTCCCAATGAGGGACATTCCTGCTCAACAGGCGACATTTGGCGTTGTCTGGAGGCCTGTTTGGCTGTCGCAGCTGAGGGAGGTTTGCTGGCAACTGGGAAGAAAAGGCCAGGGATGCTGCTAAACCCGCAATCCACATGTCAGCTCCCTCCCTCACACAGCAACAAGGTGCTGGGTGGAGGCCCCACACCACAAGGTGCATCTTTGTCATCCTCCATGGGCTAAATCTGATACGTGTGTTTTGTTAACACTCACATAATATTCCTAAACAATTCTAACAAGTTGCAGTATGCAGCTGTCTGGTTTCTCAGGGAATGTGGCAGATTGCCGATTCTTGGTCCATGCTGTCGATACTGCCCTGCTGTCACAGATCCCTTCCCTCCAAGTCTGGTGTGTGTTTCCTGACTAACCTCCTCCCTGTGCGTGTGTTCCCCATGGAACCTAGAGAGCAGGAACCCTAACTTGGTTACGATCCCTCTACCCTCTGACTATTCTGTCACCTGCTATTTCCATTTGTTCAGAGGTTTCGTTTGAGTGTATTGATTAAGCAAGTGGTTTGAGATTGTCTGGGTACTCATAATTCAGCCCCTCCAGTTCCTCCTGGGGATGGGTAGGCCAGCCCGGAGAGTCCTCAGGATCCTGCTGTGGCTCTCTGGTGCCAAGCTCTGTAATTTCATGAGTGCTGCAGAGGAAATGAAGGCATTAAGAAACAGAAAATGTTCACTTCAACAGAGATCGTGCAAGGCATCAGAAAGTTCTCCACATGGTAGGACTTGGGTTAGCAGTGAAGAGGCTGGCTGGATGCCTGCAGCCTATGCTGCAGTGCCTGATTCAAATACCAGCTCCACCATCCCCCCCCCCCCATTCCAGCTTCTTGCTGCTGTGCCCCTTGGCAGGCAGCAGCTGATGGCTCGACTAGCTGGGTTCCTGTCACCTATACAGGAGGCCTGGTTGTGTTCTGAGCTTCTTGCTTTGTCCTCAGTATTGGACCATTAGGGGAATTTGAAGATTACTTACTAATAGTGTGGTGGTTTCCAAATACCAGTTGCTGGTCTAAGAGTGCCCCCTGGCGGTGTTACTAGGGATAACAGGGAGCCGCAGAGTGATGGCGGCATCTCAGATTACCTAGGCAACTCCTTGGCATGGACTTCCTCCCCTTGTACCATCTTGCAGTCCTGGCCCTTGTTCTTCACGAAGTCTTCCTCTAGCCCGACCTGTTTCAGGGCATCTTGATACCGTTGTTCGGCTGCTTTTCTGGCAATGTTCTGGAGGATGGAAATTACATCTGTTGGAGCCGTTTCGTGAATGACTGCATGATGCTAAATCACCTTTTGAATTAGTATCCGTATGATACTCACACTACCATCGCATGCTGTGTTGGCACAGATTCCGGTGGTGACTTGGAGCCTTGTTTTTTAAGCATTAATGTACGTGTGAGTCCTCCAAGGATTTTGCTAAATGCACATTGTCATTTGTTAGGACTCAAGTAACGCATGCAATTCTGTATTTCTTTCTTGTTTTCTCAATATTTATTTTAAGGACAGGAAGAAAGAAGAGGGAGGGATGGAGAACGAGAACAAGGGAGGGCACGAGAGGCCGTCCATCCTTCTGTTTACCGCTCAAAGCCCTGTAACAGGCAGGTGTGGGCCTGGCTGAAGCCAGAGCCTGGGTCTCCATCTGGGTCTCCCCCCTCTTCTGCTGCCTTGCCAGGTGCACTAGCAGGAAGCTCAACCAGAAGTGGAGGAATCAGTGCTCAGGCCATGAGGTGCATATATCTCAAGAAGCAACAGCAGCTTAACCTCCTCTGCCACACCACCACCCCAAATTCTACATTTATTTTATGATAAGGATGTTATTTTTATTTGAAAGGTCGAGTTAGAGAAGGAGATACAGAGAGGGAGATCTTCTGTCTACTGATTCCATCTTCAAATGGCTGCAACTCCTAGAACTGAGCCCATCAAATACCAGGAATCAGGAGCTTCCTCTGGTCTCCCAGATGGATGTAGGGGTCCAAGGCTTTGGACCATCCTCTGCTGCTTTCCCAGGCACATTAGCAGGGAGCTGGATGAGAAGTGGAGCAGTTAGGACATGAACCAGCACCCATATGGGATGCTGGCACTGCAGGCAGAGGTTTAGCGTACTATGCCATGGCTCCCCAAATGTTATGTTTCTAACACTTCCAGGAAATGTTAATGATTGATGTGGCAGCCATACCTTTGAAAAACAAAGACTTGGGCCCGGCATGATGACCCGGTAGTTAAATACTTTCCTTGCATGCACAGGAATCCCACATGGGCACTGGTTCATATCCTGGCTGCTCCACTTCCTTTCCAGCTCCTTGTCTGTGGCTTGGGAAAGCAGTCAAGGATGGCCCAAAGCATTGGGATTCTGCACCCACATGGAAGACCCAGAAGGGGCTCCTGGCTTTGGATTGGCTCAGCTCTGGCCAATGCGACCACTTGAGTAATAAACTAGTGGATGGAAGATCTTGCTTTCTGCCTCTCCTTAGCTCTCTAAATTTGCTTTTCCAATAATTTAAAGATTTATTTATTTTTATTGGAAAGGCAGATATATAGATAGGATGAGAGACAGAGAGGAAGATCTTCCATTTGATGATTCACTCCCCAAGTGGCTACAATAGCTGGAGCAACACTGATCTGAAGCCAGGAGCCCAGATCCTCTTCTGGGTCTCCCACGCAGGTGCAGAATCCCAAGGCTTTGGGTCATCCTCAACTGTTTTCCAAGCCACAAACGGGGGGCTGGATGGGAAGTGGGGCTGCCAGGATTAGAACCAGTGTCCATACAGGATCCCAGTGCTTTCAAGGTGAGTAGTTAAGCCACTAGACCACTGCGCAGGGCCCAAGGTAAATAAATCTTAAAAGAGAAAAAAAAAAAAGATTTCCGCCTTTCTAGACTACTCAGGGGACCCCAGGTTTCCTTAGGGAGATCCTTACCTGTGTCTGACTACTCTAAAAATAGAAAATACAATAGTGATTCTCCCAGTCCAAAAGCTACTTCATCTGGAGAGAGCCTTGTGGAGTGTTTGGGAGCATTCTGACCCCTGGCACCTGTCTGTGTGCCACGCTCTAGAAGCTGGCAGTGCCTGGGCCACCAGCACGCTGCAGAGGCATGCACTGGCTCCAGACCCAGGAAACAGCCGCTGTGTGTCTGGATCAAGCGCCCACTCTGGTTCAGTCTGAGTGAAAAATTTTGGCAATGAAATGCAAATCCCAGGGCTGGCGTGTGGCACCACACATTAAGTCACTGCATGTGGCATCCTCTGAGGGCACTGCCTTGCACCTGGCTGCTCCATTTCTGATGCAGCTCTCTGCTAACGTACTGGGAAAAGCAGCAGCAAATGGCCCAAGGGCTTGGAGCGCCCCAGCTACCCATGTGGGAGACCTGGATTGAAGCTTCTGGCTTCAATGTGGCCCTGGTCCTTACCGTCATGGTTACTTGGGGACTGACCCAGAAGATGGAAGATCTGTTCCTTTCCCCACCCCCGTAAGGAAGTATGTCTTTAAGTAACTCAATAAATTTAACTATAAATATATTACCCTTTACAGATAGATGGAATCTAGTTTGGATGAAATTCTAACAAGCACTTTTCACTATTAATTTGGGAAAAGATGGTAGGAATAAGAGTTTGTGAGCTTCAAGGAAATGTTTGACCTTCGCATTGTAAAACTTTGGTAATTTTTAAAAATTCTTTCACCCAAACAGGAAAAAAAAGATAGCGGCTTGGCTTTACCTTTGTGACTTGTTCAAAGAGGTAGGGGCGTGTCTGTATTCTCCTCTTCATTTCCTCCAATTCTCTCTTATACTCTTTTGTTCTTTTACGGTCATTGTTCCTGGAATTAAAAAGGTTTCTAGCAACAATGCTGTCTTTTCCAATCCAGGGTGCCCTCCCAGCTAAGCAGAGAATGTGCCCCAAGCCTTGTAAACTAACTGCTGCGTGGTCCTGGGCACCCTCGGGACTCCACGTGCTGCCTTCAAGGTCTGCCACCCTCAGACCCCTTAGGGGCCATCCTCGGACCCCCTAGGGGCCATCCTCGGACCTCCGTAGGGGCCATCCTCGGACCTCCGTAGGGGACACTGACCGGTTCTCTTTCAGCTTTGCTTTGAACACTTCCTCCAGGCTCCTGTGGGGATCCATGGCTTTGGCACGCAGGGTCACAGATTTAGACATGGCTTGACAGTTCTTCTTGTGCATCTCCAACCACTGGAGGCCCTCATCAGCTCTGTCCTTTTTTTCCAGTGAATTTCTAAAGGGAGGAGGTGGGAAGCAGCATAATGGGAAGCAGTCTTGGCAGCCCCTTGGGGGGTCAGGCTGGCATTCTCTGTCAGCAGTGCTGGCATGTTCAGCGGGAGCAGGATCCTGCGATTGATTCTACTGGCAAATGAAGTCTAACACTGCAGACACAGTGATTCGGAGGGCATGGGCGTTTAAACAGCCTCAACAGGTCTTTGCTAGACTTCCTGCCTGCCTGTCTGCAAGAATACCAAGAGCTTCCATTTACTGAGCCACCTGCCATGACCCAGCACCACGATACTATGTATTCTTCATGACTGCTTTCAGAGGTAAAGACTGATGTACAGAGAGGGTGAGCCACCTGCTCAGAGATACCCAGCCTGCCAGGGGCTTAGCCGGGCTCTCTGACTCTAACCTGAGGACTCGAATGTGCCTAGGTTCATGGTTTTTGGGGATGCAAATCTCCATTTCTAGGTAGACAATATGGGGCCAAACGTGTAGCACCCAACTGGTGTGACTGTTATTTTCTAAGGTGCTATGGAGCATTCCCCCACCATGAGACAGTCACAACGTGTGTTTGGATGTGTATGTGAAGAAGAGCGTGAAAATGCGTCACCTCTTAGGTCCAGCTCCCCACCGCGGGGAAGCAGATCTGATCCCCGGGAGGTTTGGGTCACCTGGCCCAGAGGAGGTGGGTGTGTTTGGCGCTGACTTGGAAGCTCCAGCTGGGAGGTCGGAGGGGGAAGGGAGCACCCCTTGGATCCTAAACTGCAGTCCCTTCGGGAACTTAAGGAGTGGAGGAGGCCCCAGGTATTTCCCTGTGAGCTCTGTGAGGAGGCACGAGGACGACAGGCCTCTCCCAGGACCATGCTGCTCACCACCCTGGTGACCTCGCCTGCTTGCTCACACATGTGCAGAGGTGACCCTGCAGCAGGGGTCTCTGTGGTCTGTGCCTGGGAACTCTCGTCTTGGTGGCAGGCCCAGCTGACTGCTTTCCTCTGTGGGAAAACCCCTATGGGATTTCCCATGTTGCTCTTTTTATCTGGCTTACTCCTCTTTATTCATCAAGTTTTTCCTTAAATAGCCCTTTTAAGACACGAACGAGCCGGGACAAGGCTGCCCAGCGCCCGCTGAAGCTCCCAGATGCCCTTCCTGTACGCCTCCTGTGCGACTGTTGCTATTGCTTTGCTATTCTGTGTTCCAGACAGGATGTGACACCACAGGCTTCCTGAGGAATCTCCAGCCTGACACGGCGCCTGGCAGTCAGATTCCCCCTGAACATGTGCTTCACCGAAAGCTCTGCTCCCCAGCCGCAGGTGTTCCTGCCCTCATCAAGGGGTCCCCTCCGACTCAGGGAGGAGCTAGGAGGCCCAGCTGTGGGGTACTCTCCAGCCCCAGGACTCAGCAGAGTGCCACATCCCACTCACCTGACAGCCAACTCCCGCTTCCTGGTGGCATCCGTGATGTGCACGGGCAGAGTGTTGGCCGAGAGGGCAGCCAGGCCACTCAGAGAACGACTCCTTGGCAGGGGTGTGGCTGGTGGCCGCGGGGAATCCTAGGAGAGATGAGGGCCGCAGTGGGTAGGCCTGTCTTAGCCAGGATCTGGCTTTAGTGAAGGGCTGACAATGGGAGGCCTTCTTCCCCACCCAACCCTCCACTGCCCTGCAGGGATCAGGCTAGGAGAATGAGCTCTCAAGTTCAATAATAGACGTGTCAACTCTCAGGTGTTCAGTCAACGAGAAGACTTGGCACAGGGGCAAAAGGCTGATGGCCACTGCCTGCCTGCAGATCTGCTTGACCCTCTGCTTGACCCCTCAAGCAGGCAGAATTACGGAGAAAGGGAGAGACAGAAAAAGATCTTCCATCAGCTGGGTCACTTCCAAAATAGCTGCAAAGACCAGGAGTGGGCCAGTCCAAAGCTACAAGCCAGAGGCCTCCTCTGCATCCCCCACGTGGCTGGCAGGAACCTGAGCACTTGGGTCATCCTCTGCTGCTTTCCCAGGTGCATGAGTGGGGAACTAAATCAGAAGTGGAGCAGCCAGGGCTCACACAGGAGTTCATACGGGGCGCCAGCAACACAGGTGCAGCTTCACGTGCTACACCACAACGCCGGGCCCCTCTGTGATGTTGCTTTAACAGGAATTTGAATCTGCTCATAACTGAGCAGTTGGATTGTTTTGTTTGTTTGTTTGTTTTTTTATAAAGTGAAGAATGACTTGAACAGTGTCTCCCTGGGGCCCTCCCCAAGGTTCGGGTGTCAAGCTCTGGCCACTCCATGTCTCACCAAAGCTGCTGGGCTCTCACCCTCTTCCCTGCGGTGGCGGCACTGGTGGCAGTGGCACAGGGCCGCTGGCTGTGTCGCAGGTTGGCAGTCCTCAGCGAGAAGGGCTGGCTGCGCGTGGCCTCGCGGCTCTGCCATCCCCTGGCCGCTCTCCTCTGGAAGGCCCTGTAAAGGCCCTCGTAGTCGGGGACTGAGGGGTTCACCCGGGGCTGGAACCCAAAATCAGCCTGCAGAAAGGCCAGCTTTCTTTCCTGGGTCCGCGCAGCTGTTCGGGGCCGGGGCTCAGCCCCGCTGCTTGGGGCTGGGATCGGGGAGGAGGCCATTTGGAGGGTGTCCAGGGCACGCATCTGGATGCGGATTTTCCTGAGCAGCTCGGCCTCTGAGGAGACAGAGCATGATGGTCAGCGTGTGGGCAGCATGCCTCCTACCAGGACCCTCCCAGTCGCATGCTGGGGCTATCTGCTGACTTCTGGGGAGTTCTGAGGGAGCCTACATCATCCAGGAAGCTGGAAGTTGGCTGCGAGAGGAGTGTTTGGGCAAGCATGACAAAACAGCCTGCTTTTCATCTTTTCTGGGCGCCTCACTGGTAAACCCTGCCCAGGGTGCCATGGCCAGAGCCGACCAGATGACGGAAGCAGCCACATGCCGGCAACCAGCACTGTCTGTGACTCCCACTGCAGACCGGAAGCAGGAGGAAGTGGCCGGGCTGCTCTCCCATCTCAAAAAGGCTCCTCCAGCCACCTGTCACCCAAGCCCCACGTCCAAGTCATTCTGGACCGCTGCCTCCTCAGCCACGATCCTGCCGTCCCCTCGTCTTCAGCCTCTTGTGCTCCATCCTCTGCCATCCCTGTTTCATTTTCCAGCACACTTGCTGGCTTCACCTCCCCTGGGGTTGGCATCCCTCCACTGTGGCTGACACCATTAGTTACAGCCCCAGCATTGAGCCCGAGCAGCTCGTGTGCCTCATACAGCGCCCAGGAGATGAAGTCCAAACACCTGCCCGTGGCCTCCGGGTCCCCTGGGGCGGGCCTAAGCCGCTCCTTTCCCTTCCCTGCCCCTTCTCTTCACCCTCTCAGCTTCCTCCCATCACCATCCTCCATCAGCCTGGTCAGCCCTATGACCGCATCCACCAATGGTTCCTCCTTCAGGGTGGTCCTGGGCTCACTTCCTTTGGGAACTGTCTGTCCCAAACAGGCCCCACCCAACCACACCCTTGGTCCCTCTGCCCCCTTTAGTCTTCACAAGTGATGGCTGCAGTTTCTAATTGTTTCTGTCTCACTCACAGTCTGTCCACTGCACTGTAGTGGCACATGTAATTAAAGGGCGAGTGAGGCCTGTGGCCCTCATGCAGAGCCCTACTTTGGAGGAGGCGTAAATATCCACTCTGACAGTGATTGACAGGCCTCAACCTGGCTGCCGAGGAGGAGCAGGAGCAATCCTCAGGTGCAGCTGATCTGAGGTGACACCACAGTCCCTGACCGTCTCACTTACTTTGTTCTTGCACCTGCACTGTCACCTGAGAAGGTAACAGGAAGGCATGGGGGCAATGCAGTAGGCTTTCCCACTGCTCGCACTGCACAGGGCTCCCCACTGTTCACCCCCCTGCTAAGCCTTCTCCCACAGCCTGCCCTGAGCATGCAGCCCCTCATGGGTCTGCATGAACTGCCTGTCTCTAAGCCAGGCTCCCCCAGGCCACAGTGATGAGCTGTCTTACCCTGGAGTTTATCCCCAAGGGCGGGCTCGAGAATGGACTTGGGGATCCTCCTGGCCGCCTTCTGCTTGGTGGCCTTGGCCTTGGCTGTGGCAGCCGTGTCTTGGTGTCTGGCAGCTTCCTTCCGTTGCTCTTCCTTCTGCAGGAAGCTGAAGGGCTTCAGGGAGGACAGCAGCAGCTCCTTCCTCTCCTGGATCCCCGCCTGCCTGCGTGCTTCACTGCGTGCCACCAGCTCCTGGTAGAGGGGCAGGTAGACGTGCGCAGGCACGGGCTGCGCCCGGAACTGTCGCTGACACTCGGCCTCCTCCTGGCCCTGCCGCCTCCCTTGCTCGAAGGAGGTGGGGGATGCCAGCCGCTGTGCCTTCTTGCGGGCCTCGCGTAGCGTCATGCGGAATGGCCGAGGGACCGTGATGGACGAGGCCCAGGCACTGATGCTCCTGTGCTGGGATGGAGGCCTGGAGCCCTGGGCTGGCTGGAGCTGAGAGCTGGTGCTGGCCCTGTCCAAGGGGAGGCTGCCCAGGGAGCTACAGCGCCTCGTGGTGCCATACCTAGGGGACAAAGCAGAGCTGTGTCTTGAGGATAATCCTTGTGCCCAGCGCCCAGTGCCTGGCAGGCAGTGCATGGCCTGATTTTAGTCCCACAGGCTTCCCTCTCTCCCATGGGCAATCCTGGCTGCCCTGACGGAAAGTCTGCTCTCAGAAGCAACCTGAGATCTGCCAGCATGCGGGTGACATTTCTATAGAAGACAGACCAGGACAAAGGGTAGGGATGGGGGATTCAGTCAGACTTCAAATCTGGCCACGGTTCTGCTACAGCCACGCATTTCTCGGGTGCAGAGTGGCAAAAACAATACTGAGTTACAGAATTACAGGCAGGAGAAAGGAAATATGCAGTGAAGTAATGTGCACTTGACCAAGGTGAAGGTACTACCCATGTTCATGCCCGGGGCAGCACTGGGGAGCCAGCATCTCCCCATCCTTGCCCAAGACAAAGAGAAGAGCCAGCCGGGATCGCCTGCGGCTGCAGAGTAGGCCAGTGGCTGGCTGCGCAGTCGTACCTGGGAGACAGAGGCTGCACCACAGGCTGCTGGTCCTTGCCCTGGTCTTGGAGGAAGCCATCCAGGTCTTCGTCATCTTCAGAGGGGTGCTCGTCACTGTCTGGGTCCGACGGAAAGAGAGACTCCAGCAGACGGCACCTGCCTTCATGCCCGAGCACCTGGGGCTTCTCCCGCAAGCTCTCTGAAGAGTCCCAGGTAGACCCTGTCTCCTCCTCAGAACCAAGGAACTCAGCCAGTCGGCCGGCCCTGGGCAGAGGCAGCCGGTCCGCAGAGAACTCCTCTTCTGCCTCCGAGTCTGAGGAGGACTTGGGGGGAAACACCTAAAGCAGAACGGAAGCAGATGGGGTCTGGGACCAGCCACCATTTTAAAGGCATCCCAAACAGCACTGTTCGCGTCACTTCTAATGATGGACTCGATGTAAGTTTCTGCACGGGGGAGTGAGGAGGGTGAGCAGGAGCCAAAAGCTGTGAGATGGGTTCCTTGCTCTAAAGGAATGCAGAGTGTGCCTGGCCAAAAGGCAGGGCAGGGGGTCTAACAGCCCAGGCCGGCCGCCTGCTCCATGTGGTGCAGTAGCCTCCTCAGCAGCCAACGTGTACCAGGAAGCCTGCCCTGCCCCCACCAACGCACATGACACCTGCTTGCTACCCACCTCCCTGCTCCAGCAGCCCATCTGGCTGGCCTCTGGCCTCATGTTCTAGCTGCTTGTCACTGTCACTAGGAATGGATGATTCATGAGAGAGGGGTCTCATGGAAAAAAACAATGTCCACAACACTAGCTAGGAGAGGCAGACAGTGTGAGATGGTAATAAATTGAATGAAAGGGCCAGTGCTGTGGCTCAGTTGGCCAATCCTCCCTGTTAAAGAACCTGGGTATGGCAATGAATAAAAAAATCACTATTTAGAGCCTGGCGTGGTAGCCTAGTGGCATGGTAGTCTAGTGGGACCCCTTGCCTTGCCTGTGTTGGGATCCCAAATGGGCACCAGTTCTAATCCTGGCTGCTATACTTCCCTTCCAGCTCCCTGTTTGTAGCCTGGGAAAACTGTCAAGGAGGGTCCAAATCCTTGGGACCCTGTACCCATGTGGGAGACCCGGCTTCAGATCAGCTCTGCTCTGGCCATTGTGGCCTCTAGGGTAGTGAACCAGCAGATGGAAGATCTTTCTATATCTCTTCTGAATATCTGCCTTTCCAATAAAAACAGATAAATAAATCGTAAAAAAAAAAAAAGAAATGACCATTTAGAAGGGAGAAGTTAGCCATTTTGCAGCCAGGGACGGGGACGCTAAGAGACCCACTGATTTTTCTCTCTGATCTTGCCGCAGGCTGCACTGACGTCCATGGCCGTCCGAGCTGTACCTTCCTGACTCTGGACTGACTCTTATTCGCTCCCTGTGAGGGAATTTTGGGTTGACACCCAGCTTTCCAAGGAGTCGGCCTCGCTGAGGTTGGCTTGGAATGTTCCAGGTTTAAGGAACAGGAGTCACAAAGGCCTTGAGGAACAAGGGTGAATCCAGAGTCCCAGAGGGGCTGGGGGACAGCACGTGCCGTGTCCCAGCTGAGGCAGGCATGTGGTCAGGCTGAGGCGAGATGGACATTTACAGAGGATACCTGGCAGGAGTCGGGGGCGGAGGGGCGGGCCAGGGGTGCTCACACATGTGGCACTGGGTGATGGTTACATTGGATTCTCTAAGGTCCAGCCACAATCCCCGATTTTGAGGCGAACTTCTTTTTTTGTTTGTTTTTGTTTTTTTAAGATTCATTTATTATACTGGAAAGTCAGATATACTGAGAGGAAGATCTTCTATCCACTGATTCACTCCTCAACTGACCACAATAATCAGAGCTGAGCTGATCCAGAGCCAGGAACCAGGAGTCTTTTCCAGGTCTCCCACACGGGTACAGGGTCCCAAGGCTTTGGGCCATCCTCCACTGCTTTCCCAGGCCACAAACAGGGAGCTGGGAGGGAAGTGGAGTGGCCCGGATACAAACCCGTACCCATATGTGATCCTGGTACATGCAAGATGAAAATTTAGCCACTAGGCCATCGCATTGGACCATCCGTTTTTTAGGTCCGCTGGTGCCATAGCTAAATCCTCATTCCGCCCTGAAGAAGCTCCTGGCTCTGGACCGGCTCAGCTCCGGCCATTGCGGCCACCTGGGCAGTGAACCATTGAAGGAAGAGCTTTCTAATCTCCTCTGTGTAAATCTGTCTTTCCAATAAAAATAAATATATCTTTAAAAAACAAAAAGACCCCCACACTTTTTTCACAGTCATCCTTTATTTTCTGTAATTCCCTCTCCAAACACACACACCACCGGCAGCAATCACGCTCGAGGCGGCCGCCACTCGATTTTTGGTTTTTTGATTTTCGGTCTCTGTGGATCAGAGACTCTGTGCATTGGCCTTCCATCCTGCAAAATGAGGATGGTGGTCGCATGAGGGTCCCAGGAGGCTGCAGCGCGAGTTCGCCCGCCCCTAGCGACACGCCTCCATGGACGTCGGTCTCCATGGCAACATGCACCCGATTCCTCCCTCACGGATTCCTTCCCGAAGCGCAGCCCCGCTTCCTCCCTTTGTCTCTGCTCACCTGGCGGCTCCACTCCGAGTCACCGGGCGCTCCCGCAGGCCTCCCCACGGTCATCTCTCTTCAGCCAAGCTAGTGCAGCAGCCGCGGTGACAGCTGCTGGCGACGCCACCGCCTCGGCCACCGACCAGCCAGGTTCCGCCCCTTTCTCAATTTCGTTGTCCTGATTGGCTTCCAGGACAACCTGCTACCAAATCCTTCCCACGAGAAAAAAAATCTCGTTTTGTGATTGGCTTATCCTCTTCCTCCGTGCGTTCTTATTTCCGGTTCCGAGGACGCGGCTGAAGCAGCACCGGATTGGAGGGCTGAGCTCCGGAAGTGCTGCTTAAGGTGCCCCTGGCGGGACGTCTGGGCTCGGTGGAGCAGATCAGCACCATGGCGGCCTGCTTGGCCGTCTCCCGGTGCGCGGCAGCACCTGTGGCTGCCCGCCGAGGCCCGCTGGTCTGCAGCCGGAGGTGGTCCGGCGCCTCCGCAGACACCGTGTACGATGTGGTGGTGTCGGGTGGAGGCTTGGTGGGCGCGGCCATGGCCTGTGCTTTAGGTAAGTGCGTCTCCAGCTCCGGAATAAGCGGGGAAGAAACAAAATAGGGCGGCGGGGGCGTCACGCGGAACTTGGGGATCCCGGCGTTGTTTGCGCCCCCCGAGTCTTGATTGTTCCCTGCTGCCCTCCCGGAGTGGACTCCAGGAAGCGTTTGCTGCTTCGGGGGCCAGCAGGGTCCAGAGTGGGCCGGGCCTTTCTCAGTGAACCCCGAGGAAAAGCAGGGTTGGTGTGGAGCGCAGGTCGAAGTCATCAGCCGTTAAGTGATGAAACCGGTGCGGTAACCTAGCGGCTAACGTCCTTGCTTTGAACGTACCTCATCCCATCTGGGCACCGGTTCTAATCCCAGCGTCCCAGCTTCCCATCCAGCTCCCTGCTAGTGACCTGGGAAAGCAGTCAAGGACGGGCCAAAGCCTTGGGACCCTGCACCCACTTGGGAGACCCAGAAGAGGCTCCTGGCTTCCGATCAGCTCAGCTGCAGCCATTGCGGTCATCTGGGGAGTGAGTCAACGGACAGGAGATCTTTCTGTCTGTCTTCCTCTCAGTATATCTGTCCTTTCAGCAAAATTAAGTAAATCTTATTTTAAAAGTAGACTGATTGTCTAAAGCAGATGTGGTCCCTGACTTGCTCGGCTGCCTTCTTCATTCTGGCCATTGCCTCTCCCTTCGCTCTCACCCTGGCGAGGCCACTGCCCCACAGATGCCCACTCCATACCTCTGACTTTCTAAGTGTGAGCTCATTAAGCCTCTTCTGGGTCAAGAGCCTGGCTTTGGGTATCTTATTACAGTCCCAGCGAATGGACGCCTATGCAGCTCCCCAGGGAGCTGGCAGGAAGCCATACCTTGCCTGAGACAGTCAGGCTGGTGTTACCTAGGTTAAGCCTTAAGTCTGCACACATTTTAATTTAATCCCTGCAATAACCTTCAGTGTAGATTGTACAGATAAAGAAGTTAAAACTCAGAAAAGTAGCTTGAACCCAAGGACAGATTCTTAAAGATGCAAAACTTTGTTGAGAAGATAACCCTTCCTGGTGGGTTTAAATACATCCCTGCTCACTGGCAGCTGCTTTGTCCCTGTTGGTAAGTGGGCCAGAATCCTGGCTCTCAAACTTGGGTGCATTTTGTTTTTCTTGGATTTTGGGTAATAAGACAGGAAGATGCCAGGTTCCAAAGTACTTACTGGTATAGCCATTTACGGTGGAGACTGTGTGTGTGTAGCACGGGGTGAGCCTTGCAGTTTGATTGCTCACCCCCACTTCGGCACAGCAGTCAGGTTGCCAGCTGTGGGGCAAATTTACAAAGCGAGGATTCCAGATTCTGCTTCCAGAGACCCTGACTCAGTTGGTTCAGGTGGACCAGGAACTCTTGGGTTTTGCTTGGTTTTTTTTGAAAGTGGAGTTACAGAGAGGGAGAGAGAGAGATTGAGAAATCTTCCTCTGCTGGATTGCTTTCCAAATGGCCGCAAGGGCCAGAGCTGAGCCAATCTGAAGGCAGGAGCCAGGAGCTTCTTCCAGGTTTCCCATGTGTGTGCAGGGGTCTAAGGACTTGGGCGGGCATCCTCCAGGGCACAAGCAGGGTGTTGGATGGGAAGTGGAGGAGCTGGGACTCAAATGAGCACCTATATGTTGTATCCTGGTGAGGATTTAGCTACTGAACCATCACAGTGGGCTCCCAGTATAAGATTCTGCTTGTAAGCATATGGAAGCAAGCTGAAGGCTGTGTGCACCAGGTTATAAGAGTCGCTTGCTGCTGTCAGTCGAAATTGCCAAATGCAGATTTACCAAGGGGTCACACAGCAGCTGGTTTCCTAAGGTCATTCAGGGAAAAACAAAAACAAAAACCACTATGTTAAACCCTGAAGGCTGACGCTCTGGGCTGGGAGCTGTTTTCCTGTTAGATGAACAGAGTGAGATGGAGAGGCCGTCTCCGGAGGTCCTCTCGGCCTGCTCAAGGGCAGTTGTGGAGCGTGGGTAACACGTGCTCTCCTTGATGCTTGCAGAGGACGTGCTGGTCATGGTTTACACAGCCCAACCATCAGCATCCCCTTAGCTGCTTTAAAAGCAAGAGTGTTACCTGGCAGGCTCTTAATAGTTCGCCGGGAGACAGCCCGTTTTCCTTTGAGTCTCTCCTGTTTAAACTCACACGGGTTTGCAGCTTGAACCATTAAATTTCCCTACCACATTATTTGTAAATTCTCTGGTGTTTTTTTTTCCCTCTAAGTGAGTTTCCTGAAGTGTTATGTAAAACAAATGAGAAGTAAGATACCAAACCTGGCTCTATTTCATTTTTTTTTTAAATTTATTTCTATTACAAAGTCAGATATACAGAGAGGAGGAGAGACAGAGAGGAAGATCTTCCGTCCAATGATTAACTCCCCAAGTGAGCGCAACAGCCGGTGCTGCGCCAATCCGAAGCCAGGAACCAGGAACCTCCTCCAGGTCTCCCACACGGGTACAGGGTCCCAAAGCTTTGGGCCGTCCTCGACTGCTTTCCCAGGCCACAAGCAGGGAGCTGGATGGGAAGTGGAGCTGCCGGGATTAGAACTGGCCCCCATATGGGATCCTGGCACGTTCAAGGCGAGGATTTTAGCTGCTAGGCCACGCCGCCGGGCCCAACTTCATTTTTTTAAAATATATTTTTATTTGAAAGACAGATTTTACAGAGAGAAAGAGACAGAGAAAGATCATCCACTGGTTCACTCCCCGAAATGGCACAATAGCTGGAGCTGAGCTGCTGTGAAGCCCGGAGCCAGGCTCCTCTTGTGGGTTTCCTACGTGGGTGCAGGGTCCCAAGGACTGGGCCAACCTTTGCTGCTTTTTCTATGCCATTAACAGAATGTTGGATGGGAAGTGGAGTAGCCAGGACACGAACTGGCATCCATTTGGCATGCCAGCACTGCAGGATGGAGGATTAGCCTATTGAGCCATGGCACTGGCCCCCTGGCTGTGCTTTGTGATGCTTGTCGGAACTGAGTCTTCTCCCTTTCAGTATCCCAGTCCATGTCACCCTGCAGACACCCAGGCTGTACTTGATGGGTACAGACTGCAGGAAAGAAATGTCCATTTCTCAGCCCTTCTTCGCTCCCCCTCCCCAGGGTGGAGGTGGCAGGGGAGGGCGATGGGAGGAATGAGCTGAAAGCTGCCCTGGGGGAGTGAGCCTGCGACCCTGCCCCAAGGAATCTGGGGAGCTCTGGCAGGGGGAGCAGCTGCCCTTCCATTAAGGTGCAGGGGTGTGAGGACGGAGGGCACTGTCCTCTGTGTGGGTGGCATGTCCCCGCACCCCAGCCTCCACAGAGACTCCCATGGTACCCACAGGGCACGACGGCCAGTGGGTTCAGTGCCTGTCCCTGCTGGCTCCCCTGGAGTGGACTTGGGCTTTTGCCCTTGCTGCTCTAGATGCTGTAACAAAACCTCTTTTTACACTTTGGTTCTAAACCACTTTCTTACGTCATGAGGTAGAAGTCTGTGCGTATCCTTTTACAAAGTAAAACCTGTGGTGTTTTTCTCCCCCTGGTGATCACTTCACAGCTTGGCTTGAGCCATCCTCTGCTGCTTTCCCAAGTGCATTATCAGGGAGCTGGATGGGAAGTGGAACAGCTAGAACTTGAGTCGGTGCCTAAGTGGGACACCAGTGGACAGGCTGTGGCTTTGCCTGCTGTGCCACAGCTCTGGCCCCTATATATTCCGTTTTTATGTCGAGTAGTGACTTACTACTCTGAGGATTGGAAATGGCTGGTTTTTGAACACTGTAGTCTTTTCTATTGTGTTCTTCCTCAGGCATGCAGTTTGCTAGTTAGGGCCTTCTACATTAAGTGCTTCTCTGCGTGGGGCAAGTGGTGGACTCTGGGGAAGGCGGTTCTCGGGCGGCGTGGTGGGCTCTGTCTCCATGTAGGACTCCACGTGCGTACTGCTGACCTCACATGCCCCGCAGGAAGTCTATGCTACGGCCCAAGAAACTAGTTAATCTGTTGGTTATCTTGAAAATAGGAAGGGGAGTAATTCCTAGATTTTCCTAAAATGATATGAAACGTTGCGTTCTCTTTTTAGGCCATGATATTCACTTCCGTGACAAGAAGATTCTGTTAATAGAAGCAGGTCCAAAGAAAGTATTGGAGAAATTGTCAGACACTTACAGCAACCGTGTCAGCTCCATCTCGCCTGGCTCTGCAACCCTGCTCAGCAGTGAGTAAAGGCCTCTTTCCTACACCCATTCCGCTTCCCTTCTCAGTCTCCAAGTGAGTCCCTGGGAAGTGTGCCGTGCAGAGCGCCTGGCCCAGAGGGCCTGCCCAAGGCCATGCCCAGTGGACAGTGAGCCCGTGGGACACGTGTACCCCACTGTGGAATTGAAACAGGATGAGTGCCCCCTTTTCATTCTCAGGGTCAAGGCAGACAGACATATGCAGTGGCTGCGCCAGGGCCTGTCTAAAGGCAGTACCCCACAGTGGAACACCTCTGTCACTGCCTGGCCCCGTGGTGCCAGTGTTCCTCCCTGACACTGCTGTGCGACTGTGGTGTCTGGTCAGTGCTCCTCTCGCCAGTGACAGTGGCAGCTGCAGAAGGACAGGGACTTTATCCATCTGGTTTCCCGCTTGATCCTCAGAATTGGAGCTGTATCTGGCACAAAGGTCCACAGTAAATATTTCTTCAATAACTGAATAAAAGCTGGAGAGTTTGGAGTTGCAGTAGGAAGATGAGGACAAAAGAACAACATGGATCCAGCTTCCTTTTTTTTTTTTTTTCTTTTTAAGATTTATTTATTTTTACTGGAAAGTCAGATTTACAGAGAGGAGACAGAAAGAAAGATCTTCCATCCACTGGCCCACTCCCCAAATGGCCACACTGGCCGGAGCTGTGCCAATCTGAAGCCAGAAGCCAGGAGCTTCTTTTGGGTCTTCCATGTGAATGCTGGGTCCCAAGACTTTGGGCTGTCCTCTACTGTTTTCCCAGACGACAAGCAGGGAAATGGAAGGGAAGTGGAACAGCCAGGACAGAAACTGGTGTTCATATGGGATCCAGGCTCATGCAAGGTGAGGACTTTAGCCACTAGACTGTCAGGCCCCCAGCTTCTTTAATTGCTGCTGCTGTAATGTGTCTCGACTTATTGGGTATCTTTCCATGCTGCACAATCTGAAACTGGAGAACAGAACAGCGCAGGTCCTGGTGCCAAATCCAGCAGGCAGGGAGGATTTTCTTCTCAGAGAATACTGAAAACAAGTTCTTACTTGACCGAGTGTGGGGCCCAGGGCTTCGCTGGTCCCTGTAGGGCCGCTGTGGTCTATGCATGGTTTTCTCTCGTAGGTTTTGGTGCCTGGGACCACGTCTGCAACATGAGGTACAGAGCCTTCCGGCGGATGCAGGTGCCTCCCCCTTCCCTCTCGACAAGCTGTCTGGGTCTGCTTCCTCCTGGCTTTCTGTGAATGTGTGAGGAAAGACAGAGTGCACACTGAGCCGGCAGAAGCAGGGGAAGAATCCTCAGGGGAATGATCTTACTTTTCCACCTCTACCATGGTGGTGTCTCTGCTTCTGTCACTTGGGAAAGTAGAACTTGGTTCGATGCAAGTCAAGCTTCCTTGGTTTTAATGCAAACTCTCCTCTTGTGTCTCCAGGTGTGGGATGCCTGCTCAGAGGCCTTAATAATGTTCGATAAGGACAACCTGGATGACATGGGCTACATCGTGGAGAACGACGTCGTCATGCACGCCCTTACCAGGCAGCTGGAGGCTGTGTCCGGTGAGGTGCCACGCGCCCCTGTCTTCCATTCGCCTTCTGGGATGTGAACTGCCTGGGACTAAGTGAAGCTGCGGTTCTTTTTACAAATACTGAGTGCTCACGCTAACAAATCTCCACTGGCTGCTCTCAGCTTTGATTTTAGCAGCTTTAGTCCCATATAATGTTTATTTTGGTGGAAAAAAAAAATTGAAATCCTTGCATACAGTTGATCTTCACAAAGGTCATGGAAAATACATGAAAAAACATAGTTTCCTCCAAAACTTATCCTTTAACTCCATTTTCTGTGAGTACTCCCCTCATGTAAGGCTTCTAATTTCTCTACATCCTTGCCACCACTTATTTTCCTTTTTTTTGTTAAATTTATTTATTCTTATTGGAAAGTCAGATATACATAGAGGATAAGAGACAGGCCATCTGCTGGTTTACTCCCCAAGTGGCCGCAACAGTCGGAGCTTAGCTGTTCCAGAGCCAGGAGCCAGGAGCTTCTTCCAGGTCTACCAAGCAGGTGCAGGGTCCCAAGGCTTTGTGCTGTCCTGGACTGCTTTCACAGGCTACAAGTAGGGGACTATTGCCCATATGGAATCCCGATGCATACAAGGCAAGGCCTTTAGCACTGGGCCCTGGATTGCATTTTTATGACTAACAGTGACTTTCCGTGTAATTATTGGCCATTAGTAAACCTCTGAAGAAATGTTATGTTCAGAATTTTCTCATTTTAAAATTGGATTATATTATTTTTAGTTGTAGGAGTTCTTGTACTCTGGATATAGATTTCATCATATATATGCTTTGTAAGTATACATATATGATAGCTCAAGGTTCTAAAGAAGTAGAAGTTGAAAGCATTTTAGTGTTAAAAAATGCTTTTTCAAGAGGAAAAGTAGTTCATTCATGCAGTAAACTAGCGTTCAGATTTGGGTTTTTTGTTGTTTTTAATTATTGTAAAGACAGATAAAGATGGTAGCCTAATTGCTAAAGCCCTCACCTTGTATGCATTGGGATCCCATATGGGTTCTGGTTTTGTATCCTGGCTGCTCTACTTCCCATCCAGCTCCCTGCTTGTGGCCTGGGAAGCAGTGGAGGACCGCCCAAAGCCTTGGGACCCTGCACCCACGTGGGAGACCTGGAAGAAGCTCCTGGCTTCAGATTGGCTCAGCTCCAACCACTGTGGCCACTTGGGGAATGAGCTAGCGGATGGGAGATCTTTTCTCTCTCCTTTCTGTAAATCTGACTTTCCAATTAAAAAAAAAAACTTAAATAAATAAATAAAATAGACTGGGTTTAATAGTTAGTTATTTAGATGTCCCATGAGATACTGGTACAAAAAGTGTATTTCAGATGGTTACACCTGCGTGTGTGTGCATGGCATGCATAAATGTGTGTAATACATAAATCATCTGGAGTTCTGTACACTAAAGCTATAACTGAAGTTTTCAAAAGTTTTTTTTTTATTTATTTATTTACTTGAAGGAGGGGGATAGATCAATCTTCTATCCGTTGGGTCACTCTAAATGGGACACCTGGACCAGGGCCCATCCCACCCCTGAAACCTGAGTTCCTCAGGTCACTGGCATGGGTGTGGTGGCCTAAACATTTGGTCCATCTTCAGTCGCTTTCCCAGGCACATTGGCAAGGAGCTGGATAGGAAGTGGAACAGCTTGGATGAAAGCCGGAGCCCATGTGGGATGACGACACTGCAGGCAGTGGCTTTTCCTGTTTCATAGCGCCATCTGTAGTTTTCCCTGTACGATGAAAGGTGGTTTTGTTTTCTCTTTCAACCTTTGATTATACTTTTACAGTGAACTTATTTAAGCCACTTTATTGAGGAACTACTGATATACAGAACACTATAGATACTTCAAGCTTACAATTTGTTGATTTAGCAGACAGCTTATAATTTTTGTGATCTGGAAAATGAAATGACTTGCAGTGGGGAAAACTGACGCAGCATAATGTTTGTTTTAGTTTCTTGTGAAAGCACTTGAGGGCTCCTTTAAGGCTGCAGGGAGACCCGGAACGGGTGTGTCTCACGCTGAGACTGCCAAGCGCTTAACTGCCCACCCTCTGCGGTCCGGCAGGCACTCCTGCGTGTGCTGCGACCCAGCTCCCAGGCCGTAGCGCTCAGCACTTGGGTTGCTTTTCCAATCTTTTGTTTGGCAATACATTTCAGGCCATGGGACCATGTCTTTCTAATATTTTACTCTTTTCTCCTTTGACCTCTACAGACCGAGTGACGGTTCTCTACAGGAGCAAAGCTGTTGGTTATACCTGGCCTTTTCCGTTTTCCATGGCAGACTCCAGCCCTTGGGTCCAAGTTACCCTAGGTGATGGCAGCACCCTCCAGACCAAATTGTTGGTAGTTGAAGATTCTTACTTTGCCAGAGATCACGCATGACTATGTGTTATCCTGGGTTTTAGGGCTTCCAGTTTTAGAGTGAAGCTATAGTTAAACTTAGTTTTAGGCAAGAGCTTGGTGACTAGTCCACATTCAAGCAACCCAAGTGGAGATGGTCTTGCAAACCTTAGCACCAACTTTGGTCACAGAGCCAGGCAGGCAGGCTGCTCTGGCTGTCTTCACGGTCCTGCGGACACTCCTGCCTTTGCTCTCTGCGTTTTCATCAGCTCCAAGTCCTGTTACTGGGCAGCCATCCCTAGGCTCATCAGGCCTGTTCGGCTCCAGTGGAGGCCCACACTGAGCCTTTTCTTGCTGCCGCCTAGTTTAATATTAAAGGGATCTGGCTCACGGACTTAGAGCTGGCAGCTGCTAGACCAGATGAGCAGCATTTGCTCTGCACGGCTCTGCACACATGGTGAGGCCTACCCTCTAGCAGCTATGAGGGAGGCAGGCCTGACAGAGTTTCCCTGCACTCTTGAGCCAGGCATCGGCTGGCTGTAGAGAACTCCAGGCAGCAGAGAAAGTGGGTGGAGCTGGATGACCTAGAACAGGACGCAGGACTCAGCAGCTCTTGTCTCCTTGCAGATTGGAGCTGATGGTCACAACTCGGTTGTACGGCAGGCTGCGGGAATCCGCAACGTGAGCTGGAACTACGACCAGTCCGCTGTGGTGGCCACTTTACATTTATCCGAGGTAAGCTCCTGAGCCACCAGCTAGAGGTCCCACTCACAGATGCCAGGCATTTCTCACGGGCACTCCTCTCTTGCAGGCCACAGAAAACAATGTCGCTTGGCAGAGATTTCTCCCCTCTGGGCCCATCGCGCTGCTTCCAGTAAGAGTTCCCCTCTGGCTGGTATTCTGAGCACAGCCAGCCGCCTCCTTCAGGAGTTTGCTTGCTCTTGCTCGCTCTCGTCTTTTATCTGGTTTCAAGTGGATCTGTCCAGGCCCATTCGTGTTCCCCTTCATGACTTCCTTTCTGCTTGACAACTCCTAAGTTCAGAGGAATTTCAGCCCTGGCATCCATGTTCTCTTGACACAGCTCTCGGACACCCTGAGTTCCTTGGTTTGGTCCACATCTCATGACCACGCGGCAGAGCTGGTCCACATGGATGAGGAAGAGTTTGTGGACGCCGTGAACTCTGCCTTTGTGAGTGTCCACTGTCCGCCTGCCTATGCATTGAGGGACAGGAAGAAAAAAGGGGTTTGGAGGAAGGAACAAGAGCTAAGCTGTAATCAGTTGCCTGTAACTAACCAGTGATCTGGACTGTGTGGAAGGTGCCTAGGGGAACACACAATTTTGGCAGTGATACAACTCCCGTTTGGGTGGGGTTTGCAGCTGCTGATTCACCTTGACCTTTGAAATGGGGTTCCTTTGTTCCTGAGACCCAACTCAGTGACATATTCCAAGAGAGGGCTGGGTACCCTGCAGCTCAGCAAAGCTTACATATGCACCTCGGAGCCAGGCCTGGGTTCAGGGTTCTGCACTGGCACCCCTATAATCTGAAGAAGGGGAATGGGTCACCTGCCTGTCTGCAGATTTTAAAAATGAGGATGTATGCAACGTGTGAGGAACATATCTGGGATATTGGAGCTGTGCAATCAGTGATCATAATTGTGCTGGAGCAGAAACGGCCCTGGCAACTCTGTTTTTGAAATTTAAATGTCACATTTGTCTGTACCCATTGCTAACTGTGCTTACCATGTCCCAGTTCCAGAGTAGTTTTATATGGATTTAAGGCAGGGGAGCTGCATCTGAAGTAGAGCGGCTGAGAGTTGAGTTGAACTGATGCGCATATGGGATGCCAGCACTGTAGATGGAAGCTTAGCCTACCACACCACGGCACTAGTGCGAGGAGTGTGTTTCTTGAATTGCTAAGCCTTATGTCCTTAACTAAATTCTTCATAGTGAAGAGTTTTCACTCCACTGTTCTGTAGTAGTGATGAGAATAGAAGGAAGTAAACACTACAGTGGATTCCAAGGTCAGTGGAGCATGCTGGACGCCTGGGGCACTCGGTGTACTCCTGACCCAGGCCAGCATGCAGTGACCGTAAAAGTTACATGCCTTCTCTGTCACTACAGAAACAAGAGGAACTGTCCCCTCTTTCTGGAATCTGAGTGCCAAAGGAGAGGAAGGTACCTAAGCAACCATCAGTGCTGTGGCATCCCAGGGAAGGAGAATGCCTAGAGGAGGGCACAAGAAAAGGTGGCATCTTCCAGATACTTTAAGAGAGTGGCATTGTGGGGACATGAGGCAACATGACAGTCCAAACAGAGCGAGTTCTAAATGCAAAAGCATTCTCTGTGTGGAGCCGTGCTGCGGCCTGCGTGTGCTGGCTGAGGGCAGCGACTAGAGAAAGGTGCCGCACAGGCAGGCAGGGGGTTTGGGGGTTCTGTCACCTGTGGTCATGGTCTCTTCAGGAATGTTCGGTGGCATTACTCTTAGCTTTGCTTATATAGAGGCTTTCCTATTGAAGTTGAATTCCTGCAGTTGCTGATCACTTCTCATCTTGTTTTTTCTTGGCTGTGCTGCTCAGTGGAGCGATGCTAACCACACAGACTTGATTGACTCCGCTGGTGCCCTGTTGCAACATGCTATTGCCCTTCTGCGGCCTGCCAGGGTCTCGGCACGCCAACTGCCCCCAAGCGTGGCCCGGGTGGATGCCAAAAGCCGAGTGCTGTTTCCCCTTGGCTGGGGACATGCTGCTGAGTACGTTCGGCCTCGAGTGGCACTCATTGGGTAAGATCATGCACGGTGTGGGGCTGCTCCCCTCTGCACAGCGGGAAGCTGCAGCTGAACTGCGCTTTCTTCCTAGGGATGCAGCCCACAGAGTCCATCCACTTGCAGGACAAGGCGTCAACATGGGTTTTGGGGATGTTTCCAGTCTGGTCCAGCACCTCAGCAGCGCGGCCTTCAACGGGAAAGACCTGGGTAAGGACCGGCTTCCACAGACTAGCTTGGCAGTCAGAGCTTCCTTTGCTGCATCTGCTTTTCTAGGAGAGGGAAGACAACTTCTGGGTTGGAGATTTCCCCTTTCCGCTTTGTTCCAGGCTCCATGAGCCATCTCACGGGCTATGAAACGGAGCGACAGCGGCACAACACCGCGCTGCTGGCAGCCACAGACTTGCTCAAGAGGCTGTACTCCACCCGGGCCACACCGCTTGTGCTGCTCCGGACGTGGGGGCTGCAGGCCACCAATGCCGTGGCGCCGCTCAAGGTAACATGCTGTGTGTGGCGCTCTGCAGGAAGACTTGGAGAGGATCCCTGCTGCCTTTACCTGTCTACCTTGCTCAGTGGTTATGAGCAAAAATGACATCCTTGGCTTGTTGGGGTTAGGACCCACGAATAGTAACCATATTTAGGAAGGACTTCAAGTAAGGAGACAGGGACTTGTGTACAGTTTAAATCGTGTTGCTTGTATGGCTTCTTACCTGAGAAACCTGCAGTTATGCCTTGTTAGCAGAAACAAAATTAGGGAGTCTTTACTTTTCGGGTATTTGAAGTGTTTCCTCACTCCCGTGACCACGTTCAGTGTTGCAGTGTCACTCACTGTTTCCTTTTCCTCTAGGAACAGATTATGGCCTTTGCAAGCAAATGAATGCTGCTGCTCTAACAGAGAGTATGAGCAAAGAACATCCCAGCTGAAGACCATCACAGATTTCCAACACTGAATAAATTTACATTAAAATTCTTGTCTCTCGCTTTCAGTCTGTGGAACCCCAACAATGAGTGATGGTTTGCTATGAGGACAGTCTGTCATCTAGGCCAAGGGAAAAAATCCAAAAGACTCTTAGGATTTGGCTAAAAAGAGCTTTTTATTATTCAACAAAAATCACCATGGGACTGCCTTATTCATTTTCCCTTGTTAATCCATTCCAGATTTAGTCTTTTAAAATACTGCTCATAAATTTATAGTTGTAAAACAGTTAGAAATACTCAGTTGGTGTGTTTTTAAAATTAACATCAGAGTGCAAATCAAGTAGAAACTGCTTTAACTCTTGATATAGGTAACACTGGACCTCATGAGAAGAAAACCTAGTCTTAATGCTCCTTACTTCCACACACAGCACCGGATCTGAGTTTTGTTTCTGGTTCCTATCTGGGCCCTCCACTTTCTGCAGTAACCAACAGTTTCACCACACAGGTTGGAAGACCCAGGAGACCTGATGGCATTTGTTCCTGTTTGCTGTCCGACACGGAGACAGCAGGACTGTGCTGTGCTCCCTTCACACTTTGCCTCACAAATAAAATTTGAGGCCTGCTAGATTTGCATACTACACACCAACTTGCCCTGGCCTCTAAAGATGAAATAAAGGAATCAGTCTGCTTCTGTTGGGGCTCATCTTGGAAAGCATAGGACATCTGCCACTACAGGGCAGCTTCTTAGGCAAAATGGGAAATTGGGAAGATGCTTAAGTGAAAAAAATGATGTCACAAACCTTTCTGGAATCTTAGAAAATGTGCCCAGAATAAAAGACAGCAACTGCTGGGATTATAGGTAGAGACTACAGGGACAAAGATACAAAGGGAGGCCGAGTAAGGAGAACATGGACTCCTCAAGGATGCAACAATTCAGCCAAGACGGGGAATTCAAAGGCACGCCTTGCAAGGACTTCATGGCCCACAGAGCATGTGCTTCGGGGGTGGTAAACACACCATCCACTCTGCGCCAGGCTGTGTCCACAGTCCATTAGAAGAAACCAGCCAGCAATACTGCAGTCAATAGGGTCTCTTAGTAAGAGGCCACAAGGGGAAGAAGGGACATGTCAGATCTCGAAGAAACATTTTCATTCCAAGTTACCATTCAACAAATGGGTTAATTCTCCAGAGGTTCTAATGTAGACTCACACATGTAGCTAAATGTCTAGTCAGCGCAACACCCAAGGGTTCTGGAGGATTCAGGAAGACTAGAAGAGTGACCTGTGCAGGACGTATGCTTTACAGATATGGCTCCTGCTTCTGAGACGTGTCAGACCCAACCTGGGCCAGGGCTGTCTCCTCTCAAAGCCTGTGAGTCAGAAGTCTAAAAGGACTTGGTTTCTGTGGGAAGCAGTCTCTCCGTGACTGTACAGAACAACATATAACAATATACCTTCTGGACAAAGGTGAGGGGTCTGGAAGCCATATCGTTTTTAAAAAAAGGACCATAAAGAATTGGGGGGTGGGCAGTTCTCTGAAAATAAAGAAAGGCCTTTGAAGGAGAAACTATAGCAGAACTAAAGCCCACTGAGCAGGCTGACTTCAGCTCCATGGAAGGAGCTCCCCACCCCGCCAGCAGTGCAGGTTCACACAAAACAAGCACAAGGATCACCCACTGGAAACGTGAAGATTTCAGCAGTGGTGAAGGGCTGGATTCTATCTCTTGGTGGTTTCAAATTCAAAAAGTCTGGCTCCATTATGTATTAGAACTTTTGAGGAAGGCAACAGTTAAAAAGGTGATAAGAAAAGTCTGAAGAAATACCACCATGGATTAAAAAAAAAAAATCAAAGCCCTAAACACTTGAATTTCCAAAGTACCTTGTGCACAGCAGGTAGTATTTATGGACCCAGAGGAATAACTTAAAAACACATTTCCCCAGGGACTGATGGGAGGGCCTGGCACATTTAATGTCCTGGATGAGGAAGCAGAGGGGTAGGGAGGCTCCTAGGGAAGTCCATGTTTAGGAAAGCTACAAGCTCTTCTAGGGAAGAAATCTGAGAACCACATTTTTAGGGTGAGCAGAGAAGCAGCACAGGATGTCATGTGACAAAAAACTCAAGATAGTGAATTTGGAGGGATAACTCACAAAACTCAGAGCTCTTGAGCATGCAGACTCAGAGAACCTGAGCATAATTAAACAGAGCTCTTGACATGCTGGTCCAGCCACCCTGACAGGACCAACAGAGCCAGTGAGACCATGTGAGGTCGTGCATAAGGGCTGAAAGCCCTAAGACTAGCTGAATCAAAGGATGTGAGATCAGATGACCAGGGACCAGGGCAGGAAAGTAGAGCTACAAACACTAAGAGGACAGAGGCCGTGACCTTGAATAGTGTGGGCACAGACCTCACCACAGGCCAAAAGTCAGGACAGGATCACAGATAATCTACTATCACTACTTTAGCCTGGGAGGCAGTACTGGCACTGAACACACACATACCCATAAGGTTGGATGTGTTAATTAATCCCAGAGTTCACTGACAAAGTTGATTATAGGAGGTCCAATCCAGACGGCCAGCACACCTTCCCTAAGGTCCCCAGGGCCCTCTGGCCTCCTTTCGCGAGGCTGTGATGTGCAGTCACGAGTCCCTCCAAGTCTGTTCCTGGTTCAGCTGGCTGTCTGGACCTGGCGTACAGCGGAACTACCCACTGCCACGCTGGACCCCACATGTGAGCCACACTGACAGCAGCATCACGCAAGGATGGGACCAGCCAGTGCATAGGGAGGAAGGACAACACTGGTACTGATAGGTCATGCATTGCTTAATTTAGCAGGGAAGAGACAATGTTTAAAGGAATGAGGCACTCAAAAGGTTGAAATGACACTTTTCTTTGGTTCCCAGGGACCATTCCCTGAGCTCTAACTCCAAGGTTGCATCCCAAAGCTACTCTTTTTGGCTCCTGGGCTCTCCATGACAAAGCAACTCACAGGTTTAGCTGTGGGGCCAGGTGTGCACTCCAAGTGGTTAGGTATAAGTTCACATTAGATGTGTAGAATTAATCCAATCCAACTCCGTAGGCTCATGGGCAAGATCCAGCTATAAAAGCCCTTTCCCCACAAGAAAGCCAGCTGCTGGGCTTCAGTCCGGCCTGGCTCAGGAAACAGCCATGTCATTTCTCCTCTCTTTCCGAAGCTTGTTGGCTGACACAGGCCTCAGAGGAGTGACTGACCTCAGTAGGAGATGCCCAGGGACTGCAGCAGGTGGAATGTGGCGCCCAAGGCCCAGCCTGTCTCTATGTTGTTCACTTTCTTGGTGAGCTGTTGAGGAGAAAAGAGACACTATTCATATTTTAATCCCATTTGCCAACTCTAGCAAACAGTACTTGCACAGACAACATGTGCAAACTCCCACATGGGCAAACCAAGGCAAAACTCAGAGGCCAAGTTTTGAGGGTCCTTCGAAAAGCTGCTGACGGCCTCCACATCTGCCTTTCTGATCCCTAATGTCTCTGGCCCAAGTAGTAGTCCCAAACAGGACTTGTAGAGAAACTGAGTTGAGATTCTGAACTCTTCCCTTAATTCTGAAAATAACTGCAGCAGCCTCTCCTGTTTTCTGCTGAGTCACCAGTTTCTGGTAAGGCAACTTCTCATGAAATGCTACAGGATGGAGCAGAAAGGGCAGAACTTGGAATAGACTGAGCGCTGAGAAAGGCCACAGCAAGCTTAATTCATATACTGTAAGGAACCATCTCTCCTCAAGCACTGAGATGGGCCAAGCTCAGAAACTACCTGAGGCCCAGCTAAGGTACCTACCTCAGCACCCATTGCAAGTGCATGAGGCACTCAATATTGGTGGGTTTTAGCCACTGGTGACATCTTTCTGGTCCACCACATGCTCTGAGAAGTAAAACTCGCCTAATGCTTGGAGGGTGAGCCAATGCCACTGGCCGCTGAACACAGCAGGTTTGGATGATGGCCCCAGACATCTGTCTCCATGCTTCCCTGACAAAACTTCAATCCTAGTACTTGCAACCACTCTATCAGGAGTGCAGAGAGACAGGGAGATACACAGCCAGGACAAGGACCACCCAGCACTCAAGAAGGGCAGATGGCCAACCTGCTTGCACCTGCTTGTGTGTTCATTTCCCTCATCTCTTTCCCCTTGTTTCCTGCCCTGGGATCCAAACTGACTGAATAAACCATGTGACTTGGGCACCTTAACCTGGGCTGTAGGACTTTGTTCTGTGACCTCCAGGGTCACAGAGGTCCGGTTGTACACTCTGGAGGTTCCCGCTGTAGGCCCAGGGCCCTGTCCACAGCCTGACGGGAATCTCTCTTTATTCCACCTCTAGCTGCTCTGATTACTAAATACATTCTCAACTCCTTTTCTCCCCAGCCCCAAGGGAAGCAGCATGCCACGTGCCCTGGTGTCCCACCTCTCACCTGCAGGACAGTGCTGTCTGCGAAGCCAAAGCCATCCTTTAGCAGGGCTGTGATGTAGCTGAGATCCATGCACAGGAAAGGACTCTCTGAGGAGAACGCCTCCAGGTTATTGCACACTGAAGGAAGAGGGGGTGCTGAGTGGAGCTCACACCTGGAGCCCAGGGACCCAGGGCACTCTCCATGCATAGACAGGTAGCCTGGCCAAGCCTTGCACTGACTGCTCTGGCTAGACCACAGTGTATTAGAAAAGTGCATGCTGTTGCTGTGACAATGTGTGGACTCAAATTTACACGACTTAGTTTATCTGCCCCAGGCTGATGACCTGTGGTAGGCACCTGGCTCCAAGCCCCTGATCTAATCTAAATCTAAGGCCCAGGAAACAGGTAAGGTCCAGGAAGCAACATGGGCCCCTGGCTCAGATCCTTTACTGTTAGATTGGTCCTCAGCGGGACCTCCGTGGTGCTTTCCCAAGTACCCTGGCCCTCAGAGTGTCGCTAACTGTGGCAACACTACCTCAGTTAAAACACAGAAAGGAAGAAATGCGGGCAGAAAACAAGAGTCACAGCTTTCCCCGGTGCCTCACCTGTTCCCATCTTCTTTCCCAGCTAAGAAGGCCAGGAGACCCAGGGAGGGAAGCATTTCCCGAGACTGGGCACTGACCTGCTTGGGCTGTGCGGTATGGGTGGACTGCCAGAGGTGCCAGTACCACCCTAAGGCCTTCCTCACACTCACCTTCCTTGGCTTTTCTTTCAAAATCTTCCACCTTTAAAACACCTCCTTTCTCATAATCTGAAATAAAACAGACCAGTAGTGACATCAGAAAGCCTTCACAAAAACAAATTTGATCCTAGTGCTGTAATAATGAAAAATTCAAGAACGGGATGTGCAAGCATGCCACATCCACACATCATCTACACAGCCTACTGTACTCATCTACCATAGTATATTTACTGCAATAAAAAGCAAACACATAAAAACACGCAGAAGTGAAGGGAAATGCATTTGTCTCACAGCCTGATGGATGGGAGGCTCACTCTCCTGGTTCAACAAAAGCACTGCCTTTGTGCTGGGGCAGAGGCACTACAAAGGGCAGGAGGAAACTCTGGGCCTAACAGGAGTGTTCACTTGAATGCAGTGATGCATACACTGGCTGTGTATGTGACAAAGTCTGGCAACTGCGTGCTCTAAGCACGCACTCACTGATGGTCGATCACACCTCATTGAGATGTGAAGAAAGACAATGGCAAACGTAGCGTCTGTGGCAAACACTGCACATCACACCCAGCCTTCCACTGTGTGTGTGGAGGAGAGTATGCACAAGGCTTCCGACACTCCTGCTCGGCCGGCCCAGGGGTGCACTCACCAATCATGCCCGTGTCCACAGCCCGATCGTAGTAGTAAGAGAACGCGTAGAAGGAGCTGCGCCGTACCTCCTCTGGCTGGTGCAGCTTCCCCTGCACCACTCGCAGCACTTCGGCATAGCAGTGCTCAAAGCCCACATCCCCTGGAAAGGTGTCAAGGGGCAAGGTGAGAATGGGGGTGGGCAGGGGCATGCTCTGTGCCAAGCTGTTGCAGCCAATGTGGGAGGAAAGGCAAGGAGGGTGCACAGCAGCCTGCCTGCTGCCCTGTCTCCCCAGGCCGGCCCTCCTTCACCTGCGGTCACAGCTGCACCAGCGGCTGAGCAGCAGGAACCCAAAGGGCTCACCCATATGCTTGATTGGAAAGCTGATAGCTTTTATAAAAGCCCAAGATGAGTTACCCTTCCTTAATGTCCCAATTCCAAGCCTTACTAAATAATTAAACTTTAACTGAGCCTAAAACAAAGTTCATGCTGCTGCCTCTGGCCAGGCTGAGAACGGGTTCCTCCCAATACTCCACCAGGGAAAGAAGGACTACCCCTTTACACTGGTCATCAGAGGCACACCGCGGTCAGGAGAGTCAGTCCCTGCAACGTGACAAGCCACTCCTGAGCTCCAGACTTGCCACAAGCTCTGTTGTAAAGGTAATTTCAGCTAACGAGAGGTGGGTGTTGGGAGCAACAGTCAAAACACTGCTCAGTACCCACACTGGAGTGCCTGTGTTTCAGTCTTAGCTCTGTCTCTTTATTTGAAGAACATATCTACTTATTTGAAAGGCAGCCATTTGGTTCACTCCCAAATGGCTACAATGGTAGGAGCTGATCTGGGCTGAAGCCAGGAGCACAGAGCCCCATCCAAGTCTTCCATATGAGTGGCAGGGGCCCAAGGACCTGGGCTATCCTCTGCTGCCTTCCTAGGCACATGAGCAGAGAGGCTGAAGCAGAAGTGGAGAGGCACTAGAGCTGGCACTCTGATATGGGATGCCAGCATCGCACAGCAATTTAGCATGCTGCACCACAGTGTTAGCCCCTGGCTCTGCTTCTGATGCCAGCTTACTGGAAATGCACATCCTGGGAGACAGCAGGTAATGGCTCAAGTACTTGTGTCCCTGACACTCATGACTTATGACTGAGTTCTGAGCCTCTGCTTCAGTCTAGCTCAGCCCCAGTTGTCACAGGTATTTGAAGAATTAACTAAAAGATGGAAAAATCTCTCTGGCTTTCAAATACATAAATTTTTAAAAATTGGATCTGGTGTAGTAGCATAGTAGCTGAATTCTTGCCTTACATGAGCCTGGAACCCATATGGGCACTGGTTCATATCCTGGCTGCTCCACTTCTCATTCAGCTCTTGTTTGTGGCCTGGGAGAGCAGTCAAGGATGGCCCAAAGCCTTGGGACCCTGCACCCACGTGGGAGACCCAGAAGAAGCTCCAGGCTCCTGGCTTTGGATTGGCTCAGCTCTGGCCATTGTGGCTACCTGGGGATTTAATCAGTGGATGGAAGATCTTTGTCTCTCCTTTTCTTTGTAAATCTTACTTTCTAATAAAAATAAATAAATCCTTAACAACACATTTTTTTTTTAAATCGTCTCACTAGGGCTTCATGTAGTGCCCTAACAAAGTAATCCTCCACCTGAAAGCGTCAGCATTCCATATGGGCACTGGTTTGTGTTCCAGCTGCTCTACTTCTGATCCAGCTCTCTGCTTATGATCTGGGAAAGCAGTGAAGGATGGGCCAAGGTCTTGGGTCCTGTACCCATGTGGGAGCCCAGGAAGAAGCTCTTGGCGTCCTAGCTTTGGATCAGCTCATCTCTGGCTGCTGTGTCCCTTAGGGGAGGGAACCAGTAGATGGAAAATCTCTCACTCTCTGGTCTCTCCTCTTTTCCCTATAAAAAATCTGGCTTTCAAATAAAATAAATCTTAAAAAAAACATCTCTAACACAGTTACTCACCTTCCTGGTTGCCACCATATTTGTATTTCACACCCCCAAAGACCCACTCTGCTTCCAACCACCGTGGCAGACAGGCACTGCGGAAAGTGTGTCCATCGGCTCCTGAGAAAAGCCAAGGCCTGGGTAAGAGGCAAGAACACTGAGAGATGGCAAGGAATGAGCCAGAAGCACCGAGAAAGCTGGGCTGCCAGTCTGAGATGAATTCCATGACTGTGTCCCACAGCAGGAACTGTCAGCTCAGGGGTCACGGGCAGTTTGTTGCGGGTGGGTGAACCTTCAGAAATGGAAAGCTAAGTTTTGTGCACACCCACACTGGACAGGGTGGTCTGTCACTTTCATCACATCTCACAGAAATCCAAATCCACAAGAGCTGAGTTTCTTCCTTTCTAAAAACAAGGGAGAAAATACTGTGCTACTCTATGGAAAACGTTTTCTAAACTCTGAAATGTTATACACTCATAATTCTGACTTTGAAGTAAATCAATCAATAAATCATTTTAAAAAAAAAAAAACTACCACTATCACCAGCATCAAATAATTTACTATGAGTCAGGCATCATACAAAATGCATTAAATGAAATTTTATTCTAAGGTGGAGGTGGAACAAAGGGGCACAGAAAGGTTAATCCACCCAAATCAGAAAACTGGCACTGATTCCCATCCTGTATAACCCCAACTGTGAGGAAATGGATGGAATCACTCAGTTATTCTGTCCTGTAGGCAAAACAGACTTATCTGCTTCCTGCACCTGCCAAAGAAAGCTAAGGGCCTGCACACACTCCTGCAAACACACCCAGACCCCTGCAGGTCTGCACACACTTCAGCCTCAGCCACAGGGAGTCCCCTGTATGAGCAGGCCTCACTCTGAAACAGTTAATTATATATGTTAAACATCCGCACTTACAAAATACAAAAGAATTTGCTATTACATCCATTTTACAACATCTGCTACCCTATTCCAATATGAGATTTCTGCCATGAAATTGCTTCCAAGGGAGGGAAGAGGCAAGCTGAATAGCGGTGTCACTCCCACCCGCCGCACGTCCCCAGACGAACCTTCCATTTCCAGGGCTCCCAGGGTTGCCAGTCTTGCCGCTTTCAGTCCAAATCCCAAGTAACTGTAAAACACAGGATGGACTGGCCTCATAAAGGCCCTCCAGCTCCCCAGTCCCAGAGGCTGCCTCTTGCAGACCTGACGTGTTTCCCCATCTTCCCCTGGAGAACCCAACATCTTATGTTCTGGAACCTATTCTTCACGTGTGCTCAGCAGTGGCTGTTTCTACAGTTTGGGGAAAGGTTCTGCAGGAAGAAATTTTGCAGTTGGGGCAAGGTTGCTGCAGTTCCTGAGTTCCCAGCACAGTGCCATTCCCAGAACGGCTCTCTTATCAGCCTGGCTAGCACACCGGAGTTTGAACGTCCCAGGGTTCCCCTCCAAAGGACCTGGCTTGGAACTGGGGGGTGGACCTGCTCCAAATGTCCTCTCTGGAAAGAAAACTCTCTTAAGTTACATACGTTCAAGGTCAAGAAGGGAGAAGCCTCTTGGAAGCCTCTGGATTGGGGGAGCGGCTAAGGCTTCCATGGAGATACAAGGAGACTGGCCAGCTCTGTTGACAGAGTGTACGGCCAAGTTGGGGGAAATCCTACACATGAATAGCCTTCCCTGGCCCTCTCCTCACCTGTGTGTATAGAGCTTGTAAGTGCTGTTAAACATGTCAAAAGAAGTGAGGTAGTCCCTAGGGGTTTGTTCCAGGGTTTTCTGCAAATCAGAAAAAGCAAAAAAAAAAAAAAAAAAACATTCAGGATCTGCACTCTTCAGAAGATCTTATCACCACCAGCCCGTCCTTCCCCCACAAATATCAGAGATGGCAAAGGATCAGGCTGTTTGCCTCATGAGTACAGACTCCAACTGACAGAAAGCTTCAAGTTCACTCGGCCCGTACTGGCCCCCTCTCAGCCCGGGGGACAGGAGGGGAGCTGCCTGGCTGGTGCACATGCTCTTGTTTGCCAGGTGCTCTTGTGCATGACTCACCTGAAACTGCGGCAGAAATGTGATTTGGGTGGAGGCCCCGCCCAGGTCCAGAGTCCCCATGGTCTCCTGGCCACGACCGTGCAGTTGACCTGTCAACGAGAACCGGCTCAGCATCTGCTCCACATCTGGACAGTCCACAACATCTGTTCCTCCCCTGCTCCAGTCATGCATCAGATTCATCCCATAATCCTCCTGGGCATCCCGACCCCATACGCTCCAGAAGACTGTCCTGGGTGGACGGCTGCAGCTGAGGATCTGAAGGCAGGTTACAAAGATGAACTGCCTGTCTTTCCTCCCCTCACCAGTTAAAAAAAAGGGGTGCAGGGACGGAGGGAAGATACTCTCCCTCCTGATCATGCCTATGAAAGTCACTTAAGGTCCAAGATAAATTGAGGATGTATTACCTGTCAGGAAATTCACAGTAACCCAAGCTAATATGCCTAAAAAAAACAGAAAGATGAAGATTACATACCATAGCACTTGTATGAATTTTCCTTCTTGAGCCTTGGGTCCTGCTGTCCCTCTGTTTCCCTGTTCACTCTCTTTCTCACCAGTGCCCCTCCCTGTTCCTAGTTTCTTTAATTCTTGCAGTGATCCGACCCCTCCCTCTAGAGCAAAGGTCACGGCCTCTCCCACCTTCATAGGACCCATCCATGATGCCAACACTGTCATCTGGTACCAGGAAAGGTGACTTCTTGAAGATTTCTTCTACCTAGAGTGAAAACAAAGAAGTGTTGTTGGTGGGGATATGGATTCCCTAAGGCAATCCAATCAATTTTCATATTTTGGCCATTTTACAGAGCTTAGAAAGCTATTCTTTTCACTTTCCCTAGATAAAATTTCAGCTTACTCATCCCCTTTACCTAAGGAACCAGAGAAGAAACTAGGTGAGTCATTATCAGTTTCTTGTAAAACTTCTAACTCTGGGGTTCCTCATTTCACTTTAAATCTCAACCCAGCCATCAGCACTGACAGGTGACTGGACCTAGGAAAGGGCACAGGCTGGACCTGCCAGCTCTGATCAGGAAGCAGCTGGTGAATTCTACCAGCACACACACTACAGGCGGCAGGCTTTCCCACTCCACGCCCTGGAGGAATGCCTGTAGAAGAGCTGAGGTACTGTGGCCCAGGCCTGGGGCCTCCAGAGCCTGAGTGGGACCAGATTTAGACTTATGGAATCCCATTTTAGGAGATGGCAATGAAAGTCTTGTACAGCTGCCCTTGACTCTCCATAACTACAGGAATTAGAGAATCACCATGGAGAGAAAATTCTCCAAATAGGAACAGGAATCTGTTTGCTGTTCTCATCACCAGTGGGACAGAAGGTATCATACAGTGGACTCTGGACCCTCTTTCAAACAGGAAAAGCCAGTTCCAGGATTGATAAGCACACATCTAAGGAGAACATAGACAAGCAAGCAGGAAAAGGCTTTCTGCTTTTGCCTTCACTGCTCTCTCCTTCCCCAGCTTGTTCTCAACACAGCAGCCAGCATGGTGTTTTCAATGGCGGTCAAATTATGTTTCTGCCCTGCTGAGAACCTGCTGCTGGTCTCCTCCTTAGAGAAAAAGCACAAGTCTTTACATTGGCCTTGGAGACCCTACAGGAAAAAATGCCTCCATCCCTCCCATGTCCCATCCCCTCTATCCTCCACACCGCCCCTAACATACACACCCACACGCTCTTCCACCTCTCTGATCCCAACTTTTACTTCCTTCTGGGTCCTCTTCAGCCATGCCTGTGTCCTGGATGCTGCTCTTGAACTCTGTACAGCACACTCCTGCCTCTGGCCCTAGCACACTACTGGGTTTTTTTGTTTGTTTGTTTTTTGTCTGGAATTTTCTTCCCACAAACTATCTTCTATAACTTGCTTATTCATGCTCCTCAGGTCTGTGATCCAGTGGCCCTTTCCAGCAAGTCCGCCCCAACAGCCCTATTCAGGCTGCCATCTCCCCACCACTGCCAGCATCCTGTTTTCTGTTCACCATGGCAACTTCAGCACCAGCACACTTTACACTGTCCAACTGCTTGTTTTCTCTGTCCCTGACATTAGAATATAAACTCCACAGGGAGGGACTTTTCTTTTTCATTCCTTGCTTTGTGAATTTCTGGTAACTTGACCAACACCCAATACTTGTATGTGGAGTGAATGCGTGAATGACGAATGAGTGAGTGAGGAGTCAGGATTCAGATTCTTGCACAGACATGCCAGGCTACTAATACTTGCACAATGCACTTACATCCCTGTGCTAACAGTCAGAGTAAAAGTGGGTTTGCATGATAAATTGACACACCTGCAACACAGAATCCTTTTCTATTGTGCTTTGGTATAACAGGATTTTATATAGCAATATGCTTTATAACATGAAATTTAGATATTATTAATTTAAATATTTACTGCATAATAAATATGGAACAATAAAATGAAAAATATTGAGGTATCACCTCTATATATTTAATTTTTTTGTCTGAATAAGTAGTTGAAATAATGACTAAAATTTTCCAAACTTAAAATTCCAAGATTATTCTCAAAAACCATGCAAAGCCAGACATAAAAGAATATGAACGCCAAGATTCCATTTGTACTGAAATGCAAGATCACCCAAGACTCACCTGGGGTGACAAAGAAGATCAGGGGTTGCCTGTGTTAAGGAATGGGGGAACCTGACCAGAAAAGGGCATGAGGAAACCTCTTCATGTTTGTAAAAGTTCATTTACTTGCACATTTGGAAAGGATATATTTTATTGTATGTAAGTTTACCTCAACAAGGAAGGTTAAAACCAATTTCTACAACTGTGATTTGAAAAGTGAGAGAAGCTGGGAATGTCAACAACACTGAGTACTCATAACATTTTAGGGAAAGCTCTGTATTTTCTTGAGAGTATTGGACAAACATCAAAACAACTCACTATGACAAGAGCCTGAGTCATCACATAGCTTTCCCCAAGGCAGGACACTGACACGACAGCCACATCCCCAAAGAGCTAAGAATTCTGAAAATACTGATGTAGGGAAAAAGGATGATCTGAGAGGCAGATTTCGTAAATTACCTCGAACAGCAGAGCCTGGGCTTTCTGTTCAGGCAGCAAGCGCAGTCCTGCAGTTGCCTTCAGGACCACCGGCGTCCTCTTCCAGTGACTTTGGGGAATTGCATCTTTGGCCAGGTCTAACAGTCCTTGAACCGTCTCAGCACCCTTCAAAACAGAAGGCCCACTCGTCCCACTGACAGCCCATTTGTGGCACTACTCAACTCCTCCAACATGCTTTGAGGGAGCAGAAGGACAGAGGTGGTAAGGGACTCCACACTCTACTCTCTATACATGTGGGGAACTTTGAAGAATTCAACTAGTCACAACCAAATTTAAGTTGTTTATAGTAGGGTCACTGTTGTTGACTGCTATTTTATTATATTAAACTTAGAGGGGCAGGTACCCTGGTGTACTAGGTGAAGCCTCTTCCTGTGGTGCCAGCATCCCACAAGGGTGTTAGTTTGACTTTCAGATGCCCTAATTCTGATCCAGCTCCCTGCTGATGAGCCCACAAAAGCAATGGAGAAGGGCCAAGTGGGCCTCTGCACTCACATGGGACATCTGGAAGAAGCTCCAGGCTTCTGGTTTCAGATTGACCCAGCTCCAGCCTTTGTAGCCATTTGGGGAGTGGACCACCTAATGGAAGCCCTCTCTCTCCTTCTTCTTCTGTAAATCTGCCTTTCAAGTAAGAATAAATAAATCCATTAAAATACATTTTATTTGAACAGCAGTTATAGAGAGAGGGAGGGAGGGAGGGACACAGAGATCCTCTATCCCCTGGTTTACACTTCGCTGCAATGGCCAGGGCTGGGCCACGCCAAAACTAGAAGCTTTTTCCTGGTCTCTCATGTGGGTGCAGGGGCCTAAGAAATTGGACCATTTTCCATTGATTGCTCAGGTACATTTCCAGGTAGCTTGATTGGAGGCAAAGCATCTAAGACTCAAATTAGCACTCTGATCTGGGATACTGGCATTGTAAGAAGTGGTATAATCCATTGTGCCACAATACCAGTGCCATGAATTATCTTTAGGCTAAAGAAGAACCTGGAGGAGCTGAAATCACCTGACCTGCTGCTAGAACTGTGGCCTAACACAGGTCATTTGGTTTCCCAGGTGACAGGGAAGACTTGCTTCATAGCAACGCTTAGCAGGTGCACACTTAGACAAGGTATATGGTTACCACTCACCTGCCAGCCATAGCTGCTATCATGGTGTGGTTTTTTTCTGATCACTAATGCTCATTTTTGCACTTACCAGCACTTATATGCAAGGCATATAGTAGATGCTTAACTTATAATAAATAAAAATCATTATTTTAAGTTTACTGTTTCCTTGAGCAACAATTTATTCTGATATCACACTCCATTAGTCATCATTGCTATTATTAACCACAACACAGTAATCTCTACCAAATGTCTAATTAGGAACAGGTGCTGTGACACATCAGTCAAACTGCCGCTTTGAAATGCCCTGCATCTCATACTGGAGTGCCTGGATTTAAGGCCTGCTTCTGCTTCTGACCGAGCTTCCTGCTAAGGCACCCTCTGGAAGGTAGCAGGGTATGGGTCCAACACCTGGGTCCCTGCCAACAATACGGGAACCCAAATAGAGTTCAGCCTAGACACAGCTCTGACTGTTGTGGGCATTTGGGGAGTGACCCAGCAGGTGGAATACCGATTCTCATATTCATTCTCTCCCTCCTCAACTTCAAAGCCTTCCAATAAATAAACAAGAGCTATCACTGGATTGCAGTGATAAACTGCTGTTTTTAATGCTGGTACCCCAACTGGAATACTGGTTCCAGTCCCAGCTGCTCTACTTCTGATCCAGCTTCCTATTAACATTCCTAAAAATGCAGAGGTCCAAGTACTTGGGTCCCTTCCATCCATGTGGGAGACTAGGCTGGAGTTCCTGGCTCTTGGTTGTGACCTGACCTATACTTGGGCAGTGAACAAGTAGACAAAAGATCTCTTTCTGTCTCTCCTGAAAACCTTTCTCTATGACCTTCTAACTTTCAAATAAATCTTTTTGAAAAACTGAAACTTTAGATACTAATCAGTTTCAGATAATAAAGTGATTGCAGTAGCTCCTAATTTTGTAGCAGATCCACTATTCCATTGAGAAAATATACATCCTTGCAGCTCTTTATCATTAAACCATTTTTTATAAAGATTTTTTTATTGCAAAGTCAGATATACAAAGAGGAGGAGAGACAGAGAGAAAGATCTTCTGTCCATAGATTCACTCCCAAAGCAGTTGCAATGGCCAGAGCTGCACTGATCCATAGCCAGGAGCCTGGAGCCTCTTCCAGGTCTCCCACACGGGTGCAGGATCCCCAGGCTTTGGGCCATCCTCGACTGCTTTCTCAGGTCACAAGCAGGGAGCTGGATGGGAAGCAGGACTGCTGGGATTAGAACCGGTGCTGACATGGGATGCGAGGACTTTAGCCACTAGGCCACAGTGCCAGACCCTAAACCATTTTTAACATCAGGTTTTCTTAGTTAATAATCTTGGGGCTCGCATTGTATCACAGTGGGTAAAACCAGCACCTCTAGTCCCTTGTTAATTGGTCTGGGAAAGTAGCAGAACATGGCACAGGTACTTGGGCCTCCACATCCATGTTGGAGACCAGGAAGAAGCACCTGGCTTTGATCTGGCCCAGCCCTGACTGTTGCAACCACCTGGGAAGTAAACTAGCAGAAGGAAGATCTCACTCTCTTCACTTGCTTGCTCTCTCTGTAACTGCCTTTCAATTAAAATAAATAAATCTTTAAAAATTGAAAGGCAGGGTTAGAGTGAATGGGAAGGAAAGGAGAGGACGAGAGGGAGAGGGAGAGATAGGGAAGGAGAGGGGAGAAAGAAGGAGAGAGTGAGGGGGAGAGAGAGATTGAGAGAGACAGATCTTCATTTGCTGGTTTACTCCCCAAATTCCCATAAGCAGCCTGGTTGGTCTAGACTGAAACCAGAAGCTGGGTCTCCCACATGTGTCACAGGGGCCCGAGTCCTTGGGTCATCCTCCCAGGTACATTAGCAGGGAGCTGGATTGGAGGCAGAACAGCAGGGGCACAAACCAAAAGTCCCAATGATGGTCCCTAGTGATTACTCGTCTGACACTGAAAAATTCTTTTATATCTATTCCCAGAGTTCAGCATTCTGCCTCACTCTATGTTATGTCACAATGGCACCCTGTGCTCCAAGGTGAAATACAGTCACAGCTCCTCTCTGTGCATTCTCTGTCATCAAAGATTTGTCATCACAAGCTGATATCCAGTTCTCAGGCACAGGCATGGTTCTATCCTGCATCGGGGCACTCTGCCAGAGAACTCACTGGCTCTTCACCCCTAGGTTGCCATGTCTATACCTCAAACGCTACAGACCTTCATGGATCTCGTTTATATTCATACTACCCAGCGCAGTTGATGGTGGCAGTTCAAAATCTCAGACAGTGGATACATAGGGAGAAACAGCTGCTAAGCTACTGCTGACCCTGCAGGACCCCTTCACAAGCCATGAGAAACTCACCTGCTTAGGTTCATCTACAAAAGCAGAAAGTCCTGGCTTCACAGATTCAAAAATTTCCCCTTCCAGGATTGGCAGTTGTCCTATTTTTCCATTGGAACAAAACAAAAGAGAGATGGATAATTACCAAAAGCTAGCCTGTTTCTGCCGGCTGCTGGGGTCCATCAACTGTCATATGTTTTATGCTGCTCTGGCCTCAGGCTATTCCAAACCAATTCACTTGTGAGGAATATCTTGCAGGAGAACTAGATAAGTGGAAAGGACAAAACTATCCCAAAGTTCGTCTTCAAGGTCACCTCAGGTTCTTCTCCAAGGATGGCAGTGAACATCTCACAAACCTTTCTCTCGAGAACACTCCCAATATGAGGATACCTCAAGAGGTTCATGGAAAAGCAGAACTAAAATTCTGAGTTTATTTTGTCACATAATATTTTTGAAATTCATGCAGGTTTTTTTTGTTGCTGTTAATTATGTGCAATGAACTGAGAAAATACATCCTTGTGGTTTTCTATTATTAAATTCTTAAAAAATGTTATTTGATAGGCAAAGAAAGCAGGTAGATTTTCCTTTGCACTTACACAGCCTTTGCTGTACCACTCCCTAAAGGCCCACAGCAGCCAGTCCCTGTCCACGCTGAGGCCAGGAACTCAACCAGGGTCTCCCACATGGGTGGCAGGATCCAAACACATGATCCATTATCTGCTACCTCCCACCAGGGCACATGTTAGCAGGGAGCCAGACTGGCTGCAGAGTAGCCAGGACTCAAACCAGGCATTTCAATATGGGTTGCAAGCATTCCAAGTAACAAGTTTACTTTAACATCAAATACCTGGTAACAGGTCGGTGCTGTGGCACAGTGAGTAAAGCCACTGCCTGTGGTGCCTGCATTCCATATGGATGCCAGTTAGTCCTAGCTGCTCCACTTCTTTTTTATAATTTTTTTTAATATTTTTTATTGGAAAGGCATATTTACAGAAAAAAATGAGACACAGAGTACAGAAAGAAAGATTTTCCATCCACTGATTCACTCCCCAAGATTCTGCAACAGTTGGAGCTGAGCCAAACTGAAGCCAGGAGCTTCTTCAGGGTCTCCGATGTGGGTGCAGGGTCCCAAAACCTTGGGCCATTGTTTACTGCATTCCCAGGCTACAAGCAGGGAGCTAAATGGGAAGTGGAGCCGCTAGGACATGAACAGATGCCCATATGGGATCCTGGCACAAGCAAGGCGAAGAGTTTAGCCACTAGGCTATAGCGCCAGGCCTGGTTGCTCCGCTTCTAATCTAATTCCCTGCTAAAGTACCTGGAAAAGCAGAGAAGGTAACCCAAGCGCTAGGGTCTTTGCACTTACACGGGAGACTCAGAGGAACCTCCTGACTTCAGACCAGCACTGCTCTGGTTGTTGCCACTGTTCAGGGAGTCAACCAGCAGATGGAAGATTTTCATTCTCTATGAAATTCTGCATCACAAATAAATAAATCTTTTTAGAAAAAATACTACACAGAGATTTTGAATAACAGTAACATGTTATGACAAACTACACATGAATTTCTAATCATAAAAAGCTATGCTATGGATTTCAAAATATTCTTGACACAAAATAAACTAATGATTTTAATTGTTTCCTACACAACTTTTGAAATATGCTTACGTTTTCAACACTCTGGACCCCAGGCAACATTAGGAAGGATGAACCACAGCTATACTTCGTGGACACATGGGTTTCAGACTAGAGGCAGGTCCAGACTCTTAATTTCCAATGTAATTAAATTACAGGTTCAATTTCAGTCCAAAGCACTCTCTGAAGAAAGGCTTCCACCAGCCTAAGATCTGCAGCCCACATCACACACTCCAATATGTTCGTTCTGGGGGAAGGAACGCTGAAGTTTGGTGTCACAAAACCTGGCGGGTCCCAGTGGCATTTACCTGGATTTTTCTGCACAAAGGTGTAAACGTGAATTCGTGTTCCAGTACTCCCTGCATCAAACATAATTCCGTAATAAGTGCTGGCACTGACGTTGATGGGGCACATGGAAGACAAGAAGACCCCCTGGAACCATGTTGACTGTTCCCTGTGGCAGACACTGCTGCTGCAGGCCCAGGCTGCCCCCAGGATCACCAAGACTGGGCTCCAGTGAGCGCGCATCCTTGAGTCACAGTGGCCCTGAGGCTGTCGCACAGCAGTGCTGCTGCTCACACACCTGCAGTGGCTGACGGGACAAACACACACACAGGTCAGTACACCTGGTGATGGTGGTTACACCTCTGAAAGAAACAATCACCGCAGAAATCCCTCCCCATGCTTAACTACCTCTTCTCCATTTCTAATAACCAGTACGACAAGCTAAGCCAGGCTGCAGGCACTTAGCACTGTTGCTGAAGGGTATCTAGTTTCAAAAGGAAACTGAGATTTAAAATATATTTTCCCACACTTTGCTTCTAATTACTGTTACCCTACGAGATGGTTCTCACACTCAATGGCTTTCCCTGCCACTCTACTCTGGTTGTTCAATCTGATTTTATTCTATTTTGACACATTTGCCTTTAAGTTATAAACTAACATTCTAAGATAAGAAGCTTTAACTTCCATTCTAGATTTTTACTGCAGGTTATGCAGGCTGGATACTGCTGAACACCTGGAGTGTGCTAATGCGGAGCCCAGAGAAGGAAGCACAGGGGCCCAGGCCAGCAGCCCGGGGGTCAGCCCAGCATCTCCCTGTGTTCAGGTAGCTGCGTGACCTGGGAAAGTCAGATAGCTGCTCCCAAACTCCCTGTCCTCACACATCCGGCAAGAAAGAGCTTTTGCCCTGCTTATCGTTCCTCCAAGGTGATTAGGAAGATAAAATCAGATTCTTCATTTACATACACACACACCCCCCAAAAGTTTCAGTCACAATGCATTGTTCAATTATTACATAACATCTTTCAGGCACTGTCCTAGGTCTGAAGTTGTAGACAATAGGAGAGAATGGTTTGTTATCATTACTGAGAAATATTTGGGGTGGGGGAATAATTTTTTTAACGTGGAAGAGACTTTGAAAAATTGCTTTGTAATGAGGTTATTATGTGTTTGAATACCCTTGCAGCCTGTGATAAAATATTTAGTCTGGGGTGTGCATTATGGCATAGTGTGTTATTACCACATTCCAACCCAGGGTCCCTACTTCGAGTCTCTGTTATTCTGTGCTGCCAAGCCAGTCCCCTGCTTCTGCTTCATGGACACTATTTGAAAAGTAGTTAGAGAGGCAGAGAGCACTTCCATCTGCTGCTTTACTCCTAAATGTTGTGATGGCAAGAGCTGGACGGGTCCAAAGCCAAGAGTTTTTGATTGTCCCACATGGGTGCAGGGGCCCAAGGGCTTGGGTCATCTTCTACTGCTTTCCCAGGCATTTTAGCAGGGAACGGGATCACAAGCAGAGCAGCTGGGACATGAATAGGCACCCAAATGGGATGCTGATGTCATAGGATACCTTGACCTGCTTCACCAAAACATTGACTTCTCTTTTTTTTTTTTAAGATTTATTTTTTATTGGAAAATCAGATATACAGAAAGGAGGGAAGACAGAAAAATCCTCCATCCACTGATTCACTCCCCAACAGTCCGCAACGGCTGGAGCTAAGCCAATCTGAAGCCAGGAGCCAAGAACCTCTTCTGGGTCTCCTATGTGGGTGCAGGGTCCCAAGGCTTTAGGCCGTCCTCTACTGTTTTTCCAAGCCACAAGCAGGGAGCTGGATGGGAGCAGCTGGAATATGAACTGTGCCCAGATGGGATGCTGATGCAGGCAAGGTGAGGATTTAGCCGCTAGGCTATTGCACTGGGCTGTCTCCTTCTTTTAAGTAAGTAAATATTTAAAAAAATATATTTGGCAATGTTAAATAGACTAAATCCATTCTACCTGGCAACTTGAATGTAACTTCTTGTCTTTTTTTTTCCCTTGGAGGGATGCTAAATAAAAACATCATGATTTGTAACTGATGGGCAGTCAATCTCAGGCTATGTCCTGAATGATTTTATATGCAAAGAATTAAACTCTTCAAGGTCAGGTTCCTCCCGGTCAGCAGCACCCTGGGCATCTACTCACTAGCAGCTAGTAAACTCCCTCCCCCACCCCAGTTGTGATTACACCAAAAATGTCTCTAGATTATTGCCAACTGTCCCCTGGCTCAGTTGTATTTCCTCTACTCCAGGGGCTGTAGTTTACTTGGTATTAATGAATAATTTCTTTTTTTTATTTTATTATTATCTTTTTTAATGAATAATTTCTTATCTATACTCTACCAGTTACGGTTCCTTAACTGTCCCTTATATTTCTTGTGTAAGTCATTGTTACTTGTTAAGCGACAACCTACGGGCCCCAATTACCTTATTTCTCAGTATCTTTATGTCCAACAGAATACCTGATACAGTTGGTGTACAGAACTGACGATTCCAAATCACTCCCAACCCTGATGACCACTGAGGCATTTATCGAAAAGCCTCCTCCCTCCCTATATGTGATATACTATATTAAATGAAGCATTCTAAAGATTAGTGCACTTGGAATTTAAAACTACCTGAAGCAACCAGACAAAGGCAGAGGTAAGGTCATCTGTTGGAGCCCAATTCAGAGGTGAAGTTCTATCCTGTAGTTAAGCAGAAGGACAGGCTAGGAGAAGGAATCCCACACAAAGCATGCTTCAACCCAGGAAGTCAACCACTGCCTGGCCAGATGCGTACTCACATCTTAAATCACTCCTCTGGCTGATGCTTCTGTTGCCGCAGACGGGCTGGTGGTGCAGGTCAGACCTAAACAACTGAAAACAGACACACTCTTCAGATCTGCTGAGCATGAATGGATCCTGCTGTGCCCACACTTGTCCCTCCTTGTCCCTCGGGAAGGAGACCAGAGAAGCTCTAGGCTCCTCCCATCCCCCCACCCCCAATCTGTGACTGTGTGGCTTCTTCAGGAATCACATGGATTTTCTGTTTTATTGTGGCTTCTGCAAAACCTTTCCAGCTTCTAGTTCCATTACTCAAACATTTGTTTTTCTTCCAAAACAGATTTCAGAGGAGGAAAAAATATGCATCCAAGGTATCCGTTTTCAGAGTGAAAACTGCAGAGTCATTCCAGGTGTTCATTGTGAAATTACACAATAGATTTTAGAGAAAGCAAAGAATGAACACACAAAACGCCTCTTCTGCTCTTGTTACTTACCTTCTAACATGATTTCAACTTCATTTTCCCTTAGGATTAACTATTTTTAAAGCTTTAGAAACACCTATAATTCAGAGTTTAAGGAATGGCACTACAGTTTGCATCAGATGTTCACCACTTCATGAAAATTTTGGCTTAAGGATTACCTTCTTGGGGGACCTGCCTTAACCTCAGGATGTACACTCGCAACCCACAAAGCCACTGGCCCATGTTCTACCTCCCTTCCTTTTACTTTTCTCCATAGCACCTTTGCACACACTGCACAAGTTAGTACTGTTGTTTATTTTCATGTTCCCTGCCTTTTGGCCCCAATCCTCCCCACGCGCTATGCACGACCTGTGTTGTCCCGTCTGCTTCATGGTGCTGGAACAGCACTAGTATGCGGTAGGTATTAAATCAATGCTCTGCAGGGATGAACAGTGTGATCTAGCAACTCGCACACCAGAGCTCACCAATTTCACAAGAGTACAGTAGCTGGCTTCTTTCTTAAAGATTAGTTATCCACCCATTAGAAGACCACTGTTGTATTCCAATGGCAGGGGTGTTCTCCAGACCTGCCAGCTGCAAAAAGCTACCCCGAGTCAAGTTCTATACGCTATTCAAAAATAATAATACAGACAATCATGTTGACTTTCTATTGGCTGGCAAGTATACAGCAGTATATTTAAATCCATTTCTTACACTCCGTCTTGTAAATATCTCTCTCTCACCGATTCACCTAGAACAAAACCCCCTCTTTAATTCCTTGGAGTCTCTGGAGTCAGCCAGTGATTGTGACAACATCCACCTCACACTAAGGTTGCTTCTGTGTGCCTCTTTACACTGGCAGCAAACCCTAAGGCTTCCCACCCAGCCTTCCCAGAATTTCCTTCTGGCTCCCTTGTTTCCAAGTCTCTCAGAGCCTGACTGACCACACAGTCCCAGGGCACCCAGACCCCATCTGGGCACTCACCTGCCTGTGTCTGCCTCTTCCCTGTGACTCCTGCTTTTCACTGCTGACTGCCTTTTTGCCCTTTGCTCCTCGCTTCACGAGCCACACTCACCTTTGTGCCAGTTTGCAACTACCTGTGTGGCACTGTGTTAACTCACTTCCCTTCTTTCCCCTTTACTCCTCCCTCATGCACTTTGATTCTCTGCGTACATGACTGCCTAGTTCATCCACTTTTATGACAGTCAAGTGCCAACCAGCAGAATTACTGCATGTAAGGCACAAGTTGTTCAGGGACTAAACTTCATATTGTTTTCTTGTGTGTGCAGAAATAGCAGGAGAGTTAAGAGCATTTAATTTCCATGCAATAGCTTCCATCTCAAGATGAAACTTAGAGAACTGGGTATCTAATTAACAAACATTCAATCACTGTGCTAGTTCTAGATATAAAAAGAATAATCAGCTATAGGCTCAGCTCTTAGGAAGGCTTCAATTGATTACAAAAAAAAAAAAAAAAGACAAATAAACCAAGAACTCAAATGTACCATGAGAAGTTCTTAGGAAAAAATGTCCATGAAGTACTGTAAGGAGTAAATATAAAGGAAGGAACCTCAGCTTTGCAAGGGAAGGGAGTGGGAGGCTTCCTGAGGGATGAGGGAATCCCAGAGGCAGATGCTGGGTCCAAGGTAGAATCACCCTGGGGAAGGGACCTCAGCAGACTGCTGAGAACTTCAAGCATAACACCTCAGGAGGAGGGAAACCTCAGTGTAAGAAACGCAGATGTGGGCCCGGCGCGGTGGCGCAAGTGGTTAAGTCCTCGCCTTGCACGCCCGGGATCCCATATGGGCGCCGGTTCTAATCCCGGCAGCCCCGCTTCCCTTCCAGCTCCCTGCCTGTGGCCTGGGAAAGCAGTCGAGGACGGCCCAAAGCTTTGGGACCCTGCACCCGCGTGGGAGACCCGGAAGAGGCTCCTGGCTTCGGATCGGCATAGTATCGGCCCGTTGCGGCTCACTTGGGGAGTGAATCATCGGATGGAAGATCTTCCTCTCTGTCTCTCCTCTCTGTATATCCGCCTTTCCAATAAAAAATAATAAAAATAAATCTTTAAAAAAAAAAAAAAAAAAAAAAAAAAAGAAACGCAGATGTGTGCCAGAACAAAGGGGGCAGGTGTGAGAAAGATGGTCCTGCAGACACCAGACCAGATCTCAAATGCAATGGACTCTGTTTTCTTTGTAAGATTCTATGATAACACTGGTTATTAATTGTGCTTTCTATTCCCTCCCTAAGCAAATATCAATATTGATTGACTTGGAACAAATGACACAGTGTTTTCCAACAACGAAAAATAATGGAATGGGCTAGGTAGCCAGAAAGATCCACCAAAAGGTTAGAAACAGTGAAATGTAAAAAGCTCCCACTGCCAATCTATCTGCACTCCACGGCCAAGTAAGCTTCATAAAGTTAAAAATTAATCATCAGGCAAGTTTAAAATGTTGCTAGGATGAAATTTTTAAACTATAAATTGAATTATGGGAATAGACATAGCCAAGCCACCAGTGTAAACACTAGCCAACTCAAGCAAAACTCAGGAGAGTCCAATGGGGTGAACTGGAATGAATTTTAACCCCATTTGGGAATATAACATAGGACATGCAGATCCAATACAGAGGGTCAGAGCCCAGGAATGGTTTGCTTTTAGAAGACTGTCTGAGATGGAGGTGGACGATGTCTTTTAAATTTTCAAAGTAATAAGTCTAGAACTTGTTAGTACTCTTCAGCGATTGTACCCGAAAAGGACTTGGTACAACTGGGCTAACAGAACTCACAGATGCAAGCTCTGAGTCAAGGGCTACACTCGTTCCTATGTTTCACAATGGCCTATGTATTATATCTCTAGCTCCCTCTTCTCTTTCCAAAAATCCATTGATGGTGTATTATCCTCAGAATCCTTCTTATTAACATACTACTTACACTACATTCATTTAGTTATTCCAGAGGCAAAATAAAGTAAAAATTATAGCTTGCAAAGATGAATCATCTTAGATCTACCTTTTATAAGAGAGGAAAAAATACCTATCCGTAAACTCCCTCCCAAAGTGACAATGTGACAAGCAGCCCAGTTACTCTGCTCTGAGATGTCAAGGCTGGGAAACACCTCCAAGTGGGATGATCAGGGTGACTGTGATGGAGACAAGCAGATTAGCAGAGGAGAGCTTTTCAGGTCTAAGAAACTGTATGAATCAGACACAGATGCTGAAAAGTGATGGGTTAGCTAACCACCGAAGGAAAAAAAAGGTAGGAAGGCAGCTTACGGTGGACCAGCAGAGTACACCAAATACCTAATGAAGGAATTCAGATTCGGCTCTGGGGGAGACAGCAAGTACCCAGAGAGACAGGCTTTGGTACTAGAGTGCCTGGGCTTGAGTCCCGGCACTGCTGCTGAGTCTAGCTTCCTATTAATGTGCACCCTACCAGGCAGCAGGTGGTGCTCACGCATTGAGAGAGCCAGATTATGCTGGCAGGGCTCCTGCCGTGTGGCCTGGTCCAGGACCAGCAGTGGCAGGCACAGGAGATAAAACCAGTAGATGGAAGATTTCTGTGTCTCTTTCAAAAAACAAAAACTTCAACATCACAAGTTTTTTTTCAAACTAAAGAGGAAGTCACTTAAGAGTCTGAGCAGGACAGTATCACCAATCTGGATTTGCAGTGCCACGCAAGGAAGACTGCAGTGCAGCGCACTGTCACCACTACTCACCTAATGATCACAGATGTGCAATAAATGCCTGGTGCCAGAGTAAAAGTTCTGTAACAGAACTTCAAGATACCCAGGGTCTGGCACAGGTGACAGACATATACACCCACAACCACACCTGGGGTAGGCACTGTGGCACATGGTGGGATGAAGCAAACATCCCACACTGGAGTCCCTAGCTGCAGATTTAGCTACTCTGCTTCTGATCTAGTTTCCTACTGATGTGCATTTTGGGGACAGCAGATGATGAATCACATCCTGAGTCCCTACCACCCATGTGGGAGGTCCTGGATGGAGAACTGGGCTCCTGGCTTCTAGCCTGCTGCCGCCATATGGAGAGTGAACCAGTGTGCCAGAGTCCAGCTCCAGCTGAGTTCGGGACTCACGAAGGGTGCGTGGAGTAGGCATAGAGAAAAATGGACCACTACAATTTCAGGATCATAGTGGGCAATGCAAGAAAGCTGTCCCCTTTATTTATACAGAAGCAGTCACACACTTGCTCTTAACCTCTGGGTGACCTGGGAAAGGTTATGTGAAAACGGCTCTAAGTAAAGACAAATATGGGGATAAGGTGGGGCAGAAAACGTGCCGAGACGAGGCTAGAAAACAGAGACCTGCACCAGCATGTGGGAGTCTTAGTGATCTGAACACCTTCAAGAGTTTTTGATCTCAGCTCCTCACACTGACTCAGCATGCTTCCAGAGTTCTACTTTTGTGGCTAGTATCCTGCCCTGGGGCCCCTTCCTCTCTCACGAGATCTACTCGCTCCTTCTTGCCCTCACAAGGCTGCTCACTCCAGTCTTCCTTCCCGGGAGCTGCCACACACACTGGTGACACTCCTGCTCAAAGTCATCAATGGCTTCTCAGCGCCTACCAAGCCCAAACTCCATGGCTGAGTATTGGGTATGCATTATTATTCAACCCAATCTACCTTTCCAACTTTATTCTGTACTGGTTTTTTTTTTTAAGATTTGTTTTATTTTTATTGTAAAGTAAGATATACAGAGAGGAGGAGAGACAGGAAGATCTTTTGTCTGTTGATTCATTCCCAAGTGGCCACAACAGCCAGATCTGAGCCAATCCAAAGTCAGGAGCCCGGAGCTTCTTCCAGGTCTCTCAGTTGGGTACAGGGTCCCAAGACTTTGTGCCAACCTTAACTGCTTTCCAAGGCCACAAACAGGGAGCTGGATGGGAAGTGGAGCTTCCGGGATTAGAAACGGCACATTAAAGGCGAGGAATTTAGCTGCTAGGCTACCCGGCTGGGCCCTGTACTGTTTTTAAAAAGTTTTATAGACCGGAGAGGTAAAGACACTCACATAGAGATAGAGAGATAGAGAGAAGGGGAGAGAGAGAGAGAGAGAGAGGTAGGTACAGAGAGCTCCTTCCCACTACCCATTCAAGATCACTCCCCAAATACCCACAATGGCTCAAATTCAGGACCAGGAACTCTACCCAGGTGGCAGAAACCTGACCACTTACTGTTTCCTCCCACGGTCTGTGTAAGCAGGAAGCTGGGGTCAGGAGACTGAGGTAGGTATCGAACCCAGAGCCCTCAGTGGGGCGTGAGATTTCCCCCGTACTGACTGGCCCTTCTTAACAGCCGGGATGCCTTCTTTGTGTTTAGATCAGCAGCAAGATACAGGATGGGTAACAAAATGTACTGAGCCCACAACTCCTTAACCCCCATAGAGTGTTTACTGATCAATTTTAAAACTCTGGATCTGGGCCAGAACTTAACACTAAAAACGTCTTGTCCATTTTTCAACCGTGGCCTGGCCACAGTATCTGTTGGACAGTGGCTCCAAATGGCCAGCGGAAGGCACGGAATTGGGTAATTTCTGTCGTCACAAGGGTAAGTGGTCTGAAGTTCCATATGTGGAACTTTTTTGGAATCTTCACTCCTGCCCTTCCCTATGCTCCCCGTGTTTCACGACTCAGGTTCTCCTGGCCAAGGCTAAGCCCTCCCCATCTCCCAAGGATCTCCTGGACTTTTCACTTAACTATACCTTTTCTGAACTGCCAGAACCTTTAGGACTCACGCCGACTGCCTCTCTTCCTCCCCCACCTCCTCTGCCAGCTTCCCTACACATCTTTCTCTGAGCCTTCGGCCTATCCGCCTCTGTACGTTACCCCTCCAGTCCCTCCACCATGTTCTGAGCTCACCTCCTCTTTGGTCATCTCTTCTCCGCTCCCAATCCTTCTGTCATGTTTCCAGACTCCCTCTTCACTTCCCCAGTCACTGCTGGATTCCAATGTCACCTTTGCTTCACCTTTATTTCCCTACCATGTTCCCAAACTCTTCTCCTCCCGCCCATCCCTTATTCTATCTAGTCCCATCCCTTGCCCCACCTTATTCCACCCAACCCCATCCTTCTCTTTGTTCCTCCTTTTTCCCACAGTGCAGAAGATCCTTGTGGTTGGTGGTCATCATCTAACAGTCATGGGGAAGAGAACAATCTGTACTATTTGGCAGACACTAAGGGAATCAAATTGAAAAATGAAGCAAAGTACACAACCAGTAAGTGCCCAGGCGCATACGAGGCACATTTACAGCTGCAGCCAAGCACAGCTGCTAATCTTCCGTCAGACACCTACCTTATCCACAAGGACCATAATGACCTTGTTTGCATCAGAATTCAGTCCAGGCAATCCATGTTTCTAAGTTGGCCAGGAAAACTGGGCAGAAAAAATAAAATTGCAAAACCAAGTCAATAAAATGCTACAGGGTTTACTCCAAGTTCTCCAAGCATTGACATTCTCAACAAAGCACACTGACTCCGCAAAACAGAATCTCCCAAATTTCGAAAAATAACCTGCCATCAGGAAGGAAATAATCTACCAGACACATCGCTAAAGAGCAACTTCCTGCTCCACTACCTGTCGCTTTTCAACAACAGACGACTGAATAAACAACATCCAAGTTCTGTGGTGCAGAACATGGAGATTCAAAAAGCTTCAGATTCTAGAACCCCTCTACCAGAACATCCATTCTCTGTATTTCTCAGTCGCATTCATGTCACAGAAGTTCCATCCATAAAAATCTATACACACTATCTTGTCACAGGCAACTTATCATGTTTTTAAAACTAATCAGCAGGTCTATCTTCAAATGATGAAAATCTGGGCTTTGAGTTTCATATCAGAAAGTCACCAATTTTTAGAATTCACTTTTAATATACAGCCTGAGCCAGGAGATAGCCTACTTTTTCTTTTTTATTTTTGCAAGTTATCGTTAATGCACCTACCCAGAAATTGAAATACACATTAACCTTAACTTTACAAACTCCATATTCAAAGCAACCCCTTCCCTGGACAGCTGTGGGTGTCACCACCCACAAGGACCATAGGAAAAGTAGGAAAAGAGGTGGGCGGGAGGGGATTCAGCAGAAACACAGCATGAACCACGGTCCTGCCTGCAGACAAGATGGACAACCTTGAAGGGCCTTTCGGAATTCGGAAACAGAAGTGTGTGTGTGTGTGTGTGTGTGTGTGTGTGTGTGTGTGTGTTTGAGCGCGCACAAAGGACAGGGGAACGAGAGGTCAGGAAGGGGTGTCCCCCAAAGAAACCTCTCCAAGGACGGTTGATAGTATCTGAAATTGAACTGCACGCAGAGCAGCCCAAGGCTCTTAACTGTCAACTGGGTGGTAGAAAACCTCATCTTCCTAATGATTCGTACTGCATGAAGGTAAAATCACCAACATTTCGTCCTCCAGAAAGAAAGAGAGAAAAGAGAGAGAAACGCTTTAAGTATTCTCTGTTTTAAAGGTGTCTTCTGCAAGAGCTTTGCAACTTCACGCAACTTGCATGAAAACCGAGCTGCGGAAGCCGCAGCTATCAGCAAATGGGAACCTGGGGGGGTCAGTCGCACACCGGCGGCTCCGGGCCCGAGCCCCACACCCCGTACCCCTCGGCAGCACCTTCCTTTCCCTTAGCGCTGGAGTCTGGGGCGCCCGACCGAGAGGCCCTTCTGAGAGCCTCGCCCTCAAACCAATGCCCTGGGACAAGTCCTCAACTGCCTCTCCAAACATGCTCGGCCCTGGACGTCCGCTGGACGCGTTCTCCCTCTCACAAGCACCCAGAGCTACGAGGCAGGAACCGGAGTGCCGGTCGAGCTGGGGAAGAAGCCGCGAGGTCAGGCAGCCCTGCAGCCACGCCGGTTGCGGCGTTCTTTAGAAGGAAGGTCCTCGGGGGAAACGGGGAGAAAGCTGCAAACCCGGCAGCGACGGCTCCGCTGAGCGCGTCGGGGGCTGGCGCGCACGGGCACCGACCCAAGCCTCCTGAGGTGAGGGCGCCCCGACTGCCCAAGAGTCGCGGGGCCTGCAGGACCGCGGTGCCACGGCTCAAGGCCGGTCCACTCCAGCCTCCCCCTCCCGTCCGCCCTGCCTGGGCCCTGGACAGGCACGGCTGCCCGCCGCGGCTGCTCGCTCACTCACCAGGAGCGCGCGCGCCGGCCAGGCGCGGCAGCCCAGCGCCCTCGGCGCGATCTCCGCCCCGCCCTCCACGGCCCGGCCCCCCGGCACCGGAGCGTGGCGGCCACGTCACGGCGCGTGCGCGGTGCGCGCGCTCCCAACGGCCGCGCGGGGTTGGGGGTGGGGAGTGCCAGGGTGGAGAACGTTACCGCCTCGGCGTGCTGGTCTCCGTAGAGACGGAGCGGGCCCCTGGCCGCGGCGGCCTGAGGTAGAAAGGCAGCGCAGACCCTAGGAGGAGAAGCCACGATGTCGTCGAAGGCGAAGGACAGGAAAAAAGCCAAAGCCAAAAGCAAGAAGGGGAAGTAAGCAGCGGCGTCTTGGGTTTGCCTCTGCCTGGACCTCCAGGCCCTCCGGGGTTTGAGGACGGGGTGCTTACCTTCCGCTGGCCGACGAGGACCGGCTCTTTCTCGCTGCGATGTGGCTCAGATGACACTCTTGCCAGATAGTTCAAATAGTTCTGTGCAGCTTTTGGGCAGCCCACGGAACCGGAAGGATTGGACTAGATTATTCCCCAGACCTTCTGTGCCCTGAAAGCAGGTCGTGACCTAGCCCTGGCCAGTCTGCGGGCTGGCGTTGCTGCTGGACGGCCTGACGGCCTTTTGGGTGATTCTCGGGGTAGTTCCTAGACGCTTTGGGGTGTTACCTAATGTCCAAAAGCACCATAAATAGAACCACGATGGAATTCCCCAAACTTGGGGATGTTAATAAAGCCCCTTGAGTACTTCTCACTCAGTCCCAAAAGTTTGGGAACCACAGAAAAATACCACAGGAGGGGGGAAAAAAAAGAGTGCCTTAAATTCCGTTACTCGAAGATAATCATTACTGTCATTTGGAACATCTGCTTTTCCTGGTAAAATGATAATCCAGCAGATATATTGTTTTGTAGCTGACCCACCCCATCTCATGTGTTAATGTGTTCTTTTTTGAAAAAAAAGTTAAATTTTTATTTAAAAGACAGACTGAGATACAGGAAGGAAAAAAAGAGAATGTGGAACTAGTGATCTCACCCACCTTCTGTAGCCCTTGACCTTAATCCCCCTGATTAACTATGTAAAAATCATCAAAAATTAAAATAATTTAAAATTTTTAAAAAAAGATCTGCTGGTCCACTCCAATCAGCAATAGCCCGATAGCCCAAGCCAGAAGTCAGGGACTCTGTCTGGTCTCCCACGTGGGTGATGGAGACCTGAGTATGGGGAGCTATCATCTGCTGGTTCCTGGGCTATACCTTAACAAGAACCTGAATGGTGAGCAGAGAAACCAGGACCCCAGACCACACACTTCTGATCCAGGGATACAGTGTAAAAATCACTCAACTGCTGCACCAAACACCCTTCCCAGTGTCAGTATTCTACAGTTTGAATTTTTAAAATGTTATTGCACAGTTAGTATAGCTGTTTTCGTTGTTGTTGTTCTTACTTGTATTGGAAAGGCAGATTTACAGAGAGGAGGAGACAGAGAAACATCTTCCATCATCTGCTTCACTCCCCCAAATAGCCATAATGACTGGAGCTGAGTAGATCCAAAGCCAGGAGCCAGGAGCTGCTTCCAAGTCTCCCATGCGGGTGCAGAGTCCCAAGACTTTGGGCCATTTTCCCTTGCTTTCCCAGGCCACAAGCAGGGAGCTAGATGGGAAGTGGAATAACCAGGATATGAAACTGCACCCATGTGAAATGCCAGCACTTGAAGGTGGAGAATTAGCCTGTGAGGCACCGTGCCAGCTGCACTCTATCTCTTTTTGAAAGGGCCAAGGGCTTGTAACATTCCTGGAACTCACTCGCCTGTTTCTGCGTTTGGCCAGGACCTTGGCAGCATGGGTGAACAAAGAGCAACATATCTTTTGCTTGGATTTTCCAAGGCTCCTTGCTTGATAAGAACTGAGTTGACTCTGCTGTGTGATTGCTCTGCTCAGAGGTGTCTGAATCCTTTAGTGCTGTGTACAGTTTACACCTCATACCTTGCGGGAGCAAGTGGATGTTTACAGAAAGTCAGTCACTAAAGCCTAATTAATCGTGGGGATGAGGAGATGTAGACAAGGGGGTTGGGAAATGGGGTTGACCTGAAGTGAAGGGAACCAAAGGGTGAAATTAGGGGTGGAAGGCGGGCTGAAAATCAGGAATGGGGAGTGGAAACAAAATGACAGTATAGAAAGGCCACACATGTGTGAGAATATGTAGAATTCAAATGTGCCTGGAGTCTTTTATATTGTCTGTTTCTGTATCTGGTGCCAGCCCTGTATATGGGACGCTGTTTTGTTAATCCTAGTACCATAAGTCTTATTTTCTAAATCTTGTTGTCTCTCATTGAGATCTCTGCCTTTTTTTTAAAAAAAATTTGATTTGAGATCTCTGCCTTTTAAAAAGTTTCCTCTCCATCCCTTTATGAAGAATGATGGTTTATTTCTTAGGCATCTTCAAGACTGTTACACAGTGGCACCATGGATGTTTCACATACTTGAACTGTGAAGCGGATTCTTATTTGGTCCAAAACGTAGCCAGAAGCAAAGCAACACCCACCTGGGGGATGGAGTGGGTGGAGTGGGCTAACAGCCGTGTTACAAATAGACCTTCATGCAGTAGGGTAGTAAATGCTGTGGAGAGAACCAAGATAAACAATGAAGGAAGTAGGAATAGAAAGTGTGATTTAAATACAGGAGAAGCAGACATGTAAAGGAAAAGCCATGAAGGTTGAAACACATTTGATTTATTGTTCCTTTCCTCTTCATTTTTTCAGTCACTCAGAGTTATGCTTCAAAGTTCCCCTCCTCCAAGAAGAAATACCTCTTTAACTCTCTTTTGTGAATACTGGCAAATGTGTATTTCTCATTAACTTAGCATCCAACGGTATTTACTCGTGTGTGCCAGGCAGTGGCAAGCACAGGAGGCTTTGAAAGGAGCAAGAGGTACAGTTCTGATGTGTGGTAGAACAGAGAAGGACTCACAACCGTGCTTTTCCTCTGCCCTGCAGGAAGTCTCTGAAAGTGGAAGACTCCGTGGTGGAGAGAGCCAAGGCCAATGCCTCTCTCTGGGAGGCCAGGTTGGAAGTTACCGAGCTTTCCAGGATTGAGTACCGTGATACCTCCAGGAAACTGGCAAAAAGTAATGAGGAGCTAAAGAAACAGCAGTACAGAATGGAGAAAGACACAATGTCTGTACTAAGCTACCTGAAAAAACAGGACCACGAGAAAGACAATACGGTAGGTATGTAGAACACCTCCTAAACCTCATTACCTATCTTTGTGGCTGTACCAGTATGAAAATGTGGTTCATGGGGCTGGCGCTGTGGCATAGCCAGCAGGCCTGGCATCCCATATTGATGCCAGTTTAATTCCTGGCTGCTCTGGCAAATGCAGCAGATGAGCCAACTCCTTGGATCCCTGTACCCCATGGGAGACCCACATGAAGTTCCTCTTTGGTCTGGCACAGCCTTGTTCCTCATAGCCATTTGTGAAATGATCCAGTAATTGGAAGAGCTCTCTCATTATGTCTCCATCTCTTTATTTTGCCCTTTCTAAATCTGCCTTTCAAATCTAAAAAATAATTTTTTCAAAGATTTTTAAAGATTTATTCAATCGAAAGGCAGATTTACAGAGAAAATGGTGGGGGGAGACACAGAGAGGTTTATCTTCTATCCACTGATTCATTCCCCGAATGGTAACAATGGTCAGAACTAGGCTAGGATGAAGTCAGAAGCCAGAAATTCCATCTAGGTCTTATGTGGGTATCAGGGGCCTAAGTGCTTGAGCAATCTGTTGCTGCTTTCCCAGAAGCATTAGCAGAGACTTTGATTTGATGTGGAACAGTAGGGACTCAAACCAGAATTCATATGGGATGCTATTGCAGGCAGCAGCTTAACCCGTGTGCCACAATGCCTACCATTTAAAGATTTTAATTGTTTGAAATGTCATTATAGTTAAGACAGTTCGGTTGACTTTAACTCTCCTTTAAACAAGATGCTATCTCAGAATAGTTTTACTGTCATTGGCTCTGTCATTTTCAGTTATTGTCTCATGTTTTGTCATATGAACAGATTGACGATAAGAACATTATGATCCATCTTATTTTAAGATCACCATAGTATGTGGCATTTATAATTCTAAAATAGTAGGAATTTCTCTTTCTAAAATATTTAGTATATGGGAGAGGCAGAGACAGACCTCATATTTCCTTTTTTTTAACAGCTGATAATTTTTAAATTCAAAAAACAAAAACTGTGAAATAATACGGAGTTGTCATATATCCCATGCCCAGGAATGCAGAGAGTAAGAGCTTCTAGTCTGTTGGTTCACTTCCCAAATGGCTACAAAAGCAGCTGAGCCAGAGCCATGAGCCAGAAGCTTCATCTGGGTCTCCCACACAGGTACAGGGTCCCGAGGCTTTGGGCCTTCTTTCCCAGGCCTCAAGCAGAAAGCTGGAAGGAAAGTGGAACATCTGGAACACGAGCAAGCGCCCATATGGCATCCCGGCACATGTAAGGCGAGGACTTTGGCCGCTAGGCTACTGTGCCAGGCCCCAATAAATAAAGCTTTAATTAAAAAAAAAAAAAAAAAGAGGGCCCAGCATGGTAACCTAGCTCCAAGATCCCATCCAATTCCCTGCTTGTGGCCTAGGAAAGCAGTCAAGGATGGCCCAAAGCCTTGGGATCCTGCACCCATGTTGGAGACCTGGAAGAGGCGCCGGGATCCTGGCTTCGGACTGGCACAACTCTGGCTGTTGTGGCTACTTGGGGAGTGAATCAATGGACGGAAGATCTTCCTCTCTGTATCTCCTCCTTTCTGTATATCTGACTTTGCAGTAAAAATTTACATTGGAGGGCCTGGCGCGGTGGCGCAAGTGGTTAAGGTCCCCGCCTTGCACGCCTGGGATCCCATATGGGCGCCGGTTCTATCCCAGCAGCCCCGCTTCCCTTCCAGCTCCCTGCTTGTGGCCCGGGAAAGCAGTCGAGGACGGCCCAAAGCTTTGGGACCCTGCACCCGCGTGGGAGACCCGGAAGAGGCTCCTGGCTTTGGAT